GATTTTTCAGCTGCTACCGTTTACATTACCAAACATCACGCGGACATTTAAAAAATCACACACAGGCTTCACGGCTTGGAATGTTTCTGGCTTGGTATTTATTCTGGTTTAGCGAAGTGGCATATTTTGGCATGTTTGGTTGCAAGTGTAAATGGCCCTATGAGAAGGGAAGGCATTCCTAGGCTAATTCAGTTTGACTTCGTTACCTACGCTAACTGCCCTGCTCACTCCTATCCTATCACATGAGCTGCATTTACACTCCAATAAAAAAAACATGGTTCTTTCTCACATTCTCGGTTTTTGTCGAAAGTTGCCAGGCAACCACCGATAAACTCAATCAAAAACCCAAAATTGAAAGAGTCGCCTGTGGAGTATGGTTTTTTAAAACTTCGGCCGAAAATCCGCTAGTTTTTGCAGTGTAAACGCTCCTGCTCAAAACATCGACAAACTATATTCCGATGTTTGGTCACTTGACTCTGGCATGCGCACAACTTGTACACAAAAAACAAAACAGAATACCGGTAAGCAAATTAACTCCAACAGTTTTTACAATCTCTTTCCAGTAGTGTAAATGTAGTTTAAAAATACTGATGTTTTTTTCTTCTGCAAATTGTATTTTCTGCAATGTGAATGGGCCTTTAGCTGAACTTGATCAGCCATGTATGTTCTATATTCAACCTACCGGTAATAGCTTAGCACATTGGGGAAAGTGATACTATAGTGAAGTACAGCTTGATATCCTATAAGTGTGCTAATTTTCACTCTTCAATCAACCAGACAATCTCTTTATCAGATTGTAAGCAATGAAGTATGTAGAGTTCAAGGAAGATTTGGGTTTAAGGTACTCTACAGGAATCTTGAGTTCTGGTAATCAGTCTGATATTTTTAGTCTGAAATTAGAAGTTTTACAAAATATAATAATCGCAATTCTCCATTATTTTCTTTTTGGTAGTGGTGAAAGAATTGTAAAAGGGGGTATTTATCCAGTTTTCTTTTATATGAATTGAAATTCCCTTTAAAACCAATGTAAATGTTATAACATCTGACATTCTAATCAGTCATACTTGCATGGAGGCCTATACATGTATGATATGTACTATGACATGTTTGTGATAAATCTATGAAGCTTACAGCATTTGCTACAAGTAGACAAAGTAGTGTGTTATCTTACAGCTAGAGATAAAGCTGGATGATGAGTGATCAAAGTTTAAAGGGTAAGAATTAAGTTTTCTTTAAAATAAAATAAAGTGTGTCTACATCTGATAATGAGATGTCTACTCTATTTTGACAGCAAACCAAGGCCATTATTTAATAGATGATCAGATACATGTACATGCATTTGTTTGCCTGATTTGCTATGTAGATACAAATGTAGTCACAAAGAACCCACCCACCTCTCTCTCAAATTCAGAGGTTGTGAAGATGGAAAATTGATCTTTTTGATGTTTTTGGTGATAGTTATTTGGGGATATTATAGCCTCTAAGACCATACCATGATCTGCAGAATATAAACTGATTGCTAAATTGTGATGCATAATTTCAGAATGTGCATGTACATAAATATGGGTAGTGTGTTCTTTACTAATAGATTTGTTTGTAGAATGTTTACCCATAATTGTATGCAGCACCCTTGCCAGTGGTTAACCAAAGTTACCAAACTGTTTGATTGAATAAATATTAAAATCATATATTGACAGCATCAGTTTTAAGGATGTATGGTACAGCATGATATCGAATATACAGCTGGTGTAAATTGATTCCATGGTTGTGAACAGATTGAAAGATATTTATTCTAATGACTACCATTGATTTGAAAGAGAATTCCAATGTGCCATGTCATTGGTTATGTAGTGAATCATTCAAATCTAGTTTATTTGCATTTGTGTAGGAGTGGTATTGCAAGTAATTATTATGAAACTTCATACTGTACATTTTAATATCTGCAGAAACTGGGTATCTCTCTGCATGATCATATCAAATGTAACATACCCAACAAGCTACATGTACATTGCTGAGTATCAAACGATTCAAATTGCAACAACCCACAGAAGGATAACAAATTTAACACATCAAATGCTATAGCCTATGCCGACATGTACATGCATCTATTACAGGGTTATATTTATTTGCTGGTGAGGACAAGGTAGAGAAAATATAAAACTCATTTTCAATTTTAAGATATACCTGATATGTGTTGAAGGATACAAAAATGTGAGCCTTCAAAAGTTGGAACACACAGACGGACGGGCGTCACAGACAAATATTAGCCAAGATAATTTGATCAAACTATGACTGTTTACGTCATAGCACATGTCTGCATTCCATAGGCATTTGTCATTGTGACCACATTGACTGGATGTCAGAAATTAGACAGATCTGTGTACATGCCATAGTACTAAACAATTCAAATCAAATACTAAACAATTTATGTTCAGGATTAGAGATTCAAGCCAAAAGAGAAATATAAGATTTTCTTCAAGATGAAATCATACTGAGATGTGTGTGATCTGTTAAAACCAGTGATTGAGATTTTTAATATAATTTCTCTGAATATTTATACAAAAATGTGGTACAATATAAATGCTATTAATGATAACTATCATCAACAACAAAAAGCATCATCATCATCATTGATCATCATTTCAAATGTTTTCAAATAAAAGTTACCTACTAGTGGTGCTAATTTGTTGCTTTACAGACCATGTTTTTCTACACATATTAAACTTGTAGTCATGTTCACATATGAACACCAATGTGAACAATCAACATATATAAAGGGCAATACAAGCTTAATTTGAAATTGGTTGGAGAGATAGCAGAAAAATCAGAGAAAAGGATGGATAAAAGTTTGTGAAAACTGATTTAAATGTGAGAATATATTCTCAGATATGTCATGTCATTCATCAACGTTATTAGGCTGTGATGTCATGTTTGAAAGCAAACTCAAACAATTTTGTTTTGCTTTGTTGGTTTCAACGCTGCTACATACATTAAGCCATTAAACCAATTATGCTGCATTGCTATTTTTGACTGTCATCCTCTCGATGAACCGGCTGTGGCCTGGAATTGAGGTTGATTTAAACTGCTACTAACCTATCGGGAAGGAAATGAACGAATATCAAAAGAGACAGGTTTTGATATGATTGTCACTCTATCCAGGTCATGAGAAAGTAAATGTAGGATGTATTTCTTTCACATTTGCTTTCAAGCATAGAAAAAGGACCCCCAAGTTGAATGAAGGATAAATTTGCAATCTGTTATTCAATTTTTTTTTTCTAGGAAAAACAAATATTATTTAGGCATAGGTACTCGGATGACTGCAGCCCAAATTGTTCAAAAATAGCATTTAATAGAAGTTTGTTTCAAAACATCTCAGCTGATTGTATATCTATGAGACTGAAGCCTGAATAGACTGAATTGTAGGTAGCCTACATGTACTGTTTGAGTCTGGTAGACCCTATGGCCAGTTGTAAGAAGGTCTAAGAGGATGGAGTAGTAGTTCAGTTTGACAGACCTTTGGTCTTTGAGCTATCTTTTTCAAAGACATTTGGTCAGAAGAGGGTGTAGCCTTTTGTATTTACATGCAAAGTATGGATGCCTGTGCCCAATTCCATGTATTGTAAACTTAAAACCCATTTGATAGCATTGCCCCATTTGATGTTCCCTATGTAGAATAGATTTTCAGATGTCCTTTGCAAAGAGACTTCAGACTTTAGATGGACTGCATGTCAACATACAACATTATGGAAATCTATCAAAAATCCATGATATTGCAATCAAACATATGCTCCATTTCTGAGTAGGCCGGTAATCTCTCCAGATCGATCTCATGCAATCTGTGGAAATTCCAGTAATAATTCATTTATCAACACCATTTTAAAAGAAGAACAAAATAATGTTTAACTACTGAATTACTTCCGTACATATGTTTGCACATTTTTATCTCAAATCCATAAACGTTATGCTTATCAGACAATAGAAAAGGCTTACATGTTACATGAGGGTCAATATGAGGAACGCTTCACATTAGCGCCAGATCGAAATGTGATCCATGAGTCACTGTAAGTCTGCTGCAAGCTAAGCCAGGCTTATCAGTGGCCATGTTAAATGTAGATGTGGCCCTGACACTGCACATTAATGATTCTTCTGGGACATTTGGGTTGACTACAGATAAGGAAGCAATGACTTTGTGTATTCATATTTGTGTACTGTATTAAGCACTGTAAATTCTTAAAAAAGAACAAGCTGCATCATTCCTGAATAAGAGTTTGTGGCATTTGAAATTTTGAATTGATACTTGAAAACTGTGATTTTTCCTGCTTTCAAAGGAGTATTGCAGCTATGTTTAGCAACTTCATGGCATAGAAAATTATTCTTAAGTATTCCTAGAGAAATTTATGCTACATGTATCTTAAACAAATGAATCACATTATCACTTTGCTTTAAAAGTGACATTTTACAGATTCCTTCTTAAAAATATATAATAATTACTGATATAAATAAGCAGTACGTGTATGAATACATCTAGGATATAGAACTTTGGGAAGAATTCACAATCGCTAAGTACAAAATCAAGTCAAGTTTGAAACATTTGCCAAGTTGCTGGCCTTCATGTATTCCGGCGGCGCGGTAGCAAACATGAACTTTGCAGCTTTGGGACTTTGATTTAACCTCACATTTTCATTCATATTTGGCTAGAAGGAAAATGTATGGAAAGCATCCAAGCATGCATTTAATAGTGAGGACTAAATGTGAAGTTGATGAATGCAATATCCCTAATGAATGTATATGTACAATGTATGTGCACAGTGTCCATTTATTCACATGTAAAAAAAAAAAACATGGTCAGCTGCTTTTTTGCGGCGATTTGTCACGCCCTATCTGAAGAAGCCTTCATAGATGACTATTACATGACCTGCATTCTTATGTGAACCCTGATACAAGTACTCTTCAAAGACACTCATCGTTTCTCCATTTCTGTTTTTTTGTTCTTTCTGTAGGTCTGACCACTGCACAGATGCTGAGGAAAGATTTCAAGTCTACATCGAGTACATCATGCAAAGTAGGATTCAGCTCAGTCACGTTACCACTTCAAGTGAGTCACTGCCATACATACATGTAGAGTCATGAGGGAGACGGTAGTCACCTTATAGATATTTATAAATCAAGAGTATTTCCAGGGTGAATGTATTAAACCTGTTTTAAATCTGCCTTTACGTGTTCAATTATGCCATGAATATTAAATTTGGAGAATTTGAATGTAAAATTAAAAAGGAGATGAATGAAGAAGGGTCTGTGACTCTGTTTAGAAAAAATAATGAACTAATAAAAATTGCCACATATTCATGAACTTTATTGACCAGCATGACTAGCATTTACATGTACATGTACAAACATTTTTAGGAAATCATATCATGCTGCTTACAAAATGAGATCATAGCCAATAAAGCAAGCAATATGATCTCTTAAATTTGTACTATCTGACCGGAATATTGAAATGACTACATGTTTGCGAGTACAATATTTGCAAGTACAAGCAAAGGCAAAAAACTACTTTTGTATTCTGTACAAGAACTGTACCGGTACTCTATATTTAATGACTGCTCAAGTTACAAAAAATTGTGTGCTTGAAATAATGTGTATTAATGTAAAATTTGGAAAGTAGAAGGTTTGTTAAAATACATTTTAATGTCCTGCATTGTAAAGAATATATTTTAGGTGCTGTCTGTACATTGATTCATTACATATCACAGGAATACAATGAGACTGATGAGAGTTAATTGCATTTTGACAGGTGTTGTATAAACACGCGAGCAAGGAAACTCAAATATGCCTGGGCCCGTATATTGATTTCCTTCTATTGTATTGACACACTTCTAAGGCTAGCTGTGGGAACCTTAAGGCTCATGTGACTTGTATATGTACAGTGTACATGTTTGTGTCTTTCCTAGGGCCATTGGTATGATAGGTTTAAATTTGGAAGATATGTACTGTATGTACGCTGAAATTGAAACAAAGATGATCAGTTTAGAATTTCATTTCTCCTGAAAATCTCTGCACTGACTTCTATGTATGATATTGATTCTAAAATTTACTTTCTAAGTTTTGGCGTCATTTGGAAAAATAATTTGTACATACATTTACATGCCTTTTCATATTTTATGGTATAAGGCAAACAATACATATAGCTACCATAGTTTTCATGCAGGATTGTGATTCTAAAATCAGTTAGTAACATGAAAAGTGCAGCTCTGGTGTAAATGTTGGCTTGATATGAATGCCATCAGATTTGTTTACAATATGAATCTGACATCTCTTTCAGCTTTTGGCATGAAATATATCTCATTTGTTCCTTTTTCAATATTCCTGGGGATAAAGGAACTTAGCAAGTCTGTCTACATCAGCCCGAGTTGGCCAAATAGCCTGCTATTTTGTTATCCGGGAAAAATAAGCCAGAAGTTACAAATTGCGTCTTACCTAGTCTTAATCAGCTCGAAAATCATTCAATGACGATGGAAACGCCATCAACTTCAACAACGACAACATCGAAACTTGAGTTCGAGATTTTAGCTTGAGAAATTTGCTCAGTGTTCTCGCATAGTGCGAGTTCGAGCTGGTGAAGACGAAGGTCAAATAGCGGGCTATTTTGCAAACTAGCCCAAGAAGCAAAAAGCCCGTTATTTTGTGATCTGGCTAATTTCCTGGATCAGAAATAGCAGGCTATTTGGCCAACTCGAGCTGATGAAGGCAGGCCTATCAAATGACAATGTACACCAACCAATTGTATATGTGATTTAGCAAATTTAATTTTCTCATACATTTTACAACCATGTAGATTATAGAAATTGGCACTGTTGTTTTGTGCCTGTATTATGAAATGGATTATTAGATTTACAGTCCTATCTGTTTTATGTCTTTTATTTGTTTGCAGGACGTCTTGGACAGGCAGGACTTGGAAACCAGTCTGAAGAACTTTTGTGAGCATAGATTTCTGGATGTGAACATTATCATGACAATTGACCTTGAAGGCACCAGACAACTAGCAATCTACTCGGAGGATCAAAGCCTTAGGGAGACGATGGAAGAAAGACTGCAAGGGTCTGTGTTAGATCTTGAGAGAATAGACTCCAATGTTTCAAATTTAAGTGCCTTTGATCAACAGAACAGGAAAGCATCAAGAAAAGTTGTATTACCCCTCGTAGGAGAAATTCTAAGAACGCTTGGTGAAGGTGATCATGATGAAGATGACGAGCATGGGGAAAATGGACTTGAAGAGAACGTGGAGGAACTGTCGAGCAATGTGAATAATGCAAATGATATGGCTGAAGAAGAACCACAGAATGGCAAGGTAATGCCTGATGAATGGGGAAGAAGTAACCCAGAAAGTCTGCATGAGATTGATAGTGGGAATGATAAGATAGAATCAAGTGATCAGGTTTCTGACTTGGTGGGAATAGATTTAGGAGCTGGATCAAGTTCAGCTAATCCTTTTGTGGGATCAGATAGTACTGATTTACTGGGAGGGAATCCATTTAATGTAATGACAGGAAGCGTAGATGAGGGTGGGGATGATTCTTTAGACCCATTATTCCAGTCGATGAACAAAGTACATGACCCTACACAGAGCATTGATGATAACAACGATCCATTTGGCTTATCTCTAGATCCATTTTCAGCTGAAAGTACTCCTAGACCAGACTCAAACTTAAATTCTTCCAATCCACAGAGCATTGATGATAATAACGATCCATTTGGCTTATCTCTAGATCCATTTTCAGCTGGAAGTAGTCCTGGACCAGACTCGAACCTAAATTCTTCCAATCCTTTTCAGATGAATTCTGATCCCTTTTCAAATAATGACAATCTATTGATTCCAACATCAGATCCAAATTCTACCACAGGCAACCCTTTTATGGATGATCCAGAACCTTCTCCAAGCCTTCTGGATCTAGATCCTATCACTCCAGACAACCCTGAGCCAGCAGACTCTACTGTTAGCCCATCTGCCCAATCCACAGGGGTCCTGCTGGGTTCATTCCTGGACCCCATTTCAATTTCAAGTGACCTTCCTTCTTTTGTAGACAATCCGGATCCAACCAGAGGAGATTCTTCCTCCTCACAATTTGAATCCCAGGCAAGTGTAGATGATCTAATGTCTGATTCCCTAAATGACCAATATGATCTGTCCATGACAAAATCTGACCCCTCCATTAGCTTTAGTGATTCTTTAGCACAAGTACCTGATGGAGCATCAACTGCAGATGAAAATTCAATTTCAATTTCAGATCCTTGTCTGACCATTACTGAATCCAAAGACATCCATGAGGAACAACCTGAGGTTGTAGGCATTAAATCACCAGTTGATGATTCTGACCCATTCTCTCTGTCTCAAACGATTGCACAAAAATCAAGTGATCAATTTCATACAGATGACCCTTTTGGTATGTACCCATTCGATGTCCAAGCACCATCTGCCAATGATGATCAAATTAAAGTTGAAGGTGAAGCTATGGAAAGTTCTGGAGGTTTTGATGATGACTTTGGTATGGTTAGTATGAATGAATCATCAGCTGTTGATTCTTCTGGTACTATGGGCAGTACTCCTGCCGAAGACCACCATGTGAGTGAGTCAAGTGCACTAGAAAGTGCTCAGAGGCAAACTTCACCCAGAGAGGTAGAAGTTAATGATGAGAATGACTTACCTGGTGAAGAGCCTGTCACTGAAGATGCAGTAGATTCTCCAGACCATATCTCTGTGGAAGGTCTTACTGACGAAGGTAAGGTTGATTCTGAAGTTGTTCATGGTATGTCATTGTCTGCTAATGGTGATCAAATTGAAGTTGAAGGTGAAGCTATGGAAAATTCTGGAGGTTTTGATGATGACTTTGGTATGGTTAGTATGAATGAATCATCAGCTGTTGATTCTTCTGGTACTATGGGCAGTACTCCTGCCGAAGACCACCATGTGAGTGAGTCAAGTGCACTAGAAAGTGCTCAGAGGCAAACTTCACCCAGAGAGGTAGAAGTTAATGATGAGAATGACTTACCTGGTGAAGAGTCTGTCACTGAAGATGCATTAGATATTGAACTTCAGTCCAATTCTTCAGACCATATCTCTGTGGAAGGTCTTACCGTTGAAGGTAAGCTTGATTCTGAAGATGTTAATGGTATGTCATTGTCTGCCAATGATGATGAAATGGAAGTTGAAGGTGAAGCTATGGAAACTTCTGAAGGTTTTGATGATGACTTTGGTATGGTTAGTATGAGTGAATTATCAGCTGTTGATCCTTCTGGTAATATTGGCAGTACTCCTGCAGAAGACCACTACGTGGGTGAGTCAAGTGCACTAGAAAGTGCTCAGAGGCAAACTTCACCTGGAGAGGTAAAATTTAATGACGAGAGTGTCTTACCTGGTGAAGAGCCTGTCACTGAAGATGCAGTTGACATTGAACTTCAGTCCGATTCTGCAGACCATATCTCTGTGGAAGATCTTACTGTCGAAGGTGAGGTTGATTCTGAAGATGTCCATGGTACGTCATTGTCTGTTGGAGAGTCCATTTTACAAGAATTCAATGCAGGCAGTGATGCAAATGTAGAGAATTTAGACCCAAACAAAGTGGATCCATTTGGTGTTGGTTCCCATGATAACTCACCAGATAATCAAAGTGATCTAGATCCATTTGGTATGCCGGAGTTCATTGGACAGACTAGTGTGGTGAATGAAGAACAGCTCCATGATCCCTTCAGTGCTTTGAATGATTCCCAGGATCCTGCACTGAATAAAACTGAGAATCAGACTGATGTTGATCCATTCGGGATGAGCCCTTTTGAAGAAGTTCAGAGTCCACCACCATTTGATGTTCTTTTGCATCACGATGATGATATTGTACCCATATCAGAGAAGGATGAAATCCATTTGGGTGAACAAGTAGATACTGAATCTGTCCCTGCTGAATTGCATGGTGTCTCTGGGGAGGAGGAAGAGGATGGTGTATCCATCCCAAAGACCCCAAGAAATTCTCTCAGTGAATCAAGTGTGGCTGAAGAAGAAGATGATAGGAGATTCAGCCAAGAACTGAATGAGAGAGAGTTGTCAGCAAGATTTTCTCATCTGGAGGATAGACAGTCTGATGCTGAGGTAAACTATGAGGATGATTTTGAAGAAGATGATGTTTTCCCTACTGAAGATCAAGAACCTGAACAAATGGATGTAATCAGTGGTAATGAAGAAGATTTCCCAGATGATCAAAGTGTTGCAAATCAGTTAGGTGAAGATAGTGGCGTTGAAGAAAGAGAGATTGTAACAGAAGAATTGGTCAAAGGTCATGAAGTATCAAATGTGTTTGCTTCTCCTTCTGAAATCGATGATATAACCAGTAGGGATGCAGTAGTGACAGGTGATGAAGAAGTGCCTGTTGTAGAGGAATCTGAGGAGGCACACCTTCCTCATGACGACACAGATGATTTGAGATCAGAAGACAGTGATGAAACAAGGGGACAGGATGTTGATATTCAATTGTTTAACATACAAGATAATAACTACATTGTTGATACTCTCAAGAGCAATATGGTTGATAATGCAGTTGACATTAATACAATCAATTCTGGTGATAGGATATATTCTGATGATGAGGATGATGTTCAACATTCTCCAAGACCTGTTTACAGGCCTGAAGTTATGGAACCAAACCCTGACCCTCTTGTCTACATCCAAGCAAAAGAAACAGAAGGTCTGTTTGAGAAGATGAAAGGTGAGCCAAATCATGTTGATGAGATGATCTTTGAAGCAGAGCATGGTGAACCAGTATCTAGTTATGAAATAGATACTCCACCTTTCCACAGTGACAAGAAAGCAGATGATTCTATGAACATCGTGGACACAGCAGTCACTTCATATCATGAGGTTGATGATGATGATGACATTGTCATTGAAGAAATGTGTTCCCCTGTAGTGACTGCTGATCTGGAGGCTTCACCTGTTCAGAGTGATAATGCACATAGCCTACATCCTGGAAATGATGAGACTGACCTGGATGATAGCAAAGAAGATGTTAATCATGTGGCTGATATGCTTGCCAAGAGTATGGTGGAAAATGCAATAGACATCCACACATACCAATCCAGAGATGAAGTGGTGGATGAGAGAGAAGACATTGGTATGTACAATCGTACAACGTCTGATTACAGGCAGGATATCATGGAACCAAATCCTGATCCATCTGTCTATATCCAGGCGCAAGAAACTGAACACATGTTTGCCAGTGGTAGAGGGAATGAAGGTAACCATATTGCTGAAATGCTTGCTGATGATATGTGTAATGAAGCAAGAGGAAAAGCCTCTGCAGATGGTTCTGTTTTAGATTCCTCGGATGGTATGAGTAACAATGAAATACCAGACGTTGGGACAAGTGATCTTCTAGATATATCCTTAAATCCCCAGAATGAAAGTGATGGGAATAATCTTGCCAAAAATGAAGAAGAAAGGAATAACGTTGCTGATATGATCACTGATGAAATGGTTGAAGAAGTAAATGCAGATATTCTTGCCTACAATGCTGATGTTGGTTCAAGTGTTCTTGTGAACTATGATGTTGATGAAATGCCAGATGTTGTTCCAAATGAAGAACAAATGGTTGATCTTGATGGTGTGAAAGGTGATGGAGATATTAGCTCTGACACTCATGCCAATAACAAGCTCTTTGGAGATGAGATTTCTCCTGTTCTCAGTACTGAAGTTCAAGCTCTAGTTCCTGATGAGCTTAATCTGTTAGACTCCCAACATGTTGAAAGAACAGAAGATGATCAAGTGTTGGGAGAGAAAGGTAATGTTGTTGCAGACATATTATCTGAAGACATGATACTTGAACATAGGGATGATCAGGCAAATATTCCAGAAGAGGTTGCCATTTCATTAAGAGAGGATGAATTCTCTATAGAGGAAGCAAATGATAGGGATGTCATTGAAGACGAAGAGAGTGGGTTCAAAGAAGAGGATGATGATGATGATAATGTTGTAGCTGAAATGCTTGCTGACGATATAACCTTTGAAGAAGGTGAGAGTATGATGAGTACACCTGATCTCCTGTTTTCTGCAAAGACTGATTTGAAAGATGATTTCTTTCAGAACATAAGCAATGCAGAACATTCCTCTCCACAAGGCAGTGATGATGAGGACAATGCCATTGTTGCCAAGGATACTTTTGAGGATCAGCCATTCTCAGAAAGTGATGAAGAGGAATCTAGAGATCAGATCCAAGCTGATGAAGATGGGTTTATAGATATTGAGAATGATTGGTCTCCAAATGACATCAAGGTTGAACTGTCCACTGAGCAATATACTGTCAATGACACTTTGACAATGAACAAGCTATGTGCAACAACAGGAACACCTTTGTCACCTCTACCAGAGGAGTCAGAGACATCTCAAGAAATACTCAGAAATGTTTCAGTCACAAGTATTGAGGATGTATGCATAGATTCAACAGTACAGCTGGAAAGAGAGAATGAAAAGGTCTCCCATAGCCATGAAAGCTATAGTGAAGATGAGGACTGGGAAGAAGACATCCAAGATCATGATGAGATAGTTGATCTTACCCCTGATGTACTTTCTGTTGGTCCTGAGGCTATTGACATTCTTGGTAGTAGTGCTTCTGGTGTTACCGTTTTGGTTTCAAATGAGACAGAGAATGGGTCTGATGCAGGTCATGGTGATGATGTCATGGATAGCGTAGATAAGGTTGAAGAAGAAATTGCCCCTAGTGCTACAAATAAAACATATGATATTCTTGGTGATGACATTGATGAAGAAATTGAGGAAGAAATAGATCCCACATCAGATGAAGAAAATAAGGCTAATGAAGTTGCCCAAATTGTAGATCAGTCTGAAGAAAGCTCCTTAAAACCCCAAGGCAATGAAGAGGTTCAAGTTGATCACAAAACCCCTGTAGGAAAGTATTCTGGGGATTCAGAGGCAGTCCCAGATGTGCAATATGAAGAAAATGATCTCTGGAATGAAAGGAGGGATGATACAGGGGTTACTGACGATATTGGTGTCCAAAATTTCCAGAAAACAGAAGCTGGGGTTAACATGTTTGATCTTGATAATAGGGAAGAAGGATCAGAGTATCCAGAGTCTGGAGCTGAACAGGGCAATGTTGTTGTAGATATGATCTCAGAGGAGATTGTACATGAAAAGAGAGGGTATGTTGGTGGGTTGATGGGTGATTTAGAGGAAGATTCAGGGGATGAAGAAACGAGGGATAAAGGAGATGAAGCTGTTGAGGATTATCCTCAGCAGCAGACTTATCTGGATGAAGATAGAGACCTTGAGGGGGAGGGATCAAACGAGTTGCATGACCATGAGAGAGAGCATGAAGTTGAGAATGATCATCTTGAATCCATGGGTAATGATGAAGATGGGTCGGACAGGGACAGTGATAAACATTCTTGGGATGGGGGTTACGATAATGAGGGACAGAGTAAATTCATTGAAAAAGATGGGGAATTGTTTGATGAAACATCGCATGCCAGCATGGTTTCTGAAAGCTTTGCTGAAGAAATGCCTAATGCAGATAACACTCCAGCTATTGCCACAAGCATGCACACAACTGTTCATGACGTAGAGTTAGACCACTCTCAAGCTCAGGAATCCACCTTCCCAGATGCCAATTCGAATGCCAATGAATCGCCTTCAAATGTACTCATTCTTGGAATGGACAAGAGTAGATTGGAAGGAGATGTTGAGGAACGTACAGAAAATGTTGATATTGACATTGTAGAGGAAGAAATGGTAGTTGCTGCTGTCAGTGCTCCTGTACACAGCAAGTTGAACACAGACTTCTATGAAAAAGAAGAAGAAATCACCTCAGGAAATGAAGAGGGGAATGAATCCGTTCATGATGGAGATGCCAAAATATTCTCCTATCCTACCAAGTGGAATGATGAGGACCATGAAGCATCAGACAATACTTTTCCGGATTTGATGGTCAAAGAGGTTATCAATGATGACTCGGGTGAAGAAGATGTATCTGAAAAGTATGAGTCAGAGAAAGAGACAAACCTGGAGGAGGCAAATATTGTAAACAGCACGTTGAACACAGACTTCTATGAAAAAGAAGAAGAAATCACCTCAGAAAATGAAGAGGAGAATGAATCTATCAGTGATGGAGATGCCAAAATATTCTCCTATCCTACCAAGTGGAACGATGAGGACCATGAAACATCAGACACTACCTTTCCAGATTTGATGGTCAAAGATGTTATCAATGATGATTCAGCTGAGGAAGATCTAAGTGATGAGGATGAGGAGCAGGAAAACATTGAAGTGACAAATGTTGTTTCTGAAACCCTGGCAAGTGATATGGTGCAGGACACTGACATTGATCATAGAGATGATGTCATCTGTGCGCAAGTGGGCAGTACCGAACAGAGCATGCCAGAGGGAGACCTCTATCATGTGGAGGATGATCTTTACAGTCAGCAATCTGCTTATGAGGAAGAGTTCAGCCAGGAAGAAACGGTCCCAAGATCAGCTCTGGTAGACAAAGTACTTGTCAGAATGTTAGCTGAGGATTCGACCACCACTGAGTATGTACCTAGTGAAGATGAAAATGAAATTGCAGAAATGTCTGCAATTCAAAAAGAAGAAACAGAAGAAGACTTTAAGCTACGTGAGATCAGAGCTGGAAATAATGTTATCGATGAAAGTGATGAATCGGATGCTAAAGATGAGAATACTGACATTGGTTCAGAGGCTCAAAGTCAAGAAGACATTACCATCAGCAGCCAGGAGGCAAATGTGACAGAGAGTTCTCCTTCAGTATCAGCAGGTGCCATCTATGATAGTAACCAAATGACAGATGGTGGTAGTCGACAAGACACATCACAGGACCTTGGAGATGGAGTAATGGATAACAGTAGCTCGTATGACGTGACAGTTTCTATGAATGATGATATCCCACAGCCTGAAAGTGATGCTGAGGATATCACTCCAGCTGATGACATTGAATCTGAGACAGTTGGGACCCAAGATCATACAGCAACAGATGCCAGTATAACGGATGTTTCAATGAGTGAGCAAGAGACTAAATCAGATGGTTCAAGCAGTCAGTCCTACCTCGTGGTAGAACCATATGAAAGATTCATGATTTCAGACATAGATGAAGCTGATGAAGAGAATGAGGGTGGTGCTGGATCAAGAAGTTATCAAGTAACAGAGGGAAAGGATTCTGATCATGTTGTTGAAAGCTGGTTTAATACACAGAGTTTATCTTCTGAGTTTGGTGAAGGACTTACAGAAGAGGAAAACAGACAAAAAGAAGCCTATGAAAAATGGGGAGAACCGGTTGAGAACAATCAGATTGAGACATCGGGCAATGACAAGGATGTTCGAACTGCAGCAGATTCCAGTATCAATGCAGTCATTGAAGAAACACAGATGGTACCTCCAAATGCCAATGAAATTTCTGAAGAAGTTGTTGGCATCTCAAGTACTCAAGTTGAGTCATCTAGCACCAAGGAATGGATTCAAGATGGTGTTGAAACAGGAGATGACGAGAACTCAAAAGAAGTTTTCCTGCAGGGTAAATACTTTGAAAATTCCTTTGGTGAAGATGTATCAGATGCAGATAGCGATAAGACGAATCAAGATGGAGAGCTGCCCTCCGATGACATCAGTTTCAGTGAGGAGAGAGAAGGAGAAACACATAAAGAATTAGTCACCACTTCCACACTTAACCAGGGAAATACAGAATCTGATCCTGATGAAGAGGCTGTTCGCTCAATGGCAAAAGAATATGTTGACCAAGTTGTCATGGATGCTGCTGTTTCATATAAAATGTCTTCAAATCAGCATGCAATGTCAAATGATGAAGACATTGGTTCTACCATGATTCCAGAAGCCACAGCATCTGCCATCTTTGAACAAGCTGCAGAAGAATATATTGGTCATGTTGTGTCTCATGATGACGAAGGAGCTCAGCCAAAGATTACAGAGGAACATGATCAAGGACAAGAGTCTCACAGTGAAGAAGGTGTAGAAGTAAACAACTCAGATGACATTGCTCCAGAAGCCCTTGTTTGTAGATATACAGAGCCAGAAGAAACTGCGATGCCTTTCATCATGGAATCAGGAGAGGATCTTGAAGATACAGATGAAGTTCCAGATTTAAGTGCTGTAGAGATAATGGAACAAGATATTGTTGTCCAAGAAATTGTACCAGCCGTTGAAAGTATGCCAGTCACAGAAACAGCCATGGCATTTGTAATGGAATCTGAACAGTATGCATCAAGTGATGATGAAGAAGAGGCAGAAAGTCATGACGAAAATCAAATTACAAACAATAGAGAGGAGAATGGATTTGATGACAAATTTTCAACAGTAGCACAGGCAGTTCCACAAGTACGAGTAACTCCTGCTCTTGTGACAGAAGATAGCTCTGATTCTGAAATATCTTTGGGTGAGAGTGGAGATGTAGGTGAAGAAATTGAAGAAATTGGAGCTACTGCAGCAGTTGAGGAGCTGATTGCACCAGTCTCATTATCTGAAGTCCAAACCAATCCAACTAACTTCTACCATTTGAGTAATGATGAGGATGAGTTTGATGACACATACTCTGATCTATTGGAAGAGTCCAAGAAACTTGAGAGTGACATTGACATGCTGTCTTCTGATGTTACTCCAGAAGTTGATATACACGTGTCTCCAGCACATGATGCTGCCGTTATTGAAGATGAAATGGGCTCTGAATTCCTCCCACACATTGAGCCACTCATCAGTGAACATACTCAAGATGTGACAGAAGAGAGTGTTCCTTCAGAAGAGGTCATTGTGCCACTTCAGCAGGTTGAAGTAGAAATGCTGCCTTCCCAAGATTTTGAAGAAGAAGGGCATGTTCATGGTTCAGAAGATGAAACTTTGAATATCGAGGAAGTAGCGCGGGAATTTGTGGATGATGTCATCAAGAGGGCAACTAAAGATTATGTTGAGTCAGGCCATGAAAGTGCATTTGAAGAGCCAAGCAACATAGAAGAGGTAGAAGGAAATGTGGTTCAAGAAGAAACAGTACCACGTGACGGAGATGATGAAGTATTTGAAGAATATGATAATTTTGATAATTTTAGTATTCCGTATCAGAATAAGGATGCTGCAGCTACTTCAGCTCAATCTTCTCAAGACTACAAGAAGACCGTGAGCGTTGAGGAATCTCTTGTTTCAGGAAATCTTTCAGCTGATTCTGATGATGATGGTGAAGGGAGTAGAATCACACGTCCTACAGAGCTACCCCTTCTCACCGCTTCAGGTCAAGGACTCCTCATCTCCCCTTCTAAGAAGAGTCGTCTAGCCAACGCTACACCTGCAGGAATGTCTCCTGGATCTTTCCTCTCTGGGGGCACACCTGTCAGTCTCTTTACACCAGACTTTGAGAGTGTCGCAAGCACTCCAGGCAGTCTGTCCGACCAAGAGGTAACCCGTCAACACTCTCAATATTCACTCCTTTCTGTGTGCCATTGCAAACATAAAAGTGTGCATTTTCTTGTCACTGGTTTCACCTTGCAGTGTAGTTTTCTCATTTCTGCTTGAAACAGTTTAAAAGTAGTCAGAATATTAATACTAGTTTGCAGGTATATCTTTTTATGGAACAGTACCAAAAAAAGGAAAAGTGTACCATCATACCACCTGTAATTGCCTTCTAGCATGATTTTCCTTCCTTAGCACGATTCGTTGGTTGCTGTGAGTTTGTATTTTTATCTAAAAATTGTATTGGGTGCACGAGTACAGCTTTTTGTAGTTGCCTTCATTTTCAAAATGTAGCCATTCTTTAAAACTCCCTATTCTGCAAACCTCTCATCTAGAATGAATCCAACCTATTTTCTTTCACCTTCTGTGTGTCCCATGGTGTTTGTTCTGTCAAAGAATAAATAATCCAATAAAACTCTGCATGCTGTGTCTGTGTCTTCTCTTGGGTGACATTGTGATTAATGTGTTCTGTTGATACATGTAAGTTCTACATTGAATTGACATGAATCTTGCTTTCATTTTAGCCATACAGTGTTTGTAATATTTTGTATCATTGATCACACACATTAGTGGACATGTACCATCAGCACTGGCAAAATATGCAATTCCATTTCACAGGTCGTAAATTTACATTATGCGATTTCCATCTCTTCCACATCAAAAGATCAAACAATCATGAAAGCTCTGTACTTGTACTGTTTACATTATGCAGCTCATGAATAGATCGAACAGATAGAAGTATGGAAGGATTCTAATCCTCACATCAAATAAAAAGTCATTGTCGAATCACTCAGGCCACACTTTCAATCCTTCATGTACTTCTTGTCACTCATACAGGTATCACAATGCTACAACACTTTCAAATGTATACATAGTCGTGATGCCTCCTTCTATTTCTTTCTATTTCTGTTTACACTGTATCTTTCCTCTCACTCCGTTTAAAAGAATAGTGCTTGTTCAATTCTTTAGGCTTCGGTAAGCAAACTTATTCCTAATCTTGTATATTTTCTGGGGAAAAAAACCCTGCTTGAGCCATTTCTGGGGGAAAAACAGAATTTATTTTGTAATTAATTGTAGATATAAGCATGCTTGTTCTTTGGATGACTGTACAGTAATATGCATGCTTTAAAAAGTAATGTTAATGATATGCATGCAGGAATGAAATTAGAAATTTATTTTCTTCAAAAATATTTAAAAGAAAATATATGCAGTGTTTCTTAAACTACAATGTGAATGACCATATATCAAATTTTGAATTATTTATTTAATATGTGGTTCTGTAAGAAAGCTTAATGTAAATAAAGCTGCAAATTAAACATTTTCTTTATAGGTATTCAAGTTTTATATATAAACTACCAAATTTCAGTTATAGATTATATCAATACATCATGCTGACCAATGGTATTGACCGTTTTTATTTTTTATTTTAATAACTGAATTTCCGTCTACTTTTTGTTGATGCACCAGGCTGAAGCATTAGATACAGGAAGTCGTCTCCTACCAATGTCACCGTTTGACAAGAAGAGCATCTCAGTGGATGAGAGTGTTACCAAGAATCTTGACGAGGAGTGGGATGAAAAAGAGGCCATCCTTAATGCCATCAGAGCTAAGCAAGAGGTAAGTGATGCTACATGTATTGAGATGAGGCATGCACGCACCTTGGTTGGACACATTCCCTGGATGGGAGTCGGAAGTGATGATCCAAGACTTGGAACCTGTATCCTCAGGAAGAAAGCCTTCCTATTTCTGACTTATCGATATTCATCATTCTGTCATCGAAAATGGGTTTGAATGGAGAAAAGCTTGATGGGAGATACAATAGGATCTTTGGTATTTAATTCCAGTTCATTGCGACTTGTTCATTGTTGGTTTTAGCGCTTAGAGACTTCGGTGGTAAGCGCTTTATAAGTAACGTTTTTATTATTATTATTATTATTATTATAAGTCATTTTTCTCAAAGCAGTTTAAAAACTGACTATTTCTAATTTCGTTTGTCCTTCTGATCTGTGATTTTCATTACAGATCAAGCGTGTGATTTTAAACACTGGGAGTAAAGCCCATAATTGTTTGCAAATTCCACATAACTTGTATCATTACCACACCTGTGCAAAGTAGAGGTATGTCCAAACAATGACTAAGTTCTTTCTCTGCATCTCCTTACCCTCTGTCCTTCCAGGAGGCAGAGAGAAGGAACATGCAGCTAGAGGATCCAGGCATGCGTCAGATGTCTATGGACTCTGAGGATTCCATGAAGAGGATGCAGGGCGTGTCTGCGGAGGATGAATGGCAGGATGATGAATACGCTAGACATTCCTTACAAGGAAACAAGGAAGGAGCCAAGAAATCAGAAGAGTCAGACTCCTTCTATAGGAGACCTGTGCCTGAGGTAATTCCATCTTCACTCATGATATATGACATCTTGTAATAATAAATGTCTTGCCTTGGGACATGAATGTTGTTGTAGGGATTCTGTAGTCGGGTGACATATCTACAATACTTCAAAGTAAAAGTGTGATCAGTATCTTTATGAATAAAACATGAAATTTATGTTTAGTTATTGAGTGGTTTATGATTCTTCTTCATGTAATCTTTTGTCCAGGATGAGCGTAAAGCTGCTGATGGAGCTGAACACACGGTAACATCCGATGGTGTTGTCTTGCGTGAGAAGAAGCTTACCAGACCCAACACTCTGTTGAACAGACTGAGTATACAGAGCGTCAACTCTGTGTTTAGTGAGGGCAGCATTGATCTGGAGAACATCAGTGATGATGATGAAGCAGAGGCAGAGAAACCAAACAGTCAATGTAAGAAGTCTGGTTGAAAGGCAACATCATCATGTACATTTAATCTATGTATTCGCATGGCATTGCAAAAGTCAAGTTGTATTCTGAAAACTAGAGGACCTAAACGTAATATGTAGTCATATGTAGTCTGTTAATATCGTAGTGAGTTCTGTAGTAGTACTTTTCAGTAATTTGTAGAAGATTTGATGAACAAGGAATGAAATTTGAGTAGACCAGGTAAAATGGTTTCATCACAAAATGCATTTTCTCAATTTATATGCAATAGTGTTTATTTGCAATAAAAACTCTTACATATTGCTGTTTGATTGACATTGCCTTAACAAATTTAAATGTGCTAATTATGACAAATGTTCCCTAAAAACACCTTGCGATGGTTTAGGCTTGTTTTTGCATTGATATCATCAAAAGCTGAACGCTTTCAGGAGTACACTTAGCTTTACATTTCAGAATCATCACTTACTATTATCCTTTACTCATCTATTTGCGTGTTGAAAGGTCATGTTTGTTTGATCTATTTCCTTTCCAGCATCCCAGCATGGTGATCCCTCAGGAGCTCGGCCCAAGGAGAAGAGGAAGATACGAGCTGAACTATCTCTCAACCTAGATGATACCATCACATCACAGCACACAGATGATGGGACCACACCCGCTGTCCTTACCCCTACCAGTACAGAGATGTCATGGGAAGGTATCTATCTATACATGGCTCCATTCTTTCAGTCAATACAGTAGTAAATGGGATGTATGTTTGGGGTATTTTCAGAGGAGCAAGGTCGGCAAATTTATGCTTATTCTAGATAATTTTAAATAGACCAGTGAAGATTAACAGTAATTTTAATTTGTTCTTTATTTTCTGGATTAACTATTATCACCAGTTTGAGGGCTCTTACATCTAACTTTTAAGTTTGCATTGCTGAAGTCTGCATATTGTTATTATTTTAAGAAATAACAAGTTTTTCTAAAGTAGGTTGTCAAGTAATCTTACACATGATAAATCTTCTTTTCGTCTGACACATGTTTGTCCTTACATATTTTGTATTGTATGCAAATCAAACTTATCAGTTATAAATGCAACTTTACTCTAAATGCAAGCATACAGTGATGAACGTAGCAACTGGATAATTCTTCTATTCATGTAGATGACACACCAATGAACAAGGCAGAACCCATTGAGGAGTACAGCGCCAGGGAAGAGCATGAAGACAGATGGAGATGGAGAAAGGTCAACCTGGGAGGCAAGGACTATACCATTGATATGAAGGCAATCAATCCCTACAAAAAAGTCTTATCTCATGGAGGTAAGTTTAACTTTCTCTGCTCATTCAATTCTCTTATTTGGGGAGCAGTGTTTTTCCTCTTTACAGAGTTTAACCTTAAATACAAAGTATAAACTAGATAAAGCTCTATTATTGGGTGTCAACAGGAATATGGCACCTTTGAAATGCTGTGAAGAATCTTCATCATCATCAGAACCATCATGATCATCATCAGAATCATCAGAATCTTCATGAATATGATCTTCATCATCATTATCATAGTCATTATTGTCACTATCACCAACTTCATCATCATCATCGTTGTCTTCATTACAATCATTAATTGCTTATTTTGAATTTTAATGGCAAAATAAATGAATAAATGAATAAATGAAATAATGACAAATACATGTAGTTGGGGATGTTCAATTCAGTGTAATTGTTTCTTAACCAGCATTAAGAAACATGTATAATAATTTTATTAATCGTGTGCGACAACACAGATAAATTGTGATATCATTATACCCTGATTTTAAAAAAGTATACATACTTCAAGGATTAACTCAAAAAATATTTACTTATTTAAAAATTATATATACATCTACCAAAAAATGTGGAATGTCTCAAAAAGTTTTTTTTAAAGAAAAGTAAGAAACTAATCATTTACCTAGAAGGAATGAAGTATGTTGAAGCATTCCATCTTAACATTTGGTACAATGTATCTGTTCTCTGAATTTCAGGTTACTATGGTGAAGGTCTCAATGCCATCATTGTGTTTGCATCCTGCTACCTGCCAGAGAAATCACGGAAGGATTATACCTACCTAATGAACAACCTCTTCCTCTATGTGGTGAGCACCTTGGAGCTCCTAGTGGCCCAGGAGTACATCATCATCTATTTCCATGGTTCCGCATCCAGCGATAAGATACCCTCACTGGGATGGATGAGGAAGTGCTACCAGATGATTGATAGAAAGTAAGTTTGTTTGTTTTTATTTCTGTATAAAATCATCCCAACATACAAATACATACATAAATGAGATATACGGCGGATAGCCCATTTCAGGTGTATTAACAAAATACACCTGCTCTTTCATGGGGTCCGGATAAAAAGCTATTATATAAAAATCTGATATTTTATACAATCATGGGGAAATTAGAATTAAAAGTATATAAATTCAATATAAACATTTCAAATCATGTCTTTAAGATCAGAATGAAAGAATCAATAGAAAAATTGTATTAATCTGTATCGTAAGGCAAATGTAGATAAGAATATGTCAATTTTCAAAGAGGGCCTCTCCCTTCTTGCTAACGTTAAACAGCCATATGCTGATTTTCCCACATCCATTCATTTTGGTATTGTTCGTCATTTGTTTTTCTGTTCTATAAACAACCCATACCCTGTACTATGTAAAATATCTCTTACATGTGAGAAAATCACAAAATGTTGTTCTTTTCATCTCCACTTGATAACAAAACAGATCGTAACATATTTTCTGTAAATTTCAATTTATATACATGTACTATCCTTATATTCTAGCAATTATTGATGATGCAATTTCTTGTATTTTGTGAACAGGTTGAGGAAGAGTCTGAAAGGACTGTACCTTGTACATCCCACCACATGGCTCAAGGCTATTGTGAAACTCACCAAGCCTTTCATCAGGTATGTTCTCCATTATATCAAATGCACTTTCAATGAAAATACTCATTTTACCAATGATAGTGAAGAAATAAAATAATCTTTAATGTCATAATTACAATTGTTTTCTGTTTAATTATTTGTTATGTTTTTGTTTTTTTAATAAAAAATGAAATACTAATCTTCATCTGGAGAATGCAGGAATAAAGGTTGTGATTGTTATGAGGTTCCAGATGGATTATAAATCAATACCCTATTCTGTACTTGTTACATTATTTAGTTTCACCCACAAATAGTCAAGCTTGAAATGGTTTCTAGAAGATTCAAGTTTAGAATTCCATCTGTAGTGGCTTTCCTTAAGGCCAAATATACATAAAAGAATCATACATTCAAGCTAGATTCTGTTGATTCAATCTGTCTTTTGTTTGTGTTTTGTTTGCATTTACACAGTGCCAAGTTCAGCAACAAGCTCAAATTTGTCAAATCACTTGTCGAGCTGAAGTCTTTGGTTTCCATGGAGTATGTGTACATACCTGAGGAGGTCAAGAGGTCAGTATATATATTACAACGAGAGGGAAATAGATTCAAATGTTTAATTCTGAAAGGAGGGGCTCAATAGGGACTTGGAAAGATCAAGTTCCAGAAAAAAGAAATAAACTAAAATCCATTACAATTTAATCTGATTGTAATGGTGAGGGTTATGGGGATTTTGATGGTGATGTTTATGATTATGGTACATGTAGTTGTGGTGATAGAATGATGAATGTGATGGTGATAATAGGTGGCCTTGATGGTGTTGAGGTTGTACGACACATGCTCAAGCAACAATTCCCCCTTGTACATTATGTACACAAACCAATTTCTAAATGTCAACTCTGGATCAAACACTATACCCAACACTAACCCTAAACCTAACTTAAAATCCTAAACATGACCCTATTTCTTTGATGAAATAAAGTCTAGAGCAATCGTCTGAAGAGCATATGTTGTAGCGATAGTGTTGATAGTGATGGTACTCATGAATCTGATGCCACAACAACATTGAAGATGACTGTAATGATTCTGCATCAATTTCATAGACATTCTGCTATTATCCATCTTCATGAACTATACAAATAATTCAAATAAATGAATTGAAGCTCCACAGCTGGCCTTCCCTAAAATTTCTTTGCCCTTTTTCATAGAAGTAGCTCTCTCTCTCTCTCTCTCTCTCTCTCTCTCTCTCTCTTATATAATGATATATCTTCTTGTGTATATAAATTTTTATTTGCAGGCACATACTTTCATCCATAATATACATATAATACAAAATTGTTTTCATTCGTCTGCTCTTGATACACAGAGAGGACATCTTCTTTGAATAGCTTTCTCTGTAAGAAATACATCTTAACACCAACTTTTCCCGACTCCCATTTAGATAACAAAATAGTGTTTCATAATGAAGTGTTCCTGTTTGACAAATAAATATATTTTTACTCCCAAACTGCATTGTTTGAAGTTAAAGTCGCCTTGAAGAATTTTTTTTCTCACCATGTTATTTTTCTCGAGGAGACTTAATCATGTTTAACAACCCCAACCTGTCTTTAATTATTGTTCTTGACTTTAATTAGTCTTAAAGTTTTCATGCATGTTCACCTCTATCTCATTACTATTACATGTATTACCCAACTTTGTATTTAGTGAGAGTGAAAGCATTAGTAATTGATTGTGTGTGGTGTTACTATAGAATGAAATATACTTATCAAGTACGACATTGTGGCATAATACTTTATTGTAATTTATGATAGTAACTTAGAAATGTGTTGAACAACATTTTTATGGATCAAAACATATTTGAATTTGTTTTTTGATGCGACACTGATCAATTTTAGAATTAAAACAATACAACAACAAACAAAAACAGGAAAAAAATCTCAGCAAATGCTGGTCTATAAAGAGACTTTTATCACATTTATTGGAAATGTCTATCAAACCTTATAAAAGTATCTTATTTTAATAACAATGAAGCATAGAGCACTTTGTCCTTTTATAGGATTGTGGTGTGTATATCAATAAAACCTGTCATCAAATGATCTTACTAAAAAACTGTTGTTTCTTTCCTTGCTTGCTTTCCATTGCCTTGCTATTCCAGGTTTGACCAAAACAAGAATAAGGTAATTCACCTCTTTTAATGCATGCTGTCTCTGTCTTTCCTTCTTTCTCAAAGCAGTGTTGATCTCTCTATCAAGTTGTAATAGTATTGCCAAGCATTTTCAAAGCAATATTCAAAGCAATTATTTTTAGTACATTTAGATAGTAGCCGGTTAAGTAGAAATGTATTATTACTGCAGTGAGATATTCTTGTCTGTCATTTTGATGAAGCTGGTGTATGTGGTATTTTAATTTGATATATATATTTTTTTTTTAATGTACTTGGTTTCTCAAAAAAGCTGTACAGTTAATTTATTACAATGCTTGATGGTTGTGTAGTTCTACTTTCTGCAAAGTAATAATTCTATATGAAGATAAATGTCAGTATCGTCTCTTTCAATAGATGTGCCAAGCTTTAGCAGTGACAGATATGTGACTCTATAGTCATGTTTTCTTTTTTCCCTTTGGCTAATTATTGTCTTCATTAGTTTCCCCAGAGTACACTTTGTGCAGACTATCCTTATTTGAAATTTTTTTTTTGTCTGTTGAAAATTGTTCACCTTTTAAGATACATAAGATAACAAGTGCACTTGTACTTTCTCTATTTGCTCTGTAATCTTTTCTAGCAGTATCTTTCTGTCGCTGTGCATTCTTTTCTAAAAAATTATTGTTCCATATGCTTTCTTCTTTCCACTCATCGTCTGTGTGTCTACATTTAGGGTGGCGGTACAATCTGGGGTCAGTACCTCCTTTTTCCTACCTCCCTTGTCCTTAATCCCCTAGCCCCCTCCCTCTTCTTCCCCATGAGCAAGCTCTTGCTTCGTCTCTGGTCCCTACACCCCTCCACGCCCCATCTTGCATCCCTGCATGGGCCCCTGTGGCCTTCACGAAACTTGGCCTATGTGCTACGAACTACTCTTACCTTACTGTGTAAGGCTCTACATGTACATGCATGAAGTAAAGATGGCAGTCAGTCATCCATAGTGATATTTGACTCCTTACTCTAGTGCATGTTGACATTTATTTACAAATTATTATTAAGTATTATACTAACACATCTGGTAATGCATTCATTTTATCATAAAACAGGAAATACTGGTGTAAGCTATAGTTTTTTTCAGGTGCATGTTCAAATTATCTTTAACAGTGCTAATAATGGAAATGTATTCAGAATTATGTCTAATGAATTATTGAATTATACATGTCCTGGTTATCTGATTGTTATACTATTCCATCTTACTTTGTTAATGGCTGTGATTTTTATTTCAAATTGAAAGGATGTCTACTTTATTTTCAATTTTCTATCTAAAAGATATGCACGATTGTATTACATTCTTTTTTTTCCTGGGTTGGTGGGGGGGGGGGGGGGGCTTCATATTGATACATGCTTTTAATTTCAAGCCCATTCATTGAAAAGAATATTATTTTTTACTAACTGCACTCTTAAATTATATATATTTATTTCTGTTAAATTCAATTATAATGAAATGCTTAAAGGTAGTGCTCATCTAAAAAAATTAAAAAAACTTTCAAATCTTGTTTAAATGCTAGTTTTTATTTGAGAATTTAGTGATGAATTATATTGCAATGTGAAGGCATGTTTTTGATCTAACCAACATCAGCTTATAAAATCATGGATTTATCAGAATAATTTTAATTGTGAGTCATGACTATTTTTAACACAAATAGATTTTTTTTTTCTTCAGTTTTAGACTATAGTTATTGTCCATAGCATGATTTTATCTGAAAGATTTGAGCAGATTGTGCATTTTGAGAGTATGGTTATCTGATTTTAAAAAAAAGTGTATTTGATGAATTCACACTATTAAAGGTGAAAATAGTCCGTCGGTGACATAGACTTTATACTTTCTGAGCAAATGTATTGTTTGATAAAAGTGCACATTTGCTGCATTTATATTCTTATTATATACTTGTGTAAAATTGTCAATTTAACCAGATTTGAGTTCTAAAGATCATGACAAGAAAGAAGATAATACAGGCCTTTTGTTTCTCTGGAATATGACCTCTTAGTTGTCACTAACTTTCTGATGAAAATGATATCCCTTTACATCATTGGAATCAGATTCAAATAGTGATGTAATGAAGTGGATGAAAACTCTTAGAAGGGAGTAGTCTTCAATATCTAGATGCAGCTTTGGATAATTTATATACGATATAAATGTACAAATTATAGAAGAAGTGTCAGTTTATAAATAGTTTGAAAATGGAAGGTGCCATTCTTAACGTGGGAAATTAAATTTGAATTGTTTTGTAATAAAAAGGTACATTTTTTTGCTTATCAGAATTACAGGACTTTCACATCAAACACTATTATGTTGTATACATATATGATGTTTCCTTTTTGTTTTTATTTTTTGGTGAAACAGCTAGACTAATAGAACTATGGTTAAAATCAGGTAATGTGATGGTTATTAATTCTATATTAAACTGTTTTTGCATCCCAGATCTGGTGTGTTGGAAAAAAATATTTATGTATATATATATATCTGAATGTAATTTGAAGATGAAATATGTACTTCTGCAATATTAGTGTTTATTTTATGTGAGGAAGAGCAGTAGTGTAGTGTTTATGCATCCCAATTTCTGGTGTTTTGGAGACAAATTGAATGAGTGCAATTTGAAGTTTGAATAGTAATTCTGCAGTTTGATATCTATTTAATGTGAGAATATGCAACATTGATTATAATACTGTTGTGCATCCCAGTTATTGTGTGGCAAAAAATACCTGTCTAACAATGCAGCAGTTTGGTATTGGTTTTCTTTTGTCAATAAAACATTGCAAATACAATGTCTTGATTGAGTGTTTATCTGGTGATTTGAAGATCTTATGCATTAGCCTCCAAGAGCATCATGTGAGGCTGTCTACTCTGTCTGTAGGAAAATAAATTAGTATAGAAATAGAATGCATAATAATGGGAATTTGCATGAAATTTACAAACACTGCAAAGTTTGACGGTTAGTATTCAGTGAGGTTTATTATGAAGTAAAGTATATGGCAGCCAGATGAAGTTTCTGCATCTACAAACAGTTTGTATTCAATATGAGCAGTAATCTGTGAAGTCTTTTAATTGATTTTTTGCACTTTAGTCCAACGGTCAAGGAACTGCTTTTTATCTTTTTTCATATTTAAGAGCAGCTGCTAATTGATTGCTAATGGAACTTTCAGAATTGTGAATTCCATTACCTTTTCTCTTATCTCTGGGTAAACACACATGTACTACACCCTGGGGTGTCATGCTGAAAGTGGTTGCCAAAAAAACTTATGCGACTATTCAGCTTTAATTAAGACTTTAGTGAGCGTTAATTAATACTTTAGTAAGCTCTTGAATACTAAATTGATAATTCGCCTGCTAAATTTACTTCCAGAATAATATGCCAATGTAGTAAACAAAGGAGACTTTATATGTGATATTTTTTTAGGCTCAGAGCTTGTTATTGTTCTTCTTTTGAACATTTTTCCCTACTTCTTTCTATTCCCCCTTTCAATCTGATTCTTTTGTTCTTTTCATTTATTGTATAGTAAGTTGTTCTGTTAGTAATGGGCTATTATTATGTAAACTCAATACTTCCGAGACAAATGGTCTGGAGAGACAAAGAATGTCATTTTTGGGGAAGCAAAACTGTTTTTTTACAGGGAAAATCTCTTTGGTCAGTAAATCTTTCTATTGTTTTGTCTTCTCTCTCTCTCTCTCTCTCTCTCTCTCTTTCTCTATCTCTCTATCTCTCTCTCTCTCTCTCTCTCTCTCTCTCTGTCTTTCTTTCTTTCTTTGTCTTTGTCTTTGTCTTTCTCTCTCTCTTTTTTGTTTTACTTTCCCATTTTATATAAATATATTCAAATATATTCATTCATATATTCAAATAAGTATTAAACCTGTATTTTACTTGATGGTGAGCCAGATGTAATTTAACAAGATGCACAGTCAGTACAGATGTGTTTCATCACTATTTATTAGACAAATTAAATGCTCTGGTAATCTTTCTTACCTTATTAAAAGATTCATGACTAATTCACATCTTATTTTAATTTCCAGCATGATTTTGGTGCATTTGCAGCGCTAGGAATGAATAAGCATGATTTTCAGTTTTAACATTTAATTAAAAAAACCTTTTCATGAATGGACGCTCAGAGACAATTTATGCATTTAAGATTTATAGCACCAAGACCATTTCAGGTGCTTTTACATGTATACCTGGTATGTAATTAGTTATACTGTATCACCGGTATGCAATTGTTTGGAATTACAACCATTGATAAAGAAAGAAATCTTTTGAATAGTGTTTTCAACAATAAATTGAAAAGGAAGTATCAGTGCATTTCTGAATATTGTCTTTACTAGTGGAACCATTCATGATCAGGACATATGTATAATATATATGTTTATCTGTTAACAACTGGCTTACTATATTATCCTTTTTAAATATGTCTATTAGGAAATAGAAAATGTTGGTTCAGTTGTATATGATTGAACATTGGTTAGCCATAATGTGATATATACACCACTGTTTACTTTCTTCAAATTCAGTCAATTTTCATACTTTTCCATAAATCAAAAATATTTTGTGATGGGAGCATGTAGAGCATTGCATGAGGATCATTCAGTTCCAAATACATAATGAAAGAAATCAGTGGGAATATCAGCGGTATGACTTTATTTTATCTCATGTGCCTTGGTTCTGGATGATTTCATTACCTGTGTCCTAATGTGATTCTGTTGTTTGATATCATTATGTAGGGTGGATAGCTGGTCCTCCTCCGGTCGACGATGAAGACTGGTTCTCTCTGGAAGAAGGCTATGATTCTGATTACTCCATCACTGCAGATTTCCTCTTGTCTCCTCACAACCCACCCAACTGGCATCGCCGCCGGCAACGCAAACGTCTCCTCATCAAGGCGGGGCAATTCAACTTCTCATCCTCTGACGAGGAAGGTAGAAAGGAAGGAGATACAGGCGGGAGACGTCAGCACCGTAGAAACCCTCGCCAACACCAGCAGGAGCAGCATCCTCCAACTACATCCTCATCACACCATGGGGATGAGAGCACCGCGACCACGCCCGGTAGCATTGGTATCAACCTGGGTCCAGCCATCAGCCCTCAGGATTACCTGACCGAATGGTACTTCAAGCGCAGGACTCAATCATACAGTGGGTTCATTGAAGACGATACCTTCTCTTACAACCACATCATTGCCACGCCAGAGGTGGAGAGACGCACATGGAAGGAGGTGTTCGGTGATGAGCTTGCACATGGTAGTATCGAGTACGATGGAGAAGATGAAGAGGAGGATGCTGATGCTGATCATAACTCAGCCACTGAGAGCCATGGTCAACTAGAACTCAGCTCATAAAACTGCTTTCAGTTCCCCTAATGAACCCTTTATATTACACCCCCCCCCCCCCAATCATATCTACTCTGTAAACTCACCATTGCTTCTCATACCTGGGATATCTCTAGCAGAATATGCTCAGAAGAAGAAGGACATTAACTTTCTGTTCAAAGTTAATGCCCTTCTTGCTCTAAGCAGACGATACCAGGATATATATATATATATGTATATACTTTTCAGAACAAAACTTCTTTATTTGTACTGCCATAGTGTATCTTATTTTGATAGGGAAGGTGATGAATGTAATATTACCTTGTAATCGTTTATTTCATAGAGTCGTATTGAGATACATTTCTAGAAATCAGTGAAGTATATATTTTGAGGTGTATAGTGCAATAAACAGATTTTGCATCTGATTTGACAGATGTTATGAATTTTTAAAGTATTAACAGTAAAATGAACATTTTCTTGTATATCCTACTTTTGTGTGAGAAGAAAGAAAAAGAAGGTATATATTATTCTGTATGTATAAAAGAAATTATATGTATATCGATCAATTGTTAAGATATGTTCATATTTTGCTCTGCATCTGTCTTGTTTCAAAGTTTTAGCAATGATTTCATGGAATCAAATATATTTTCGATGATATATTTGTAAAATTTTTGTTTTAGGAATATCCTACTTCTGAATTTTCAAGTTGAATTATAGACATATATTCTTATGTTCATCACTTTTTCTTTTTATTAGAATTAGAGCAAAATCCACATTGTCTCAATTTTTCCATGGACAGTTTATATCTTTTGAGTTTGGATTCATTGTAAAATGGAAGTACATATAAATGTATAGACTTCCATCAAATGCAGGCAATATTTGACCTGTATGTATAAAAGAAATTATATGTGTATCAATCTATTGTTGAGATTTTAAAGCAAGGTACAAAGAAAGATATGGATCTACTTTTGTATTGATGATGATTCAATGTTTTTGCACTAATATATTTTCAGTAATACATTGCAATATTGGATTATATTTACCAGTTTACTTTTGCAAGAGTATTTGTTTTACCAGAAACCTTCAGTATTTGGTGAAATTGTCCTTCTTCACAAGTTTTGCGGCACCTGTTGTTTCTACTATGTAGTGTCTGAGAATAAAAATGATTGTACTATTGGTAAAAAGAGGACTGTAACTTTTCCCAAGCAAAGCCTTTTAAGCTTCATTTATTCTAATCTGCCTTACTTAACTGTTTGATATTAATGACTACTAAAGCCTTCTTTTTTAATCTTATAACTCTGATAAGAGATTGACTAAATGTTGGTCATATACACTTTTATTTTGTAGTAATGGTACCCATTTTCAGGAATACTAATATCCCAATGATGTATGTATTTTAGTCATGCTACATGTATTATATTCATACATGTTTATTCATACTTTTTGCATGAATACTTATTTTCATGCAAGATGTATGACTATGAATGTTTTTAAGGAATGTTTGTGTGCATTTTTGCTGCTTTCTTTCTGTTTTGCTTATTTTGTTTACAACTGCTTTAGTTTTCAGTGCCTCTCCTCTCTGGTGCAAAGAAAGAACTGTTATGTATGCTATTAACTAAATTTGGTTATGAACAAATACTTATAGGTAAAAGGCATTTACAGAAATTATACCATCTGCTGCCTTACACAAGTAAATATTCAAACTATTTCCTTATTATCTCCATTAATTTTCTCTTTATTTTACTATATATTAAGGTTATGAAAGAATTTGAAACTTCTTTAAATTGTATTGCCTGTAAGAAATCTATAATTTTTCAAGTGGGAAAATGGCCCTTTTCCCTTTTACCTTTGCTTATCAATTTTAATGATCGTGTTTATACTTTTCAAATTATTTATACCTTTTTGGTTTTGCAAAATGATAATTACATATGATATGTACATTTACAAGAAAGCCATATACATGGCCATGTGAAAGAATTGATGTAAACTTTTTAAAAAACATATATTGTAATAAAATTGTTACTGTTTTAGAAAGATTAATTGTCCAGTGAATATATTTGTAGAGGACAGTCTTAATACTGGATTCATTAACATAGATTGATTGTACTGCAATCAAAAGAGATTGTGGCTGTTTGTGCATACCACAATTAATGGTATGTCACTAAAACATGGTTTAATTCACAATGTTTACAATCCATTATTTCTCTTACAATCTCTCAACATAACTTTAACAAGTCTTCCAGTTCACCACTGCTTTCAAATGATTTCCAAAGTGATAAATGTAGAAATTCAAGATATTTATCTTGCTATTATTGCATGTTTATCAGTATGTATCTTTCTGTGATATCAAATATATTTTATTACTTGATAGTTTGAATTGTAAAGCTTATAAGTAATTATTGAATTGTACAAAAAAGAGTTTATTGCAGAAATTGGATCATTAAGAATTACTTCATGTATTTGCATACCGGTAGGTATTTTCTAAATTAGAAATTTTACATTTGAATCAATTTATTAGCTGGTAGGATAACAGACAGGTAATACAATAATCTGTGAGGATAGTTTAGAATTAAAAGGGAGGCCAGTACTTAAGATGCATTTTAGTGTGCTGCTTTTATCTTTTTTCCATCTCTTTGCAATTTTGGCTTATATTATTATTGAAATAGTCAGTACTTCAAATCTACACACGATGATGAATGATGAGGCTTTAGTAGATCTCTCTCAGAGTATAACTATCATAATACTGATATGTCATTCACAAGTGCAAAGATATTGGGTTATATTAAAAGACAAAGTATTGTTGCATACCTAATGAGATATGTCTGATTTGTTGTCAATTGAATCCTCAGCTGAAGCAGTGAAAAGGGAAGTCCATCCTCACTTAAAGTTAGTTTCAGTCAACATTAAAAATAAAACAGTTAGGTAGTTCATGGAAAATCAGGTACAGATTAGAAAGTTATGAATTTCAAAGGTTTTCGAAGATCACTACACAAATTTCCAACTCTTTTATTTTTCTTTGAGAGCTTCTTTTTTCACAAAAGATTTCATGTTATTTTTTTTCTTCTAAAGAAAATATTTTCCCAATCCTGTCCTTGAAATATGTAACTGTAACCTCTACAGATCCCTCTCTCTGAAATAAATATGACCCATCATAAAAAAAACAACTCCAGAGTGGGTATATTGGTTTTTGGAGTTTACAAGTCTAAAGAGAAGCTTACATTTTGACCATCAAACCATTGCCAATTATGGATGGATCTTTAGAACTGCAGATCTTCATAACTCACTTATTCTTTATCTGATTTATCTCATAACTTCACTGGACATTTTTCTTCAAGTTTTGTATGACTGAAATCCACTTGATGTTAGGTGGACGTGGTCTTTAATGAGATATGAAAAGAGTGAAGAGCCTTTCTCACTTTGCAAAGATTGGTGCCAATCATGACTTGTGAACTTTGGAAATGACATGTATATAATGGTATAATGGGCATTTTCTTGTTACGACTCCTTAAAGGGATCCGGTAACTTTGTCTTAGATACTTTAGAAATAATCCTTGATTTAGCTCATGCTGCAATGATAATTATAAACCTTCAGGTCAGTCAGGAACTCCATGACTTTTGCAAGCCGATCGCCTGTCTGATTATCAAGATATTAATGATTGAAATTACAAATTTTGAAAACCGTTCACCGAACGGTTTTCATAACACTACAGTCTATCGGGGAAAACGAGTATGGTAAAACCGGTCACTCAAAGATTTTTACTTTTTTTTTTGCACTTCTTGATCATTTTGAAGCGCGATTTTTTTTAGGGCTTCAATATTACACCATCTCACAGACACTGGTAACATGTAGGACCGTGTATCTCAGATTTAACATTGTTAAACGATCCCTTTATGTGTTTGGAAAATGCTTGAAATATGTTTTGAACACTGGTAGTTGAGCTTCTACAAATCAGGAGCATTAAGAGCTTGGAAAATAGGGCACCCAGCAAAGTGGGACAGGATTTTGAAGACTGAAAGGATATGGCTCAAAAGGTGTACAGGTAGAAGTAGATGATAGGGAGGGAGAGAGAGAGAAAGAGAGAGAGAGAGAGAAAGGAGAGAGAGAGAGAGGGAGAGAGAGAGAGAGAGAGAGAGAAAGAGAGAGAAAGGAGAGAGAGAGGGAGAGAGAGAGAGAGAGAAAGAGAGAGAGAGAAAGGAGAGAGAGGGAGAGGGAGAGAGAGAGAGAGAGAGAAAGGAGAGAGAGAGAGAGAGGGAGAGAGAGAGAGAGAGAGAGAGAGAGAAAGGAGTGAAAGATAGAGCAATGGTAGCAAAGAAATGTGAGAAAAAAAGGACCATGAGGGGGCAAGAGAGAGAGAGAGATACATCTAGCTCTAAAAACCTAAGCCAAGCAGACTCTGACTCAGAGACATATAATGATCATCACATTTCTTATTTCATATAAACATTTATTTATTGCACGTTCTCTATCATCTCTATGCTCACTATATTAAGTATGTGTACATGTATTTCTGAAAAAGAACAGACTTTATTATGTAACCAAGACTAGACTAATCTTGCCTAAGGTATATATTCAATCCGATCAATATTTGAAACAGTATGAATGTGGATTTTTTTTTTTAGCTGCTAGTTTACATATAAATGTTTACACAAAATGTGTAAAGATCAATGGCATATATACATGTATGCTCCACAGGCCATGCAGAACTTTCTGAAAAACACTTTTTTTTTCAGTGTATACAGGCTATGATTCAATACTTGTTAATTCAAAAAGTTGAAAAAAACATATTCCAAAATTAATGTACTTATTTCACAAAAAAAAACAATGAAGTAAAACAATAAATACAACAGGAATGAAAAATAGCTGCAACTGTCACAGCTTTCCAAAGGATAAACATATTTACATCGAGTGCATCCAATCTATTGCTTATGGAATTGTGCACAAGTTTGATGGGAGGAGGACCGACCATCCACCCAGAAGAATGACATCAAGCCAGAGAATCTAAGTACATTATTATTGTTATTATAATCACATTAGGACACAGGTAATGAAATCATACAGAACCAAGGCACATGTTGTACATTCAAAATTATTTGTTCAATCTACGATGCAACTGAAACAAACTCAAACTTTGTGCAAACTATATTTCTCAAATACAATGAGATCAGTATAGTGCTAGTCTCCTTTTCTGGATATTATACCTTCAAGGGGCTGTTTGTGCTTATTCTTTAACAATCCAAACAATTGCATTTAGCCAATAATTTATGTAAGTAATTAAGTGGGTAATGGACGTTATTCTGATTTTATTATACCCTGTAACAAACTCTAATTGACAAAAGAAAGATATATTCTAAGTTATTTCCCACTATAAACATAAAAATATAACAATTTGTGCACTATCAGCATTTTTACACACTAAATACAAACTCACTGCAAAATATAGAGTACATCGTCACTACACTCTTCGGTTTTTCATCCTTATAAAAATGACTAATTAAATTCACACAGCTTCAACTGAAAGATAATGTCCCGAGACGCATAATTTTTTATAAAATGTCATACAAAAATACCTGATGATGCAGCTCTGAGGCTTGTATGGTACACATATACAGAGATGTACTATGAGAAAATACAAGAATCTATTACTAAAGACCAACTTTTTTCTTAAATGAGATAGCACATTATATTAACCATGTAGAATGTTAATAAATTTGGCTATCATTTTCATTTCAATGCGAGGTGCTAATGAGGTTGCATTATTTGGGCTAATATGAAGGTCCAATTTGTTTCAATTGATGAATTCATTAAAAAAAAATTGTACAATAATGGCAAATTCCAATGACACTGTGTATCCCTAAAGCTTTGTTCATATGGGAGGCGGCAAAACTACAGCACTTTTTTAATGACGCAAAGTGTAATACGCTTAATATTTCCTATCTTATATCACAAAGCACAGTGAATATGCGTAAGACCGCAGTTGCCCGCAGTTCCCATGCATTAACAAAATAAACTGGCAAACTTTTGTGTTGCGGTTTACCGTGGTGTGGTGGTCATATCTGAATAAGCCTCAATACAATCTCTATGACCTATCTCACAAAGTAAAGGTATTAGATAATTCCTAATAAATTGAAATGGCAAGAAAAGGAACGGCAGGTATTTGATTTTCATGCTTGGAGTAAACTATGGAATGACAAACACTTTGGTTTTGAACTCCATAACCTTTCTTTCAGCTACATACAGCAAACCTCTCAATAAAATTGGCAAAATAAACACATTTCTATGGGGGGGGGGGGGGTCGGATTCATAAATAAAGATGGATAAAATTTCTCTCGTAAAGATCAAAACACTTAAAGGCTATCACTTCCGTGGGACTTTCCTCTTCTCAAATATCATTAAAATAGTTTGTAAGTAGATGTACATCAAAAAACCTTAAAATCTGTATGTTTGGAGTTCCATATCCGTTCACTATTTTCCAAAATCAGCTCTAAATATTACTTCTACAAAGAATTTCATGAGTTGCAATCACTACCAGAATACAAATGGGCACTTCAAATTGGCTGAATGGTTACTTTCCAGCTTCTTTCAAAACACAAAATGACCAACATCTACATTACAACAGAATGTGTTGTATATGGCATATAAACAATGCTTGAAAACACAGGAATACATTATGATTATGACAAACAAATATAATTTACTATAAAACTACCTTTGTTTACACAAAAGTGTTGTTAGTAAAGGCTAATTATTGAGACTGAAATGTTTGTACTAGCGTTAAATATAATTTAAATATTTTGACTAAAGTGAAGAAACTGAAATAAAGTGGGTACTACTTGTGCTATATCAAATAATATTTTGGTAAAGATATATAATCTACTATATAAATAGGCCTACACAAAACAGACTTCTAATCTTGACTAGTTGCTTATTGGATGGACATGAAAATAGACTTTCATCACTTCTTGGACGCTAGATACTTATCATAACTGTTACATGCGATCACCATCTTAGCCAAGAAACCTGGTATTCCACTCTGTAAAAGAAGCACAAAATTTCATTATTTACATTTATTTAGCTTTTGGATAAAAATGTGAGACCATTACTTAATACATGTATAAATCATAAATGATCAAAAATATAATTGCATACAAAGATAGTGGATTATGATCATCTATATTTGTGCATTTCTCTTGCATTTAAAGTAAATAGTACCAGATCGGATGCTAACAAAAACACACAAACCACATACCGTACATTCAAACAAATACAGCTGTGAATGGCAAGTAATTTGGAAAGAAAGAAATTATGAAAAATAGGGAAAAGAGAGATAGAAAAAAAGGTAAAGACTGAGAGAGAATACTGGAAGGGAATTCTGATTGGATATTCAATTGATTTAAATGAAAGCAGCATGATAGGAGTTTGTACACATTTTACGAGAAAACATGAACAAATCAAAATTTTAAACATTTCAAAGAATCCCAAAGTCTGGACTTGCGATGAAACAGTAGATTTATTTATTGAGAAATACCTCTTCAAATTCTTTAAAATTTACACACTTCTAGCAAAACTTGGAAAAATAATTTTCTTTGAAAAAAAAAAAAAAAACTCTATTAAGAATGTTTTTTTTTAATAGACCAATTTAAGAGTAGATATCAAAGGATATCATAGTGATGCTAAATTGTGTAGAGATCTTCAATCTCTACAAATTTGTAGCTGTCATGTATTCATACCAGTACCGTAATCAGAATTTTCTCAAAAATGTTCTCAGACACGTATTTCTGTTTCTGCTTACCGGTAAATCAAAATCAAGTTAATGTGGACTTTCCTTTTTTTAAAGTTAGCCAAGAGCAAGAAATATTAGGACAGGATATCTCACCTTAGCTGCCCAATTGATAAGCCACGTAGGAATCATCCCCCTTGGGTTGTCATAGTAATGCATGAATGCTGTCCAGGAGATAAACAAGATTTAAAAATTCAAGTTATTAGAAGCATCGATGACACAATGGCACTCATAGTCGAACTGATTATACAACACATCCTCCACAGTCATAATTATAATTATAATTAATAATATGCCTTATTTACCCAGGGTAGCCTTTTCAGTAATAATACCATTCTTCCTCAAGGCCCAACAATCATAATTTGGCAAAGCCACCAAGAAAGAGAACGTTCACTGTAACTCGTGGGTCTTTTCTCCTGGTGCAAATAATTGGGTTGTGCAGGTGTATATAGACACACCTCCCTACTCCCTACTAATTTACCATTTGTGCAGTGGGTGCTTAACATACTTAGGTGGTAAAACTCCAACACGCATGATCTACAGTCAACTTACTGTCTGGAGGATGGGATGTTTACCACTGTATCTGAATGAGGAATGAATGATTCATTTTTTTGGGGCTGGCTCAGTGACATTCATTAGTAAGTACACGTAAAAGTTTATTATCTCAAAATTGGATTACTAAGGTAAATTACTTACCGGTAAATGTGATCTGAATAAGACTTGAGCCAATTTACCTAGCTAAGCTAAAAGCTAAGTAGAATACTGATAAACTTCAAGTATTAAATTGAATACAAGCCCTCGAGGACTCATAAAGAAACATTTCTGACTAACTCACCTTTGGTTCCATTGCCATCTGAAGTAAAGATCATACTTTGAAGGAAATCATTAACTCGTACCACACCAGATTTTTCCTTCTTTGATTTGAATTCAGCACTCCTTCCAAGACAAACATATATATGTTTCCCATTCAGGTCAAACTCTCTTGTCTCTCTGACAAACACATACTGGAAAAATGAGAGAAAGACGTCACATAGAAAAGTTATCAAAATTTGAGAATGACGGTCAGTATTTTATAAAGAGGGAGAGAAAAGTAAGAGATACAGGGGAGATGAATGAGGACAAGATGGCATACGTGATATACTATAAGGTGACTTCCAAAACGTAACAATACAATTATCAACCAAACTGAATTTTCTATCACCATCCCCCATGCTTGTAAACATAAAAGGGAAGACAAGTTTACAAAGTCACGAGATGTAGAATAACAGACACAGACAAACAATTCAAACTCCCCTGTTCCAATTGTAATGTCAACTCAAAATGGACTCTTTCTGATGTGAATCGTAGTTTCTGTTCTTCCTTTTCCCCCCCACAAAATCGTATACTTTTCTCTCTATCATCAACATTTTACTTGGTTACATGCTACTTAAGCACCAGTTTTCTACAAGAAAAGCAAAACTATTTCCAACTTACGTCTCTATTTGAGAGAGGAAATGGGAAAGCCACTCGCCAATAGACACCTTTCTTTCCATCCTCTTCAAATTGATACAATTCTAGATGATTTTTTTAGAGACAAGAAAAGAAAAGAAGAGCAATGTCATTAAAATCCTTAATCCTTCAGATTATTAAAGAAAAGGAAAAAAAAGACAAAAAATATTGTTAAATCTTAATTTCACATGAAGTTAAAAGTTGGATGCCAATGAAATAGAGGAAAAGTGTATTAAAAAAAAAAATCATTTGGGTTAAAATCAGGTAAAGGTTTATGTAGTTTTTGTCAAACTTATGCATAAATCTTGAAATCTAACACATGAGTTGCTCATGAGCATGGCAAAATAATGTTAATCATTACGAAACATTTGATCATACGTAATAAAACAGGTACATTTTCAATTAATCTTCAAAAGGGAGGGAAAGAGAGAGAGAAAGCAAGTTATGATAATATCATTAGAATAGAACTACCTCTACCACTACCACCACTACTACTACTACTACTATTTATTATAGAGCATATTGCTGATTCCTACAGATTTTATAATTTAAATTGATTCTCTGCATACACACTCAGCAAAAAAAGAAAGTGGACACTACGCATTATTAAGATTTTCAAATAAACATTTAATATAACCTAATCTTTCATATCAAAATGAACATAACCAAATCCCCTTAAAAATAATATCACACCATTGACGCATGAATTGCGTTATTATATTAAGGGTTTATATGAAAATTTTGAACAATAAAGAGGGTCCACTCTCATTTTTTGCAGAGTGTTGTTCAAATAAGTAAGATACATGTACATTATATAAACCTATTTACCTTTCACATATGAATCCCATTTTTTCCTGTACTCCAAGTCAGTATAAACAGCAAAACATGTATCTACTGGTACATCAATGCCACCTATCGTTTTGTAATCATACAATCCAGAGGTCTGTTTCAATTCAGAAAAAGAAAAGTCATAAAGTTTTATAATGGAAAATTCATATTAACTTTATAACCTTTATTTTTGAAATAATAAAATCAAGATCAGGCCTAATTTGATTGAGACTATGATGTCATTTTTTCCTCTGCTGGCTGCAACAAAGACAAAATATGGTGGATAATTCCTCACTTTTACATACAATTTAAAATACCATAGAAATTTCAGGAAACTTTCAAAATGCAATTCAAGCTATGAATAAAAATAACAATAGTGTGAATATTTTCATGAGTTGAAAGTTTAATGTTCTATTCAATGAGGCGTCAGCCGAGTTGAATTGAATTTACGTTAATTTTTCAACAAATTATGCTTTGCTCCTTATATTAAAGATAAATTGGAGTTGGAGTCAGGCCTTCTCGATTATATTCAGATTGCCTTCACGTCAGATGCATGCAGCTAATATAACAATGGTATACGTGCAGCGCAGAGAGGTACGCAGTCTGCATATAACCAAAAATGCAGGCTCGTTGAATAGTAGTACTACAGCGAATAGTACCAAAAATGCATGCCCGTGCAATAGCACATCTATTAAATATCATGCGACCAACAGTCATTCAATCAAATGACAATGATCTACTTAGGTGATGTATAAATGGCAATATTGTGAAGGAAACAAAACAAACCATGATGAACACAAGTAAAAAATTGAGACAAGTGTGAAACCAAACGAACCATTATTGAACCATACCTCGAGGCGGTCTAGTGGATCGGTCTAGCATAGCTCATAGATTGATCCAGCAAAGTGAATGAGAAAGGGGTCTATGAGTTAAAATTGGTATCGATATTTAATCATTCAATTATTTTTTACTTAGCTTTAGCTTTAGCCTGGCCTGAAGCTAGGCAATGATCATGTTTCTGCCATACACGAAATAAGATGCGTGGGACAGTTCTATAATGTTCTCGAGGTAATTACCTTGTTATATCGCCGGTATACTTTCACTCCCGTAGATTCAGTGAAGAATTCGAATTCGGAGAGGTCTGGGTTATCTAATTCCTTCAAATATTTCTCGAATTCTTCGTCGGTAAACATTTTGGCGGCCTAATTGTCAAAGGTGCTTTGATCTACTGTTGTGTAACTAACGTCGCTCCCTTAGCAGCCGCTGTACAGTACGAACGTAGCACTGTCGGTGCACGGTGCAGTGCCACGCCGCTCCGAAGCGACCGGTGGCACGGTAGGAAAGCAAGCAAGCTTCGGAATACCACCTCGAAGGAGCAAAATAATATGGGCGTGGCTCGTTAGACCTAAAAAGGGGTTTCACCTGTTTCAAGTTGATGCTTACCGATACTTTTCACGACCTGGCATACATACGCCTTTCATATTTTGTTTACAAGATAGTAGAATTTTTTCTTCAAGTGATTTAATCTGTATATGAGTGTAAACTTTGAAAATGAAAATTCATTCATCGAAGGATGTTAACTGCATTTCCTCATGGGCTTATCTGTCAGTTCAATTTGAGTTTGAGTTTGAGTTTGAGTTTGAGTTTATTAACAACAAAAATAATAACAAGTAAAACATAATGTATCAAGCATGATTACATAAAATATAACAATATAACACAAGATCGATAACATTACACATGAATAATATAAATATTGTTTTACAAAGTATGTCGTATACAAATGGAATAAAATATTATGTGTACACTTTTGTTGTTAAAGGGGGTACCAGAAGTTAGCACAAGTTAGCACAAGTGCTAGTCGAGTCTGGTTCCCTGTCTGAGTTCATAAACATACATTTTATTTATTACGAAGCTACTCTGGAAAGTTTTAAAGCTGCCCTCGCACATTCCTAATTAATGGTTCTACTCCCTGGACATCCATCCCCCGGATCACCACCCCCAGTCAAATACCCCCCCCCCCCAGTAAATTACCACCTATAGGACAACTACCCCCGGACAACTACCACCAGGGTAACTAGGTCCCCAGACAACTACCCCTACGACAACCATCCTCTATAGGACAACTATCCTAGGGGGTATTTGTCCGGGGAGGTGTTTCACTATTAAGCCCTAAAATCGATCTAAAAATCGACTGAAACAACTCACAAGTATCGGTTTTAAGCTTATTGATTCGGCCTTAAAATTGATTTTTAAAATCGAAATCGATTTTAGTTGATGAAACACCCCCCTGGGTAGTTGTCTGGAGGGTATAGTTGTACCGATTGGTAGTCTTTCAGAGGGTGGTTGCCCTAGTGGGTAGTTGTCCTAGGGGGTGGTAGTGACTGGGGGTGGTTATCCGGGGGTGGATGTCCAAGGGGTAGGTGTCCGGATATGCTAATCGTCTCCACCCCGCGGCGCCGTGTAAACCGATGAAGATGAAGAGTTCGGTGTAAACTAGATGGAACTCAAAGACGCCTTAGGATGGGTTTTGGTATAATCTGTGGATGTCTCTTTTATGCCCGCTTTTAGGGTTCCTATACACCTTGGCAGCATAGTGCCCTTTGTTTGAAGCATAAACATTGTTTTATCATCATTATAATAATACTTATATAGCGCATATCCATTATGTCTTTGTGCTGTAAGAAGGAAAACTGGATAGAGTAACATAAGAATAGTGAGCTCAACAAACTTCCTCTCGTTAACATTGGAAAGTATTTTGAAAAAGAAATATTTTAAGACGCGCCTTAACGTTGTAAACAGTATCACAGTTCTTTAAAAAGATTTTCCGGCAATTTATTCCAAAGTTTGGCCGATGCAACCTGAAAAGAGCGAGACTCGTAGAATTTAGTATTTATTTGTGGAATGGTCTGTGGCGTTTTTAGTGGGAATGAATAAAAAATATACTCTTATGTTTTATTAACTAATTAATATCAGTAGCTTGTCTTTACTATTCGATATAATTAATGAAATGTATTGTGACGTATCGTATGCGTGTTCATTGTTTAATGTGCGCGCACATGCTACTATAGCATTATGTATAAAACACAAACAAACACAGAAAATGCGAATTTTTAATAGACGGCACCAGTAGACAGAAAGCTTATATAATTTTGCAGATTAATTCCATCTTGGTGTTAATGTAAGTGTAAAATGACTCGTGAGTGTTATTTTATTTTATTTTATTGTATTCATTTATTTTTGTATCAAAATCATTTTCAGAGAAATGCTACCCCACATTAATCGCAGCATACGCTTAAAAAAATTATGATAGAACCAGTGTTGTGTTATAATAAAGTTCCATCAAATAGCACAATCCATCGTGTATTTGTCATTTATCATAGTCTTCCACATAACTCCTACAAGATTTATTAAACATTGCTTTTAAACTTTATGAACTCATTTTTTGGAATAAAATATCCAGATACCAACCTGTCCAGACATACGATATGTATGTAGACCTATATTAAGGCCTACAGGGTGGAGAGGGCACAATGTCAATCTTCAAGGTTTTACATTTTGCGAGTGAGCAAACTTTGCCGCTTTTTTCCTTGTGAAATTTTATTTTGTTTTTCAAATATTCTACATAGGCTTAATAAAAGCCGATGAGTATGAAAACAAATTACAAATCGGATACAAGTTCATACAGATCTTAGTAGATGATTAAGACGTACACATTTTCACCGCAAACACATACCTTGATCATGAATGTGAATTACCTTTAAAACGATGTTTATGTATATTAGGTTGACTGTTTTTGGCGCCTCTATCGCCTATTTACCTTTGTTTTAATGGTTTTCTTTCCGTTTTAATTTTTGTTTCAAAGGAAACCGTAAATTGGCAATGCAATGATGCCGGATTCTAATTCCATTGAACCAATAAACGGCAGACCCGGGGACACACCTTCGTCTGGTGTTGAAACAGGGGGCGATTATGGAAATGCGGCTCAATCATTGAATAGCTTTTCAGTCAGGTAAGAGAGATTCAGGATACGATTTATAGTGGCGTATCCAGGGATTGATAAACAGTGGGGGGGGGGGGGGAGTGGTGGGTGGTGGAATATAACAGCATCATACACGCGCCATACATTACCTCCAGGCGTCGCACATCAACGACATTCACTGGTTTTCTGTTGTAAAAATTTTACACATAAAAAACAATTTCCGAATGGATAATATATACTAAATTTAAATGTACTGCGTGATCTTATACCGTCTATTTTCCCTGGAATTCAAACAAGAGGAGTAGGAATGGAGTTATACGCCAAACAATATCATATAACTAATGTACTCTTCTCGGCCTTTTGGTATATTTACACTGTTACGCTCATGGGCATATTGTTTTAATTCCTCTAAAATAACACATTTGAAATGATTATTCCTATGTGACATTCGCATGTTATTCTTTATGTCAACAAAATGCTTAAATTATAAACGAACACAATTTAAGTATCCATACAGTGTAATGACTATAATTATTAACTTTCATTTATATTAAGATGTTATAACCTGTTCAATCGTAAAAAGCAGAAATGCTTTCAGTCATCTTGTTTTTTCAGAAATTTGATTTTATATGTATTAATTGCAAAAACAATACAAGATAATACAGAATTTTTTTTTTATAGTATCCAGTTACATAATCATTACAAGGACAAGACATGTCTCTCAATTCTAGGGGTTATTTATATTGAATTTCATTTTATATTATCTTCTTTCACACTGAACAGCCCACTGACGAGGCAAAAGGGTCATCACATTCTCACCGTCTCAAACTTGGATATCGTCAAGTATGAGATCATGCGAGAGGGACAAAATGGCGGCCGAGAAAACCTCGGAAATGGACACGGTTCTATTGTAGTATAACTCCATCTGCAAACAATATCAGTCAGTCTATCGTATTATTTTTCAGCTATAACTTTTTCCTAAACGATTATGTTGTATTCTTAAGTTCGGAAGTAAAGTGTTAAAAATGATAACAATAATTGTATATTGGTGATTCCTTTTGTAAGACATGAAATAAGGGTATCGTTTAAGAACAATAAAGTAGATAGATAGAAAAGAGGGGATAAACCAGAAAAGAAAATAATGTACATTTAACAAAATTAAAAGACTAAAGTGAGAATGGGAACAAAAAGAAACGATATGTACTGAGAAAGAGGGAAGGGGAGAAAGAGGGAAGGGGAGAAAGAGAGAGAGAGAAAGAGAGAGAGAGAGAGAGAGAGCGAGAAAAGGGGAGGGGGCTAGCTACCAGCAAAATAAGTAAACGAGGAGGGGAGATAAAAGTATATGAAGATTGCACGTAATAACTGCATGACCTTATCAAGAAGAGATGTAAAATATTATTACCAAACTAAAACCAAGTTGAATCACCATTGCACCTGTGATAAGAATTGCAAGTATTTACTAAAAGATTTAAGTTAATCACTGCACATCAGAGCTCCTTTTTGATAAGAGGTATTTTGTATTTGTTGCTGTTGGCAAACTGATCAATTTGTGGTGATAATGATACTCGGATAACGGTATAAGCTCGTACCACCGTCCATTATCAATGTTTATTGCGTAATCGAAGTTTGCAAACACGGTTTTCAAGGTCTTACTGTTACACTTTTGAGGAATTCATACTACTAATTCGAAATCAGAATGCGCAGAAAAGAAGGTGGCAGATTATAACTTCTTCTAGTTAAATAATGGTCACTAAGAATCCCTGGCCGGTTCAGTTCGTGTACATTATGAATAGAAATAATTCGTATTATGAAATCACAATAAAAATAATTATAAATGCGAATTGCAACACGTTCCTCCATTACGTGGTGTGTTTTTATTCATTATTTTAAGAAGTGATATTGCATAGGAAATGAATATTGAGAGAAAATCAAACTGAAGGTGTGGAATAGTAGCAACTTTATCTGGAGGCAGAGGACGTGACAAAGTAGAAACGAAGAACCAACAAAACAAAAGAAGAAGAAGAAGAAGAAGAAGAAGAAGAAGAAGAAGAAGAAGAAGAAGAAGAAGAAGAAGGAGAAGAAGAATTAGAACAAGAACAAGAAGTAGAAGGAGGAAAAAAAACAGAAGAAGAAAAATGAGAAGAAACAAGAAGGAGAAGAAGAAGGAACAGGAGGAGGAGGAGGAGGAGGAGAGAGGGAGAGAGAGAGAGAGAGAGATAATGAAAGGCAGGGAGAAACGTCATTCTGGGACAAATTTACCCCCGGACCATATAATATTTTCCCCTTGAAAAACTGCCCTATGAGGACAACTACCCCCGAGGAAGGATAAAAAGCACGGACAACGATTAGTATCATTGTTTTTCTCGGACAACTGCCTCAACCCCATGATGATCCTAGATAATTGCCTAAAGGTAAATGGGATGATTTTAAAAATATTGTTTAACGGGGTAATTGCCGGACGAAAATTCATAATAGAATTTCATTGTCTGTCCGGGGGTAATTTAAATTGGGGGTAGCTGTCTGGGATGATATTCTGGGTTACAGTAATCTTGTTTACACGGATAGGCAAATGAAAGAGGGAGAGAGAGAGAGAGAGAGATGTGGCCAATCTTGACCAATGCAAACAATGGATTAGTGATAGACACATTTCGAGGCAACGCCCCTCGAACATTGAAGAGCTTCGGTGGACTGATCTCTAAACAGTTCAATCCTCGCCTCTAGCTTCTTCATCTCGCTAGTCGTCTATTTCCGTCTGCAGATTCCGATTATTTGAAATAAATATCGGATTGGCAGAAAGTAAAGTGAAAGTATAACCTTTTACCGTTTTCTCCGAGAGACTGAGCTTGAACTTGAGCTATTTTATTCTCCATATGCTGCATTTATTTCTTGAAGCAAGATGATACTAAGGTTACTGCTGCTAGTCAGCCTCGCTGGGCTGGGTAAGTTTACATCAATCTTTGTAAAGACATATTTTATAGATGGGAAAAGTACAAGCATGTCAACAATTCCTCCCAAATGCTTCAAATGAAATTCCGTGTCATACGCAGCATTGTAATGTTCCAAATCTGAAACTGCTACCCCGGTTTATATCTTGGCTCACCAACTTCCTTAATTTTTATTCGTCCACTTGACGATTGTAAATGCGTGGTCCAAATTTTGATGTTAATTAGCTCCAATGCATCTCAAAATACTTGATCTGGCAATAGAATATGACAAATTGTATTTATTATCATTTTGCTATAGAATTAAATAAAAGACTGCGATGAAATACCATCACATTCGGGGCGGCCTGACGGAAAGGGAGGAAGAGGAAACAAGCCCCTATGATTCCCCAAACGTTCGACCCTGTCATTTTGGGTTGTTGCTTGCTTGCTTGCCAGTGAAATTCGTGACACGAATACCCTCCGAAACACCAGGCACTGTTCTTTGCTACGCTTATACACTGTATATACCAATGTATGAATTTTGTGAGATTTACAAACTGCCAACTTTCTCAATGATATGAATTATTTTCATAGTAATTCGACTATGGTTAATTTATGTATGTTGATCCGTATAAGCGATAATGAATTGCTATTGTCTATTAACTTCAATATCAAACCGTGCATGATGTGGCCGAAATACATCTAGTGATTTCAGAATATAATTCATGTTGTATTCATGCACTTGAATTTCATAATAATATAGAGACTATATAACCAATATCATGTCAATTTTAAGTACATAATTTTATGGCAGTAAATAAGAGGATGGTGGATATCCATTTATTTTTTACTTTACAAAGGATTATCTTTATATATCATTGATGTATAAAGTTATTACGATATAAAATACAATTTTCATCTATTTTTATGATGGATGGCACTCTAAATGAAGGAATTCGTCTAAATATTGATATTGGTTATCGCAATGTAATCAGAAGAGATTTTCTAGTTTAAAATGAACCTGGGAGATTAAACTGGCTTATCTTATCCGAAGGTAAACAAAAATATCTAACAAAAACGGAGAAATACTGAACAGTTGTCTTGGTCAACTCTGTCTCCTATTACTTGGGGGTGGACAATGAGGTTGGCAGTGCCATTGGTTTTTGGATCGCTTATCTTAAGAGATAACGAAAATCCAACAGTATTACCATTTTAAGTAACATTAACTAAAACTTACATCACATAGATATACATTACAAAAGAGATAATTGCTCTATGTGCAGTGCATCATCTGCTCATCGTGAAATTCACAATGTAAAGTTATATCCTCCCCAAATAAAAATAGAAATGGAGGCGTCCAATAAACACGAATTCGATAGAACGTTTATCACTAGTTGAACCCCTCCATTTCCATTATAATAATATTTATTTATTCAATATAATACATATATATAATCATTCATAGATCATTCATACAACAAAAGCGTTTTATTTCTTCAATCATTTTACCAAGTTTGTTTTTGTTTATTTTTTTTTTTATTGCTCGTTTGCTTTATAAAGAATGAGATGAGCGTCTCCCTATAAATAAAAATGATTTTTGTTTTAAAAAAATTACGAGCTTTATTTGTTGTGATTTCCCAGCATTATCTCAGGACTGTGGTTCTGGTTGGATGAAATATCAGGACACCTGCTTTTTATTGGTGTCCCAGCTACGTCCATTCCAACTAGCAAGGGATTACTGCCAGAATAACCAAGCACAACTTGCCGTCCTAACATCAAGGGATATGAATGTAAGCAAAATTAAGCTAAAATATAGTGTTGTAGAATCATTTTTGAAGAAGCTTATTCCGAGAAAGAAACCTGTTGTATTGTGTTATCAATTTCTAAATATGAAGGAGTCTGGGTATAGTGTTTCAATCACTTAACACTCAATCCAAAGGTTGAGGGTTCGAATCTGAGTCCGGCACTATACATTTGGCAAGGCATTAATCCACATTTGCCACTCTCCACCCAGATATAAAGGGTTACCTGACAATCGCTGGGGGTAATACTAATTGCAGGTTCCTCAGGAAGAACAGCATTGAAGCTGATGAGGCTTTACTGGGTAAACAAGATTATTATCATTATTAATATACTATTACTTTCTTCACCCCAGCCCACTCTTTTAATGCATGAAATAAGTAACGATGCAGGCAACGACGAAAAAAACTACGTCTAGAAGAGTTGATGACAATAATCAACCCACACAAAGATCATGAAATTAGAAGCTGTTACGTGTTATGAACGTTGATAATTATTGTTTCTCAATGTTCAAATACGATCTTTTACATATCGTGATAGTTCTTTAAAGTATTAATAGGAGCTCGCCTTTTTAACCAAGGAAATAAATGAAAAACGAAAAATTAAGCGACGTTGTACTATGCTTTATGTCTAATTAAATACAGAGCATACTTCGATCTTGTAATGTTTATTTTTATCAACCTCTCATACCTTTTTATATTTAACAGACATGGTTGGGGCAGCAGACGGGAATTTATTCTGAAGACTTTTGGATCGGTTTACATGATATTCAATCTGATAATAGCTTTGAATGGGTTGATGGTACAGCCTTAGATCCATCCCTGGCGTAAGTAATACATACCTCTTACAATCGTGACAATTTAATTATTTAAAGACATACTCTCTCCAATCTAATTCTGATCGGACCCAGGCATTGTCAGACTTCCTTAAACGTATTTATCGTACCTGTATCTGTTGATGTGATATACTACTGTTCTTTTTAATTCGATTCTGAAAGTTATTATGCAACGAGAGATGTGATACGAGATCTCCAGGAGTCTGTCCTATGGTGATTTTTCTCAATCAAGCAGAATATATAATTCCATTAATTACTATGTTATCCTCCGATGAAAGCCTGAACACAATTTTTACTCCCGGGCGCTTTGACGTGGTGTTATAGTCTAGGTGATACGTCACCGACAAGCCTATATATCGCAAGGTACGGGGTTCGATTCCCTGCCATGGCAATAACATTCTTTGGAAAGACAAGTGGATACACGGTACGATTTATTCCTCAAAGGCATTGAGCGTACGTTTGCCGGAGCTAAAGACTTGGTAATAATATCCACAGCCCTTTGGGACTTTGAGACGTAATAATCATAATGTGATATGCGCTATACAAGGATCAAACAATATTACAATATAATATTCATTAATTTTGAGCAATTTTTCACTTTTAAACAACCACGGCTTACCTTACTCATATATTTAACAAATAGAAACTGGGCACCAAACGAACCAAACAACATTGATGGAATTGGAGAGGACTGTGTAGAAATGCGAAATAATGGGCAATGGAATGATGAGCAATGTTTGGCTCCTAACTGGTTTATATGCTCCAGATCACTTAGTGAGTACAACTTATATTTATTTTGTTTCGTAATTCGCACAGGTTTCTTCCTGTACCCTTATCTTTAACCAAAATATTGTTCATGTACCCCAAACTTTACGTTTATTTTCGATTTTTGCACTGTAACATTCCAGAATGTAATAAATTCTTGCTGAATTATAACTCCTCGAAAACAATCAATTTTTGTTGAATGGTAACCAGTTAATAATTATATACTAATGAATAACTTTACGATTTGCATTTTTTAATTATTGTGATTATGAATAGGATGAGATGAGATACAATGATACAGTGTCTTATCCATTGACAATTATGAAACCTTTCACAAACTTTCCAGTCGAAACATACCCCCCCCTCCTCTTTTTTTAAATTTCCCGTGTTCTCTGTAAAGATGTTGTTCCTAAATGTGACTCGGTGAACGGCTGGGAGTCGTACAACGGGAAGTGCTATAGATGGGTGTCTGATACAAAGAACATCGATGACGCCATCACTTATTGTACCCTGCTCGATGGTTACGTAATCTCTATCAACGATGCCGCTGAGCAGTCTTTTGCGAACTCCATCCAGGCATCCAAGGCGAACATCCCATACTGGACAGGTCTCAGCGATAGGGTAAGTGGGATCTGTGCGTCTTATATGTGCGTGTACGGTTGGTGAGGAAACGGGGGAGGGGACCCAGGTTTTTTTTTTTTTAGAGATGGGGAAGGGGTGGATCAGAAAGGATTTCTTAAAACAGGGGGCCCGATGAAAAAAGAAAAAAAGAAAATATGTCAATGATAAATTGTCATCACATAATGCGTGCTTATTTACTCAAAAACACTATAGCGAAAAAAGATCTCTAAATTTGAAGTGGGCATAATAACAAAACTAAGGGCACATTTTTCGTTTTTGTTTCCCCTAGATATATCACTGTTATGGGGTAACAGTAACAATAGCAAATGTCTATCGCATGCATGCTCTTCTTAGTCAGGATGGAAATCTACATCATTCTGGTTCCTGTTATCTCTCAAGCAGATGTGAACTTGCCTCATCCTCAAAAAGCTTGAATATCGTCAAACAAATTTTCCATATTTTTTAACAAAACACATTTTTTCCCCCTAAATATATCTTAATACAGATGCAGAAAACTTAAACCGTTTTTCGAAATACTATACTTACGCAACAGTTTGATCGGATATAAAAACTCGTCTTTGTTTGTACATTTGGTCACAATTTTTTTTTCGAGCTTTGTGTCTTAAGAACGTTAAAACAATCATTATTTTTGTTGTAAGCCTGTTGTAAGTGCCCTCTATGATCCAAATGACAATCTTACTTTCTTTCGCAAGCCTGATAGTGATAACTTGATTGTCCTCCATGTTCGCTATTTTCATTTACTGATCAAAATAATGCTCATGCCGATCGGTCATGGAATAAACAAAATCTATGACTTTAGTCTCTTTACCAATAACTGATTAATTATGAGATTTATAAGGGATCCTTAAAAAAAGAAAAAACTTGTTTGACCAATTTGGGCTTTTTAATTTGTTGTTCAGAACCAAGGCCAGGGAAACTATATGTGGCAAGATGGAACCGATACAACTACGTACTCTAACTGGAATACTGCTTTGGGAGAACCAAACAATTCGTGAGTATTAAACTGACGTCATGTTAAACGTTATATACTGGATATTAATTTTAAGCTACCCATAGTTTTAGCTTTGCAACATTGTAATAATTTTTTTGCGAATTACCATACATAGTTATTCCTATTAATGATAATATACATTTATTTAAGGCTTAATTTACATATTGCTTCTATAATAAAAAAATTAGGTGAACTTGTACACCGGCAAAGCTAGCTGTACAAAGACAAAACAAATGATTTCAGAGCTATTCATACTGCAGTCAAATCAGTAGTATGTTATTCTTGCAGAAACTAGGATTTCAATATCAATCTACTTTTAAAAAATCTTGTTATCGTGAAGCATATGATATTTATTAACTCCAGTTTCATAATAAAATTGATACAGATGAACGGTTATCTCGGTGAGAAAAAAAATACAGCTTTTTAAAAAGCAGTTACAATGTAAAATAGATAAGGGATTGATCAGTTAATTTCCTAATTTTTTAAAATATGATACCCAAATAAATTGTGTTAATTTTCATCAATTTAGTTATAATAAACACTTTTCCTCCCGACTATTTGGTCAGGTTTTCCCCCAATGGCTGTGCACAAGTCGAACGATACGATAACAATGGCTTGTGGAGCGTCGATAGTTGTAGTGAAAAGAAGAGGTTCATTTGCGAAAGACCGGAAGGTAAGCATTTTAGAAATAATATTGTTAAACCAATTAATCATTAAGCGATTATGTCCTCATTATTAACGATTTTCGTCGCTCGTGCAGCTATTTCCATTCACAATGACTGTGAAGTAGGTAGAATAAAAGAAATGCCAAAGTAGATTCAGTGAGAAATATGGCATGCATGTACTTTAAGTATGGAATTTTAAAGGGCTAAGATTCAGGATTCACATTATGCAACTCTCGTACCATGTCAAACCCTATTGAGCATGATTATTACCCGACTTTAAATATCGAATATCTTTAGTAGCACAAGTAGGACAATATATTTAGGAAATAAAGGTGTGCTATTGTATATTAAGGTAATACTATTTCATAATTTCGTCTCCAGTGTTCAGTTCAAATTTAGACAACACAGATTTCAGATAAATATAAAGGTAATATTGAGATCATAGAATTGATTTTGTGCGCTTCATCACGTAGAAATCAGAGTGGTCTGCGTGCCCATTTAAAAAGAGAACACACAGGTACCGATTTCGTGTGCTCTGGAAGATGTTGGGTTTATTACTTTATACATAAAGTGTAAGAGTTAGGGTTGAGAGTGGTCTTAAATTTAATGTTAGGCTTAGGCACAATGTTTGGGTCAGTCCAGGGTTTAAGTTAGGAATTCGACGATTGTAGGAAATGGACATCGGAGAATGTGAAAATCTCTTTTTCTTTTCTTAATGATTGATACCAGGTATATGTGCTCCTGGATGGGTTCTACATGGTGGTCAGTGTTACCAGTTTAACTCACTACTCAGGACATGGTTTGATGCGAAGTATTATTGCGATGCCCAGGGAGGTTTTATCGCATCTATTTTAAGGTTGGTACCATGTCGACCCGCTTAACATTTCTTCCAGATTCTACCGACCTTAAAATAAGCGTTCATCCACTCCCGCGGATTTTTCAATCTTTATTTTTATTATGATTACCCCAACCATAGGAAGTTTTCTGTTTCATATTAATCTGTTGACTCGGCCGTTATGACTATACATTGATAACTGTATTGCATCTGTTTTTAGAAACATTTAAGTTGTTTATATAATGATGATAAAGGTAACCCTTCTTAATGCTACGAACAAGACGAGAAATATTTCTTATCAATTAGTATATTAACAGTAGCATAATTTGGCTGTACCATAAGAACGATCTTATTCGAATCAGTAAATTATACCTGGTAAACATATTGTTTGATGTTGCCTTGCTTGGGCTTACGGGCAGAAATAGGTTGTAATCGAATTATAATGTTTCCCGTGTATGGTAACGCTCTAAATAATTACAAGAAAAAGAACCTTGAATGGAAACAGATAAGCAATAGCTTCTAAACATGAAAGGAAATTTAACATGTTCAGTTCTTTCGATCATTTCATATTCACAGCGATCCTGAAAACAGCTTTATTGCCAGTAACATGGGAACAATCAACGCTGAAAATGTAGATAATATGTGGTTTGGATATTCAGGTAAATATACCAATAAAACAAAAACTATGTTATGCTTTTAATGCTTTTATTTTCTCGTTCAACCTCCCTATCAGTCCAAATTACTGAATTCCTTTAGGAGCACTGTTTGATACTGGTGAAGGCTCTAAACTCTCACGAGAGAAGCTTGGGGTTCCATCCGTGCTCGGTGCTTAAATATTGGGCTAATATTTCTGCTCTCATTATTTTGTTCCTCTCAACCCGTATGCACCTGACAAGGTTAGCGGTAATAACAAATGCAGGAATGGGTAAACAATGAGAAATTAGTATTAGTTACCTATATGAAGGGGTACATATCTATTCATAATTATTCTGCACTCTCTCACAAATACTTACAGATTCTATCGCTGATGGTACATGGACGTGGGCACATGAGACCACTTCCACCTACATCAACTGGGCACCTGGTCTTCCTACCAACACTTACGCTCAAACAGACTGTGCATACATGGCAACCAGTAAGGCTACACCGAGCTATTCTACACAAATCTAGATAAGAGTTTTAGTTAATGTAAGGTTAATATCATTTAATTCTATAAAGATATTATTAATGAAGGGAAAAGAGCTGGGGAGTCGGATGCACTGAAAACAACATTATGTCATGAGTCGACACTGATTCGAAAATCTTTCTATACCCGTTTATGTAAAAAGGAAAACAAATTATTTTGATGTCTTTTACTTATCTTGGAATATGTGTCGTGAAAAACGGATTAGATTACGAAAGAGAATCCCGTTGAATTATGTGTATTTCTACGGATGCATTTTATGTAAAACAATCCTGAACATTTCTTTCTTCATTATAGATGATGTTGCTGGTAAATGGTATCAAAACAACTGCCAGCTCCTCGGAGGTTTTGTCTGCAAAATTAAAGCAGGTAGGAAGGGATATCTCTTTCTGAAATTTAAGCCTGGCTCTATGAGTATGACTCGCACTGCCCTCGCTCTTGCTTTAAACAAAATAATGTCATTAGTTTGATATATTGCTTGATGGTGGTGTATCATTCTTGGCCTAATCAAGAAAACGGTTACAAGGTTAAAATTCAGTTTTGAATAATCAGAACTTCACATGCCTGATAAAGTTTAGCCCTAATCAGATGAGAACAAATTGGAACCATAAATTATGGAGATACCTTGTAACAGTGGTTCGTTTACTGTCTTGATTATCATTCACAAGGTTAAGGGTTTGAATCCAAGCCCGGCACTAACGTCCCATTTGTTAAGACATTAATCCACATTTGCCACTCTCAACACAGGTGTAAACATGGCAATCACTGGAGTGATTTTAGGAAGAACAGCATTGATGCTGATGATGCTTCCCTGGGTAAACACAACTATTATCAATGTATTGTTATTTATCCAATGGTTATTCAAACGAGAATGTATTTATCTTTTCATCACAGGAAGTGTCGTGACACCAGTTCAACCAGACCAAGGTAGGATTATCCTCATAATTCGATTACTTTCATCTTGTATTTTCCTGAATACTTTTAGGTATCAACGACACTTTAGGGATGTCCAATATATCTTCATTTCCACAATCACAAGACGCATGGAGGTTATGTTCACTAATACATGTATTTCGATGCCTTCAGTTGTGATCTCTGTAATCCTCTTTAGTTCATATTAAAATAGAGGTATATTTTCCCTTTTTTTTTTTTAAACCCCTTATCATTTTTGCACAACTATAAGTGTAACTGTTAATGAGTTTACAACTTAATACCTCTCTGAGATTTGGTAAAATCATTTTCCAACATTGTTGTTATTCGAACCCATGAATCTACTTTTGTCACTCTTCACCCAGGTATTAAATAAGTACCGGTAGAAACAAGTTCCTTTGAATTCTGTAAGCACCAACATCGGTAGCCCAGCGAGAGCTGGAGTAATTGAAACGCCTCGAGCACCTTGCGTGGTAGAAAATGTGCGCTCTAAAATAGCTAACATTAGTGTATGTCTTTAGAAAGGGGGAACTACAACTAATTTATTCAGTGTAATGACTAACATGATATCACATGTACTTTCTTCCTAATTTTGAAACAGGAGTTGGATCTTGTGAGTCTGGATGGGACCTGTATGGAGATAGTTGTTACTATTTCCCAACCTTGATCGTCACCCAGCCCGAAGCTCAGGCGCAGTGTCAAGGTTATTTCCCATCAGCTAATCTCGTCAGCATTCACTCGAACGGAGAACAGTCATTCCTTACAGGTAAGTAGTATCAGTGGTGGAGTAAGGGAGAGGGGGTACAACCACTGGCGTATCGATGGGGGGGGGGGGGGGGGGCCTCCAAACAAAATTCCAAAGTGGTTTATCTCTAATTCTATACCAGTGATTTACAAATATTGCTGAAATGACATGATTTTCGGGGAATTTTTTCTCATTTTTTGTAAATTGTACTTTTTCAGAATTCCCAGTCAGGCAAAAAATATGCTTATTTAGAAGCCTACATGTCAGGGCTCGAGCCCCCCCTACCCCCACTTCATACTTTTGAAAAGTATGTTTAAGAGAATTAGACAGAAAGAATGAAAGAAAGATGACATGTCAGTGTCACAAATAATAATGAGGTATCAAAATATATGCTTATCTGACAGTAATTACATGCTTAAAACCAAGGGGTGTCGGTAGTAGTTTTGTTGGTAACAGTAAATCTTATTTATGCTGTTGTTGTAAGTCATATCTCCTTTATTTATTTCCATTTTTTCAGAAAGAGTCAACTATATCGGCGAGAGTATGTGGACTGGTCTTCATGATAGGGGGACAGAAAGCGGCTGGGAATATGAGGATGGCACACCGGTGGGTTGAGATAGGGCTGGATCATATAGGGCGGGGTAATAGTATATCTGTAAAGCGCTTAGCGACATTATATACGCGGAATATTATTATCAAGGGTTCTGAAAAAACGAGTGGTGGGGGAAGGGGGTGCAATCACGCAAGATCTCTGACAAGCAAAAAAAAACATGTCATCATATTTTTCCAGATGCTTTTTAGGGTGTTAACATGTAAACATATATAGGGGTAACAACATAATTAGGGGCATATTTTTTAAATTGAGGTATGTAATATTTTGTATTAAAATGTGTTTAGGGGAGGGGGGGGGGGCACATGCTCCTCGATCATTGCCCATGGATATTTCACTGGATTGAGAAGTGAAAAATGTGGGAATAACAATTTCATTCTTTTAAATCAATGAGATTAACATTACCGAAAGGTGAAAAAGACCGTCAGTGAAGAAAAAAAATCATAATGATAATGGGCGAAGGAAATGATTGTCAGGATGTGAGGTAATTTCAATTTTTCCTTGTGGCATATCATAGCAAGGAAGGGAATTGTTTGAATCAATTATTAATCTGTTTCACAGCCGGCATATGACACCAAAACAGAGAGAGAGAGAGATAGAGAGAGAGAGAGAGAGAACAAGTTACAAAATGTGCCAATTTTCCAATAAAATGAGTTCGACGAATAAGAAACATTATATATTATACTATGGTATTCTATAATAATAAACCGTCGGGTTTAATTTCAGACCACAGAAGCATTGCCATCCCTACAAATTGCTATTTCTTCTTTATTATTTTCATCTACTTCCCTATAAATTTTCGGGTTAAAAATTCGATAAGTTAATGACATGCAGGAAAAAGTTAGCAATTCTTGGACCAAAATTGTATGTATTGTGGGTGTACGTAGCCCTGTACCCGATATACATGCAGTGCTTGTGACTTGCAGCTAAGAGCTATATTCTTTACATTTTGATCACTCCAAAACCTTACGGCACTTACGGTATATTAATTCTTATGTTTTACGCAATCAACCTTCAGACAGTTTTTTCTCACTATAGTTGCATTACCATTACTTTATCTAAAATCTTGCACATTTAGTATGATTACCGTAACTGGGGTCCCGGAGAACCTAACAACTCTGGCAACGAGGACTGTGTTCATATGGAATCATATTTCTACAAGGTGGGAACATGGAATGATCATAAATGTGACAGGGTCTACCGCTTCGTCTGCAAAATGCCTAAATGTAAGTTTAACAATTCAAAGGTTAACAAATAACTAACAAATAGCTGCTAACAAAATTATTCTGCTGGATAACGAAGTTAGCCGGAATATATTATTGCGAAAATATATATGCATGTACTTATCATTTCCAATAAGAAATATAAAGCACAACTGAATCTCTGTACCAAAAAGCTTGGCATTAATGAATATTTTATACAAATTACGCAATAAAACAACAACAACAGAATGTTCAATCGATTACGCTTCTTTTTATCATCAGATCCCGGAGGAGCGTACACAACAGCCATGCCGACCACCTGTAAGTATTTCATGAGTGTCTTAACGAAATATTACCATATAGGCCTATTCTAGTATTCCTTTTGCTATGAATATAAAGAGAGGAGAAAATAGAGGACATGATAATGAGTCATGTGATGGTAGGAAGGTTGAAAAAGACGAGAAGTGAGAGAGAGAGAAACTCTGAAAGATCGCCGAAACAGGCAGATGGAAATAGATTCATGCAGAATGATCGAAAAATGATAGCAAGATGGGACACAAAACAATCCAATCAAGGGGATAGAACAAGAGGTGAAAAAGGAGTAAACTGCAAACAAAATTAATTGAATTGTTACGCCTTTGTTCTATTTTATTATACTTCAAAAAGTTCCACCAAGCGATCGCTGTGGAAACGGTTGGATTTACGATATGTCATCGGGTAACTGTTATAAGTATGAGATGGAGTATCGTAGCTGGCAGGACTCGGATAGCCAATGCCATTACGAAGGAGGTCGACTGACCAGCCTTACCAATAACCTGGAAACCGAGTTCGTTCAACGTAAGTACATATTACATAGTTACTCACCACTGAACTATAACAACAGTCTTTAATTATTAAAAAATATATATATAATTTTAGTAGTGTAATCTTATTAATGTTTCTTTTCCATTCAATTTTCCTTGTTTTCTTAGTGTTGCAATTCGTATATAATTATATTGTATTTTACTTGCACTGTAAAATCATGCACTATTCAGTCTGTGACTGCCAATCATGTTTAATAAACGTTGATTAAATTGAATTTAAACTTGTACCATAAAGTCATACCGACGATAACGACTCAAGGTCGAAAATAGATCCGAATGGACAAAATTCGATCAATTCGGGTTTGGTTTATTGTCGGTCTGGAAACAAAATTTAAAAATGAATAAAATGGAGAAGAAAATAAATGCTCCTAATAAAGATCTGTCGTTATCAATTGAGCGTTTTAAAATTGAATTATATCAGAGCATTAATTTCTAGGAATACCTTTTGTCTTTTTCAAGGATTCGCTCAATACTATTACAACAATGGTATCAACTCTTTCTGGGTTGGTCTGCATGCTACGAACCTTAACTTTGGTTTTCAGTGGTCCGATGGAGCTCCATTTGCTTACCTGAATTGGCAGAGCGGTGAGTAGAAATTTTATAAAAGTCTTGCTAGTTATGTGTGCATACTTCACTATCTGTTTGTTATCAACAGTAGTTTTTTAACCTCTTACTTAGTCTGGGAAATATTTCTCATATACCAAAATACTTCTCATCTTTCTCCCGTTGACCAGTCATCCTCTCTATCGCAATTATCTCCTTTTAGTTATCTTTTTCTTCTGTCTTGATCTTTTGGCAACATTTTTTGCCCTTTATGCTCCTCTCCTTCTTGATCGTCGTCTCCATCGTCATCGCTTCTTTTTCTTTATTTCTATTTTCTTCTCTTTAGTGATGCGACAAATATAAAATTAGAGGTGCAACCCTTCTCCTCCGTTTGTTTTACTTCCTCTTTTGTTTATTTTTCGTTTTCCTCCTGCTATTCTACTTCTTCTTCTTCTTCTTCTTATTGACTTTTCGTCTATGCAATTGTTTTCGTCTGCGTTCTGAATTCTTCTTCTTTTTAATCTAACTTTTCAAAATCCCTTTCGTTTTGCACGCAGTGCTTGTGAGCCCTACCCATCCCTACCTCCATCCCGATTCCTTTCAAAGTTCGTATATTAGGCATAATTTCCGGCATTCAATCAAGGTCACCTGACTCTTCGTTTATTGAAATCGCTCATGTGTAACCGTCCAGGCGCCATTTTGTCCGTTTCTGGTCCGTTTAAGGCCTTCTTTCTTCCTCCGGATCTCCACTATCACTGATGCTACAGACATCTAATAAATTCCTTTCAATAGTCAAGAGACGTTCTTTCGTCTGCCAAGTAGAAACGTGGTTACCAATGCAAGTAGACCGTTTTCGACAAATATTCAAAGATATTGAAATAAACTGCCCGTTCAATTATTTGAATAAAATCGCGGTATAATATTTACGGGTCTGTAGTTTTTCGTTATGGCTGCATTCCCTCCTTTATGAATCGGTTGGACTCGGACCCAAGCATCAGGGTATACTGATACGATTGCAATTCTAGTCATGTTCTTGTTCTTGATTTTGTTGTTTTTGTTGTTTTTGTTGTTTTTGTTGTTGTTCTTATTTATTCTGCCTCTTCCTTTTGCTTCGTCTCCTTCTTACTTTTCTTTTTATACGACATTTTAAATTCCAAGCTAAATCATCATGACTTCTTTTTATTATCCACCAGGTGAACCAAACAATCTAGGTGGTGAGGACTGTGTAGAGATGTATGCAAACTCAGGATTATGGAACGACCTTGCTTGCAGTAATGCTCGACTTGGTATCTGCAAGAGAAATGGTATGCCGATCGGGAATTTGCTTATCATGCCATCATTGAAAACGATTAAACTTTGAAATGATAATCATCCCATTGAGAAGTTCATAGACCCCAGTCCTAGACGATATCCAGTGATAATGATATGCAACCTGTGTGTCATTGTGAGGTATCATGGTGAAGTAAATGATTACATTTTCAAATTCCCCCAAAGCTCAGGGGAAAATAACGTTTGATGGCTTTTTCTTAGTAAGGTGCTCTTTGGGGGTAAATTTCACGAATTTTGTAACTTTACAGTTAAATACTCCCTGGTTGTGAGATTATCAAAAGAACCAGCCCCTGGAAGATGATATGCATTAGAACAAAATTGAAGAAACTATCGTGATCAAGACCTGGGTATAATAGTTGGATCATGCGGATGTTATCAAAACGATTTTAATGAGATTTTCTTTTGTGCTGAAAATTCCATTCAAATATTCTTTATTAATTCAATCAAAGGGTTTTCGTTTCAAAGAAAGGAACCGGTTCATAGAGTTCCGTTAATCACCGATGCAAAATATCGGTGAAACTTTGGCGGACGTTTGAAAAAAAACACAATACAGAAATGGGTTTTTTTGTTTGCAGTGTAAATGCAGCTACTGAATTCGTTTGGTTGATTGTTTTTCTCTCAGAATACGTGAACCGTTACTTCATGGCGTACACAAACGCTCGCCTTGACACGACTAACGATGTCCCGATCGACAACGTCTGGCCCGAAGATTGTGCTTTCCTTTGTGTCACGGCAACATTTACCTGCCGATCATTCAACTACTACCGCAGTGGCAGGCAATGTGTTCTCCTCTCCACCGACAAGGACACTGCTGGCAACGTGGGGCTCGTACCCGAGTTCGAAGACCCATGGGACCACTACCAAAGAGGTGACGATCGAATGTGATGCCATCATTTGGTGAAAGCAGACCATTATCTTTCTTCCGATTAAAGACATAGAAAAAGCAGGGATTGAAACTATACATTTAGTATATATTAATATATATATATATATATATGTCCAAATATATATATTTTTTTAGGAACGTGGTGCGGTCAAGTAAAGAAAAGTTTTAATGTCTTTATATTTGTATGGATTAACTTTTTCAAATGACTTCTCGATGGCATATAAACAATTTTGCCGAAATTCGCTTGAATAAACAAGAACGAACACGTCATTTTATATATCAATGTCTGACATAACATCTCTCAAACAGTAACGTTTAAACGTGCTTCCAACCGATAGTTGTGGTATATTGTCAAATCGTATTTCTTGATCAATCCACACAATAAATTGAGTATTTAGCCACTCCAACTTTCTCACTTTCAGATTTTAGTGCACCAACTGATGCTCCAGCCACGACCATGGATCCTAGCTTCGGATGCAGTGCAAACGAGATGAGTTATAGAGGCTCCTGTTATTCTATCGTCACCGACATGTATTCATTTACCAACATGCAAGATCTTTGTGAGCTAAGGTCCTCCAAGCTTGCCTCGATCTCTGATATGAGTGAAAATAACTTCGTTTACAGCCTCATGCAAACCGGTGAGATATAGACCTATTATTCATTAACATTAATGTTGTGTAAGCTCCACGTGGTTGGTTTGGTGTATACTCAAACTGGGTCGACGGTCAACAAAATTTGTGCTCAGTAAATGGATGCCAAAAAGATGCCGTGATAAAATTATGGTTTTGTCAATCTACATTTGAATGGCATGTCACGTCCATTATACAAATAATAATACTAGTGGGTTCTTGTATAGCGCTCATGTCTATCAGATTTAACATTCCTGGCGCTCCCTGGCTTTAGCACGGCTACTATTACAGCGCTCTATAGCATTTCAATGAATTATTTCCTGTCAGGTACCCATTTACATTTACATCACCTGGGTTGAGTGTGGCAAATGTAGATCAATGTCTTGCCAAAGGACATTAGTGCCGCGGCAGGACTCGAACCGCGGACATTGTGATCGACAAGTCCGGTGACATATCCACTCGACTACGACAGGAAGTTATATCTTCCTGTTGGTGATTCTCCTGTTAATTGTTTTCATTTGTTACGAACCCATGATCTCTTATTTTCAGCAATTTTGAACTTAATTCAATTCAATGCAATTCAATTGTTTTAGAAGACGGGCCCCCTCCCCTGGCAAAAAAAAAAAAAAAAAAAGGATTTTTTATTTTTATTTTTTTGCTCAAAGCGGGAGAGGGGGGAGGGGGGGGGGTGTTGAGTGAACGAAACAAGAGCTCCATACCCCCCCCCCCCACCCCTTATTCGGCCGGTCGTCTGAGTCGCCGCTAAATATTTCCTCGGGGGCCCTCCCTCGCCGCGGGCTGGATCCGCCCCTGCAGTCCAGGGCCATATGAGTATAGTCTCCTAGCTCAGACACTTTCTTTGTATTTACGACAGACGAGGGCTTGTACACGCAACTATTGACAACTCATGATTGTGTATCTTACTAAAACCCGCAGGTAACGAAGGTAATAAGACCATCATTGGTGCATGGTTAGGGCTGACTGACAAGGACCGAGAACAGAACTATGCATGGACTGACGGTAGTCCAGTTACTTTCACTCAATGGGCTCTTGGCGAACCCAACAATGATCTCTTCAACGATGACTGTGTCTACTTTGATGCACAGGTGAGTTTTATAGCATTTTTTTGGAAAGGGTTTTAGCATGGATGCCAATCATTACCCCCAAAAGGCCGTTCAAAATAAAACAAAAAATCACGTCTTGGCTGGTTTACCGTTTACTAATGTTTTTCAATTTATGCATGTGTGTCTCTCTGAGCTATTTTAATCCACCTGGTATGAATTTCCAACCCTATGGATAGAATCCGATTTGCATATATTTACTGTTGCTGTATCTGACAAACCTTTTGTAATCTACTTAACAAGCCAGTTCATAGTTACATTCTGAGCATGAACAGATAAAGGTCATTGCAGAACAAATTTTGAAATACACCGATACAAAATAGTGGATACTTGCTCATGAAACACTATGAACATGACAGACAAAGAAAGCGGACAAAATATACAGTTCCACAGGTAGACAAAAGAACATCCCTTCACTGCTATTCAGAAGGTGAATATGCATGTGACACCTGTTCTACACATTTTTACATAATAGCAGTAAAGGGATGTTCCTTTGTCTACCTGAGGAACTGTATATTTTGTCCGCTTTCTTTGTCAGTCATATTCATAGTGAAAGCTTTGCAATAATTATTCATTTATGTACAAGCAGTGCACTCCATGATACACAGGTGGAATTGTTCTTCAGTGAAAAGGGGAAACTAAGGCTATTTATGCCTGGATCGTATCCCCTTTTCCGTGCGGCCTCTGTGCAGTGGCAGGAGGCGGCCGTGAGATTTTCGTACGGATTCACGGGCTCCGCAGCCTTTACGATTTTGTTTCGCGAGAAGTTAAACAAATTTGAAAAAATCGTAAGCCCGTAGCCCGTATACATGTCGTAGGTGGCATTGCACAATCCCCGCACGGGCATCGCCCGGAGGCCTCGCACTAATTGTGCAGCAAACGTCCGATTTTTCGGTGAACATGGGGGCAAAGAAAATCGTACGGAGATTGTAGACTCATGGGGCATTCGCACGGCAATTGCACAGCTATCGCAAGGTTGCTGTACGGTCACCGCGCCTTCTCCGCGCAACCTTTGCACGGAAGCTGCACGGGCTCTGTATGATTTCCGTGCGGAGGCTGCGGAGACTGCACGGCTACTGCATGCAAATTGCACGATTTCCGTACAATCTCCGATCTCCAAATACGGATTTGCCCCGGCCTGCCCCCGAGGGCCAATACAATAAATGGCACGATGCTCGTAGATAATGTAAACACAAACATCGTAGCCCGTAGCCTCCTACGTTGTCTACGAACAATCGTAGACTAATTTATAGTACGGCGCCCGGGGCAAATGTAATCCAGGCATTATGTAGCACCTCCATCGCTGTAGGAGTGAATATTTCAAAATGTACAAACTGGGACGTCTTCATGTTTTGAAGATCTATGGATATCCTGGGTCATTTGGGACATGCGCTAACCGTGAACTGGTCTATTGTTCAGAGAAATTTTTGTTCCAAAAGTAAGCAAAATATCTAACAGGTCTGTTCATTCAAACCCAAAATTTGAAAGAGCGCCTAACACAGTAATGAGTGACAAAGTTACACCTTGAGTTCTACTAATAAAATTAGTTGAATACTTTTTTTTGATAGTTGGCATTTGAATAATAATAATAATAATAATAATAATAATAATAACAATAGATCACATTTATAACGCACCTAATACATTGTTTCTAGGCGCTGTGGTGCTGTAGGCGCTGTAGTCCTGTTGTCCCAGCAGCCATTAAGTGAAGCAATGTCCTTACACGAAATAAAATCCGGGACGACAGCACCACGATTACACAATGTTATTCATTACAAAATTACAGTATATTACGCTTTGTTACGCTACAAAATTACAGTTTGTTACAGATAAATAAATAAATCAACTTAATCTAACTTAAATTGTGCTAAAGATGACTTATTTCATAACAAATATTAGTACGACATCATTTATTTATTTGACATGTTTAGAGAAGACAAAATTCATGAATCTAGGTTTTCCATGTTAGGAACACCCTGTTTAATATATATGTTTTGTCATTATAGTGTATTATAAAATAACATTAATTTTAACTCTCTTTATCCAGTTCAGTGCATGGAGGGATGTTGCCTGTACTGGTTTCTCAATGTATGGTGCTTGCAAACGACCTAAATCAAATCAAAATGTTGTACAGCCTCCAAACGACGGATGCCCAACGGTATGTACTCTAGCCCCATGATATTATTAATGTTCGGCTAAATTGCAAAGAAGTAATCTATTTGAAAAGATAATAATAATAATATTGATAATAATAACGATGGTTACATATAGTTCTACTACTAATAATGCTAATACATGCATAAAAATAATAATGATGATGATGACGACAATAATAATAATAATAACAATAATAATAATAATATTAATAATAATAATAATAATAATAATAATAATAATAATAATAATAATAATAACAATAATAACAATAATAGTAATAGCAATGACAATAATATAGGAGATTTGTAAAGCGCCGAATCCCCTGGAAATAAAATCAAGTCAAGATTATATGTTGTGTAGAGTAGTACATTTGTGAGACAAAAATATTTGTAAACCACGTATCCTGGACACCTCTACCCGATCAAAGGAATAAAAAACAGATTACACGAATTAATACAAAATAGCGTTAAAAAAAGGCATATAGAAAGAAGAAGTGAAATTATGGTTAAAATCATGTAACGCCTGCCGTTTCTATGATCGAAATATATACTTCGGTGAAGCAATTAGGAATACCCTTGTTTTCAGATGTGTCATTAAATTATCCATTTATTAATTGCATATACCGTATAGGGCTGGGTGAAGTATATGTCGACTTGTTACTTGATGGTAATAGACGTGAAACTGTCATGGGCTGATGCTAGGGATAGCTGTTTGGCGCAACAGGGAAAATTAGCTACCCTCAATGACAGGTATACCCATTTATGTCGACTGTTTTTATGTCTCTATTTGCCTATCTGCATCTCTCTCCTCCTCTCTCTTTATCTCGCCCTCCCTTCTTCCTTCCCTCTCCTTGGCTATCTCTGTGTTCGCCCCTCTCTTTCTCATTCTCTTTCTCTCTGTCTCTAAACCGATTTATGTTTTCTTTAGTTGCACAACTCCCTTTTTGTCTTCCTAATAGATAACATTATTTACAAATCAGACTTAAATACATACCATATAGATAATGTATTATATTCTTTGGTTTCTTAATTGATAACACTTACTCAAATACCACCAAATTACTTTGGACTTTTTGAAGGGGGAGGGGAGAACTGTGTAAATGTAGTTCTACAGTTTCACATCTCCAAAAGTTCGATGACTTCAAGATTATAATTCATGAAGTTCTTATGATTTTTTTTGTACGTTTTCTACCTCCAAATTAGTCCTTTGTCTACATACTCCTTGTTTACATACTCCGGTATGAATTTTTTGCCAATTTCCCCTATTTTTAGTTTTAATGTTAATTGAATTGAGTTTATTTCCTTATCTCTATTTCAAAATCAAGTGTAAACCATGACAAACAAATATTTAAAAGAATAACATGGTATAAGCAAATTTACAAAGAAGAAAAGATTAATGTAAATGTGGTGGGATCATAAAAAGATTGGTAAAACTTGTAAACATGATTCCATTTACATGAAGAAAAATATATGCATCAAAAGTACAGAAAAAAATAGAATAGTAAAAACAAATTAGCACAGGGAATTGTAAAGTACTAACCATATTCAACAAATTTGTAACAATATTTAACCCTCTTTAAACTTACGTTTGAAAGATTTTAACAAATTTGTGTTTTTGATGAGTTTTGATGTGTTGTGATATGATAGGCAATAAAAGGGATCCTTTGCATGAAATTATTGAACGAGAAAAAGACGTACGTTTGGTCTGCAATAAACTGTGTGACATTATACAATTATTATATAACAATTCACAATAAGTTATGAATATGTTTCATCGCAATGATGCTTTACTCTGACTACTCATAATTATCTTTAAAACATTACACAATTATCTTTGAAACATTACACAATTCTTGTTCAGGTATGACCAAGCATTTCTCTCCTCCAAGCTTGGTGAATACAGAACTGATTATACCGGCAGTGATGACTTCTGGATCGGTTTGAGTGACACGGACGTACCAGGAACATACAAATGGGTTGATGGTTCATATCCAACATTTTCCGCCTGGGGTCCAGGGCAACCAGGCATGTAACCGACGCCATTTTTGTATTGTATTGACTTCCTTTGTAAAAATAAAAAATGTTTATCATTATTTTACTTAACAGGGGAAGTTTAAAAAAATAAAAATAAAACAAATCTTCATAAAATTTTCACACAACTAGATTAACTTTTTCTTCTTGAAATCGTTCATTCGTGAAATAATTATCTCTATAGTAATGGGAAATAATGAAATGACCACAAATTTTCCACAAATTAACTTTGAATATCACTCTAACTTGCAGAAAACTAGATTTATCTTAAAATCTTAATTGCAATTTACATTATATTGCAGACGTTATATTATATTTTATCAAGATATTCATACTATTCCTTAACAGATGATAGTTTTGGCAAGTGTGTGGCAATGATTGGCGGTTACAATCAAAACTCTGCTGGATTGTGGATGGATGAGCCATGTCCAAACACACTCAGTTACATCTGTGAGCAACCCATACTCGGTGCCACCGAGAGACCATACACCCAAGCCCCCGTAACCTCACCGTCCAACGACGGCTGCGAAGTCGGCGCCATCGGATATGGCAACAATTGCTTCATGGTGGGTTTTTACTTCCAACGAACCCTTTCATTTGAAGAGGTTTCTTCATTTTAAATACACTGGAAAATACACAAATGCTCTGCCATAAAAAGATTGTGTATAGTTAAATTGTTGATTTTTTGGATGTTGTTTATGTTCGTTATTCAGCCAGAGTGATAGGTCATGTCTATTCAGAATGTTTGCTAATATTTTGCAACAGTTACATGTCCATCTGTTTGATGATTCGGTTATACTTAGCGTCTGCAATTTTTTTCCCGGCTTTCTCTTTTTATACTCTTGAAACCCCATCTATGTATTATCTCCGTCGTTGATGTAAAAGTCATCATCAACATTATACCTTCATCATTACCGTGGTTACCGTTATCAATCTTATCATCATCATTGAAAAAAGCCAACATTCTCCTCCTGTCCCACTTTCACTAACTTTTCCTCCTCTTCCTTCTCTTCCTTCTCTTTAACATCATCACCTTCACCACCGTCATATTAATATACTCAACTCCCAACTCCTTTTTAAATCGTCACAATCTATAGGTCTATGAGAAGCCTGTAGAGGAACAGCTTGCATTCACAGACGCTAGGGCACAGTGTCAAGCCATGGGCGGAGATATGGCGAGCTTCCAGAGTTCTGCAGAAGAACAATACATTGTCTCAAGTTTTACTCCACAGTAAGATGAATACAATTCCAGCGACTTTCGAGACAGAAAAAAAAAATTAATCAAAAGCAATTTAAATAGCCTTGTCCGTCAACTATTAAATTGTGTGAACCTTGCAATGATATATAATGTAATTAGAATGGATTTCTATGGGGTATACAATAGGATATTAAAATTGCCCCTGAGTTGATTTCTCGAAAGTCTTTGCGATCGTATCACATATAATTCTATACTGGCTATGGCTTATTCTATGTTTTCTCTTAACTGGAATAACTTTTTGAAATCGAAGGCCTAGTAACTATTGAGCTACAAAGATGAAGAGACTACATACAGAATGCATACTATAATTTGAAAATTATATGAAATTCTGGGAAAGATTCATGAGATTCAACTAATCTAAATGTGTAAAACAAAATCCGTTTAGTCCTCGTAATTTAACTTCAACCGAGGAAGGTATGTAACACACTTTTAAAAATCTTCTTATACCTTTTTTTTTTCTCTTTCAGGGATCAAGATAATTTCTATGGATTCTTGATAGGTTTGAACGATATCAACCAGGAAGGAGGTACATTTCATCTATTTTATTTGGAAGTCTCATAATCTACATTTTTGTGTACACTGTCAGTACTCGTTAGTCTTTATATTCTTGCTTTTAAAAGCTATTTGGCATTGATAAGGTCTGATAAGATCATATTTTGGTGAGTTCATCTTTTTAATCTTTTGAAATGATTCTCTAGGAGGTCGTGTTAGCAAACCTATATTGTTAGAATCACTATTTCTAAATGTCCCAAACTTTGACAGGAATAAACCTAAGCTTGTTCCTTTGTATCCAGTTGTTACAGATAGATACATGACATAAGACATGAAAGCTCCAAGCATAGTTTGAAAGCAAATAAAGTGCAGTGGAGCATAATGTGTTTTCCAAAAAAATGTGAAATATTAACCTGGGACATTTCAATAAATATTGTAATCGCTTCAATGAAAATGTGATTTTGAATCAGGAATGTTCAGTTCTCATCATCTTTTCACTTTTATTTTTGGCAGCTTGGCAGTGGAGCGATGGGTCAGCAGTTATCTACGTCAACTGGGAGACTGGAGAACCAAACGACGAATCAGGAAGCGAAGAATGTGCAGAGATGTTCCTTAATGAAGGGCGAAGATGGAATGATATTCCTTGCTATGCACTCAGAAGCTGGATCTGCTCAAAACCAAAACGTAATAAGTCTTAATATACTGTCAGACTTGTCTAAGCGGGCCACCGCTCTTCAAATGACACATGTCTATAGGGAGTACATTTAGTGTTTCCTTGCGATTTGACTGTAGCATTTAAAATACTCATTGATTACTAAACAAACACTGATATGATTGTGGAAATAAGGAGACAATTTTAAGCCATCCAAGACCCCACACACACAAACAAAAAAAGTTTTAACAATACTGACTCTTAAGAGCATATCTGAACTGAATAGTTTGAAAATATTGTATGAACATTAACTTGATATGAATTCCTGTATTTCCTTAACTTAGCTTGACGTTTTGTATTGTCTTACCTTCACTTGCTATTTTGATAAACCTTCTCTTCCAATACAGCTAAAGCACCAGTAACACCATTGCCTTCAGGTAAGACCAACCATACAATGATTTACAGGACTCTCCTTTTTGTTTTTTCCATGTATGCCTAATGTATTGAAAGACATATGCCTCGATTTCAGGCTTCCTGTTTGCGGAATGAATGTTTAAAAGTTAATTATGATACTCTACACCTTTTCAAAAGATAAATGAGAAAACCAATTACACGCATCCTGTCCGGTTTGATACAGAATAATATTCCTAACAATTGCACGAGTGATATCCTTTTGCTGTTTGTTCGAGACATGCTCTGGTTTCATTTACTCTGCATTTAATGTCCTACACTACCTGAATAATCAACATTGGACCAACCGCTATGCCTCAAAACTAACAAAAAACAAATAACCTAAAAAAACTAAATTCCTATTGCAATCCCAATCGTTTCCCTACGTTTTTGATTAAGCCCGGTCTAAATGTTTTTAGAACAAATATTTGGTCACCACAAGGGCTGCAAGATTCTAACTTCAAAGGGACAAAGGGGTAACATCGCAAACAAACCTCTAGTTCCTCTAAAAAAAAACTTGATAATCTCATCTTAACGCCATCATTATTTTGTTACCACAGTGGGTGTATGTCCATCTGACAGTGATTGGAGATACGTGAGCCCATACTGTTACTATGTCAGTGATATAGTTAGTGCGGGCGACAGACGAGGCTGGTTTGATGCCCAAACTTTCTGCCAATCCAAGGGTGGCCATCTGGTCTCTATCACAAGTGGACAGGAAAATGCATTCCTCCTGGAAATGGTAAGATTGCCTTGGTTTATATTCATATATATTTATATAAAAACCAATCATATCATTCAGTTTCGCATAATCAAACGGTGAACAAAGCAAATCGCACACAACAACTTGACATTTATATTAATACATTTTGTGTGTAACCTCCTTGACAAAGAAACCAGTTTCGTAACAAAATTTCGGACAATAACAGTTTATTTATGAACTCGCAAAAATGCATTATCCTATCCTTATTTTGATGTTTTGTAATGGACGCTAAAAAGTGTATGTTAGGTAGTATAATATGTACTTGTTGTTTCATGAACCTCCAGAATTATGAACCTTCTCTCATTTTTAGAATTTCGAACCTTATTTCCTTGTAAAATTTATATATTTTTTTTTTCGGAAAACCGACATATACATGAGCGCCCATGTGCTGTATGCAAGGTTATCGTCTATGCCCAACGTATTGAGGCATTCCGATGCAATACCAAATTAATGAAATGTAGCGTGTGTTGAGAGAGAGAGCCATTGACTTATCGTATTGTACATGGCCGAGGTGCCAATTTTGATTTCAAAGACTATTTTTGTATACATAATTATGTTTGACAGTTCCATACACTACGGTTTGTGTTATACTACTAACTGATGTGTTCTTATTCTTTGCAGTCACCAGATGTTGCTTTACAGTATTGGATTGGTCTGCGGCAAGAAGTTGTGGATGGTCCCTACACGTAAGGAACAGTCATAACATTATCAAATAATGCAATTATTTGTTACCTCCGTTACACCATGATTTTACTATTACATTATTTTCCTGGTTCTTTGTGATATCGCGTTTCTAAACAGGTCCAAATTCTGTAACTTGATGAATTCATTAAGTCAGTATCAGCTACTGAGAACAAATACATTTAAACAAGTATAAAGCCTTTGATACTAATTTAGAAAGAAATCAGGAAAACATCATTTTTAGGTATATGTACTAATAAATTGAGTCGTTTATCAGCAACTACAACGTGTTAGCTTAATCGGTATGTAAATCGATGATACCTTAGAAATGTAGAAACAAGAATTCGCTACACTATCAGATTATCTATCAATGAGTACCTTGTTCGAGTAATAACTTGAGATGTGTATTTATGTTACAGTTGGTCAGATGGAACTCCATTTACGTACGCAAACTGGCAGCCTGGTGAACCTAACAACAAACATGGTGAAGAGACATGTGGAGAAATGAACAAATATGAGTATGATGGTAAGGATCATGACCAACTCCCATTCCTGTCTTTACACATCGTGATGTAACCGTGTAAAGTTACGTAATCATCGCTAAAGTTTTTACTATATCGTGTATGCTTTCTGTAAAAACAAAATATTAAAAATCGGTTAATCCATTATTTGAATTGAAATTGTTACCTGATTTATTAGAAAACGAACAGCATTTTAAGAATCGAAATAGAATCTGGATTGATCAATTACGGGGACCATCTTTCTTTCTACTGCCTATGCCATTAAATTGAATCATTTTGAAATCGTTACCAATAACGCTAACAAAGCCTACTAAGGAACAAAAATCAGCCCACGAGCTAAATGCAACGCAGTCTTTGGGCCTCTCACAAGTCATGATGCGTCAAAGATCGTGCCTGTCGATGACGCAGTCCTTCGTCAGGAGACAACTGGTGTGCAGCATGCATTATATGTAATCCTGATGACGCAATGCTAACATGTTCTAGCATGCTAATATATCATACATACCTGACCTTTGCCTATACTTCAGACCAACTAGGACTGAATGGTAAGTGGAACGATCAGAACTGTGGAGTTCCAACTCCTTTCATCTGCAAGAGAGCAGAAGATTCCATCACCCCTGTCACCAACGCACCTACCCCGACTCCCACTGGTGGCTGTAATAACGGTTACTTCAAGTACTTCAATCGTTGCTACAGGATCGGTGGTTACGTTACCGATGACCGGTACAAGTGGAAGAGCGCCAGGGACCTTTGTCAGGCAGAGGGCGGTAACCTGGCTGGCATCCATGATAAGAGAGTCCAGTGTAAGAGAAATTATCAATCTTTCTTTTCTCAGGATTAAAGTTTGCTAAATTGAAACCGTCATGCTCTTATAGCGTTTCCCATTTTTAAATAGTCAATATCAGTATCTCTACCTGAACGAATGTGAATTAACGTGAAAACGTGTCCTATCAAATGAACAGTTTATCACAAGCAGGCTTATTATACGTTATTATACATGGGAAAGTCCAAACTGTTCTGTCGTATATCAAACACATCTCAGGTTTTAGTCTATCAGATGATTGTATGAAGTTATAATAGCTTTACTAGTGCTTAGATCAGACCAAATAATTAGTAAATTGACATATTTTATGTCAAGTAATACTTGACTATGTCCTTGACTCATGTATTACCTTGGAATGTCCTTGACTCATGTATTACCTTGGAATGACCAAACTATTAAATGAAACAGTGATATCAAGAATGTCATCTATGGTCATTATCTTTCCCCTCTTCAGCTCTACTGACGTCACTGCTCATCGATGTACCTACTGATGTCTGGATCGGTTTCTCTGATCTGGGATCGTCTGGACAGTACCACTGGACCGACGGGAAAAGCCCTGTCTACACCAACTGGTTACCAGGAGAACCTAGTGGCATCGTCACCTGGCCCGGCGAGGTAAAGCTCACCTCTGTCGCTATTCCAGCTATGACAGAAGGATAAGTGCACCATCTAAACAACGTATAAACAACGTACTCCTTTAGTAGACGATAATAATACCACAGTCATGCCGATAAACTCACTCTACACTGAAAGATTAGTTGACGATTCGGGAAAAGTGGGAAAGGCAACTTTTCTCTTAGGTCTTGTATCGATCTGTTGTCGGTCTCATTTGAATGATTTATGTATGAACAAGGTTTTTAACCGTTCTTTCATACAAGATGACTCCATAATGGCTAGTAACCATCCAGGGTTGGCTATCTATAGTGTAGAATTTAGTGTGTTACATAGCTGAGGCACCAAGTTCTCTTAATTATAATCAATTTTCAGAAAATATTTCATTTTGAAGTAAAATTTTGTTTGATTTTATTACAGGAATCCAGGCACTGCGTTGAGTTGCTGAACGATTACGACTACGCTGGAAAATGGAATGATGTCAACTGCGGAGAAGTCATAGCATACATGTGCGAGAAAGATCTAGGTAAGACTCGTTTGGTTAATATTGACTCTGTTAATTCGAATTTACAATGCTCTCTTTTCGGAGACTACAAGTAATGTACGAAGTCCTACGTTACGGAACAGTCTCCCACAGTACGTTTGCTTGTTATCCGGTGTCTTTAAAAATATAGCTTATAATACAGACTTATACAAAGTGCGATTACGATTAGCCAATACTGCAGTCTTTCCAGGTAAATCACAGAATACAATCTTATACAGTATTTTGCTATTTTTCAGTCTCTCTCAAAGATTTTGATTAGGCAGCTAGATATTGGTGCTCTACCAAATACCCAGGTTTTATTGAATGTGTTGTCTGAGAATAAAGAAGGTGTTTTTTGTTATTTCAAATTCTCTTCAGTGCAAGGAGCAAGCGAAAACCCACCTCCCAACTCGTTTTGCGATGACAAAAGCTACTACAAATACGACGGTTCCTGTTACAAGATCGACAGTACACCCAGAAACTATGCTGATGCTCAAGAGTACTGTAGGTCGCAAGGAGGCGATCTCGCTAGCATCACTGATTCTTACAATGAAGCCTTCCTCGAGTACTTGATGTATTCTAATGATGTCTCAGCTGCCTGGATTGGTATGACTAGTAACGAGGTAAATAAGAGCTTTTTTAATGTATTCTTTGTAAGGCGTATAGGTCATGAATGAAGTAGATTCTAGTGTTGAAGAATATTATTTTCATTCATTTGTAATCATGCAATATGAGGAAGATTTTATATTATATGTTTTTCATTTCAGCATGGTAGTAAAACTTTATCCGGTTAAAGATACTGACATTTGAGCAAGCTAAATTTTCAACCCTTGTCCACAATCGATAACCCTTACCTGAAAATTCGAATATAAAGACTACAGTTACGTTTATGGATTAGCTTAAGCCCCTATCACACCAAACTAGTTCTCACTACGTTTTGGAACCGTCCTAGAAAATCGTTAAACGGGTTGTGGTCGGAGTAGAATTTGTAAATAATGTCTATAATACGACCCTAGTTCGTTCATAAACAGTCCTCAATACGTCCATCTAGTCTGGTAGAACTAGTTATGAACTTGTTATGAACTGATTACGGGCGGGCTTGGACTGCTTTGAAATGGAAAATTTACCCGATCTGAACTTGATATAAACTGACTTCGGACGAGGTACAGACAAGATGGACGTATTGAGGACTGTTTATGAACGGTCTAGGATCGTATTATAGATATTACTTACACATTCTACCCCGACCATTACCCGTTTCTTAACGATTTTCGAGGACGGTTCCGGAACGTAGTGAGAACTAGTTTGGTGTGATGGGGGCTTAGCTGCTGGTAATTGATGATCGACCACAGCACGTTGTAATACGTTCCTAGTAGGATCGAAGTACGACAATTCCGTTTATAGTAGGACAATCAGTCCGTTTGTAGTACGTCCTCCTCGTTTTAAGTACGTTGTCACTCCGTCTATTTGCAGGACGAGGACAATTTTGAACAGGCTCAAAGTTCTAGAGCACTCTCCCTTATAGACAGACCGAGCCCGCCCATGAAGTTCTTAAACAGATCGTTAACAGTTGCTACTACGTTCAACTCCGTTTGCACACAGTTTGAGACACGTTTGACAACATTTTCCAGAACGTATTGAGAACTAGATCGGTGTGATGGGGGCTTAAGGGAACCCTCGAGTGAGGTCGTAACTCCCAAACATACCCATGCAATATCGTAATGCCATCAGGACATTCATGTCGATTTGACGTAACCCGTAAGCTCTTGGATCACACCAGGGAACTTGTCCTGGGCCCCGGAACACGATGCTTAGCAAATGATCATACGATTTATTTTTGTGACCGATTGTACATTGTGATCAATACAAATAAATAGTACCATCCATTGATAAGCTTTGTGTTACGGATGCTGTACGTATGACTCTTATACACTACTTTGCAACTTTATTTTTTGTTTACTGATTAGGACGGACAGTATACCTGGAGTGACGGATGGCCTGTCTTCTATTCCATATGGGGTGACAGTGAGCCTAGTCAACGTCAAGGAGAGGGATGTGTAGTCTTACGTGATGAGCCCTCATGGGATGATACACAATGTAATGGCATGTATGTACCCATCTGTAAGACTACAAACAGTAAGTATTACCATTTCTATTCAAATCTCACATAAAGTATCCGTACATGTATCACCAATTCATTTATAACGACAAGAAAAGAGATGTGTTCAAGAATGTTGTTTGAAGATTTCAGAGTTTTTAAATATATTATTGACATTAGTCATTACACAAAATCAGTGACGCAATACATCTGTTGTTACTCAGTAATTTCACGATCAAGATGAACAAACATTTGCAGGATAGGATCGTAGTACTACATAGCCCGACAATTTGAGGTATTATATGTTTGTTTGCTTTAGTCTATTGAACATGTTACATTGGCGGATCCAGAAATGGACACTGGGACACGTGCGCCCTCTCCGCCCTCTCCGCACTCTCCCCAAAACAAGTCTACCGAGGAATCTTATCTTAACTTACTCTGTAACAAGGATACATTTTATCTCGCCTAACAGAGGTTGCTCCTACTCGAGTCCCCACCCTACCCGGCTCCTGCCCCAGCGGACAATCAGAGTTTGGTGGTCACTGCTACGCCGTAGCTTCAGGGGCTGTCTTTGCTGATTGGTTTACGGCTAGACAGACCTGTCAGACTCAATACGGCGGTGAGCTTGTTAGTCTGCATAGCAAGGAAGAGAACGAGTTTGTTAAGGATCTTGTGTTCGGTACCCAGGGTGTTAGATCCGTCTGGCTTGGTCTCACAAGATCGGAAACAGGTATGCATTTATCTTTTATTGGAGCATCTACAGCTAGCAACACATTCATTAGTATATCCCTTCTTGAAGAATATAATAAGGGCCTGAAATATCAAGAAAGATAATTATGTTATTTCGTTTTCCTAACTCTTTGATAGTACACTGTGTGTTTATCGTTTGCTTACTGTGTTCAAATCGGATACAAACTCTCTTTGCATTGTTTAAAGATTCGGTTACCCACTGAAACAAAAAGCGAGTTGGAACATGCTCTAAGTATTGACAGTGCGAACACCCCGTTACATTGTATACACGCTATGTTTACACGCTGTGATAAAAGCATTTATATGTGATTTATAAATAATTCGAAACACGTTGAAAGTGTATACCATGTGAACACACTGTGCTTAACCCTTATTAAACTACCATTACAGACTGTGGTAAAAAATAATGTAGAGTGTCTACGCACAGTGTGACCACATGGATAATTTGGAAGACGTTCGTAATGTGAACACTGTGAACACACTGTGGTCAAAGATAGTATCACATGGTGTGATTCGCAATACTTCAGAGAGTTTACAATTTGACCACAGTGTGTTCATACTTTTCCACACTAGTAAAATGTGTACTTTCCTATTAAAAAGAAAACAAAAAATGTAGACAGACTTTCGACGACTCATTTTCTTTTGTTTGCAGGTGGCTTCAAATACACTGACAGCAGTCCAGTAGATTATGTACACTGGGCCAATGGTGAACCTACCGAAGAATGGGCAGGATCAAACGAAGACTGTGTAGAGATGTATACAAATGAATTTGCGAAATGGAACGATGAAGATTGTTATGCCCGGGCTTCTTATGTTTGTAAAATGGACAAAAGTAAGTGACAAAATCTACTAATAGCGAATCAGAAAATTATTGATAGTGTAAATGTAATATACACAGTCGTATCTTGCCAAAATATCAATTTTCTGCTTTCTTGATTCAGATTGTGTAAGTGAGAGAAGCGAGTAAGAAAATTGTTCACACTTGATTAGAGTGACATTCCATGGTGGCTAATTATGAATAAATCTATAGCATTGATGCCGGTTAAAAATGAGCCTGCGTCACATATCCAACGGTCTCCGGCAGAATTTGTGTATCGCCAGAAAGTCGCCGAATTTTAAACCCGCCGGGAAGTCGAGCGTATTTTGCGCTTGATATCTATCCTGTCACAAATTTGGCGGTGCTCGGGAGGTGCCCTTTGAACACCCATCAGTAAACAAACGAGAGTCGGGGTAAGCCCGCTCGACATTAGGGCGGGCGCCGTCCGAGTTCCGGTCGACGATCAATAGGTTTATCGGTGCCCCCCCCCCGACAATCGAGCGATGCCCGGACGGGCTCCTCCATACGTCCTTTCTGGCGTCCGCGCCTTGAAGATAATATATAGGACATTTCGAGCTCGCAGAGAAGTTGGGTGAGCTCCGTTTTGGATATGTGACGGTCCCTTCGGTAAATATTTTTTGACAAAATTGATTAATGCATGTTACTTAGTAGGTCTTAGTCTCTTCCACATGATGGCATCATTTGCATATAATTATATATTATTCTTAATTAACGAGATATCCGGTATAAATAAAAGGTACGTGATTGTGATATTTTAAATTAGAATATTATGATGTGATGTGAAAAATATGTAGGATTGATAACAAACATTATAATGAAATTACCTCACTGCTCGAATATGAGTTGTTGCCAGTTGTTGGGTGCCCATACATTGATAAATCATAATGACTACTTTTGTTTGGGGCAGCATTCATAAGTCTTGTCCGATTTTGGTCATAATGACGTTATCAAATCTATTATGAGAAATTGCTTTTGTTGTATGCACCTTTGGATATGCAAATGACTGCAAAGGTTTGTTAGTCACTCCGAAAAGGGGGAACATAAGTAATCCTTATCCACTCGGCAGGTTAAGGACAATATTGTATTTTTCTTTTCAGCTCAAAATGAAACGGACTCGCAACCGATCAGTGGCGATGACTGTAAGTAGTTTATGTTTATAGTTCTTTTCACGTTATCACAATCTAATGACATCGTGGTTCATTCCTTTTGCTTATTCCAATCCAAAAAAGCAAACAAAATCGGTAACCATCCAAAGATAAACTGCGGTACTTGATGAATAAGAATTTTGAGTTTTGATAAGCACCACCTTTAAGTTAACTGCATATCCTAATGCAATATAAAAACATACTCACTCACTCACCCATTCTTTAAGAAATTAAAATTGATAGAGGTAATTGGTAGTGAAAAATATAAGATTTGTTAAATCAAAGACATACTTTTAGTCTTGCACTTATTAGAGTAAAAAGAAGAAACTGCTTGATTTAGAAAAGCCCGTCCAGCTGTTGCAAAGACTTGTAGGTTGTTAAAAAATGATATGCATATTCATGTTCCAAATGATTTTTCATGCACCAATGAGGGAAAAACATCCTGCATTTTTCCATTCCCGGCTCATTATTTCTGATCATTTTTTTCCTACCCTTAATTCCCTCAGCTCTTTCCGCGGGACTGCTCACTGGCATAGTCATCGCCGTAGTTGTCGTCATTACAGTAGTCATTCTCGTGGTCGCCTGGTTTGCTGGTGCTCGTAACGCTCCTAAATCGTCCTCAACGACCGCCGATCCCTTTCCAACCCCGACGCCACCCGTAGGCTTCGACAACGCCCTCTATGAAACAAATGTTCAGGTTGACCAAGAGAAGCCGAAAGATCTGAAAGACCCTGGAGTTGCAGAGGCATAAACTACTTCATGTATTTGTTTACTGTGTGTGTTAGGGAATGGTGCTTTTGTTATGAATTAATGATCCACAAAGCCATATTTTTCTGTAATACTTTTGAAATGTTGATGTATTGAAAAAAGGATGATTAATTGTACCTGCGCTGGATTATGATATCAAACTGTATTCAATATTGATGTGATGAGGGATCATGTTGTGTATCCATACACTATTTCAATTGACTCGACTAATAGTTAATCATTCCGCACAAGGTACAAACATGTGAGCAATGTCCAGATATTTCCATCCATGTCAATTTGGAATAGCTCAAAAACAGGGTATTCATGTGGCCTTTTGATTCGTACAAAGTGTCATGAAATATCATAATTTAACAAAATCTGATGTAGTTTCCACAAAGCAGCATGTTATTTGGTCTTGTGCTAATAATTAACGTTGGTTGGTTTATATACATATATATAGACATTGTCCATTATTATTTCCATAGCTTACTTATTATTTCCTTTATGTCAGCGTTATGAATGAGTTAGGGATAAAAAATGTACGATCTGGTATTATTTGTAAATGTCAGATTGGAAATTTCCGAGATGTAAGTTTTAAATGTTCTTTTACTCTTTGTAAATGCATTTTAACGTACTTGTACGGCTTTTATGATTCTGTTAATAAACATTCATATTTTGACATGAATGATAATCGTCGTTCTTTCTTAACCTTCGTGAAGAAACTGTCCTCCATATTTACACTGATAGAGTATAGTGACGTCAGGAAAGTGATATCGAATTCCGAGATAGAGAAGACTAGGAAGAGAAGGAGAAAAAGAAGAAGAAGAAGAAGAAGAAGGAGGAGAAGAAGGAGAAGAAGAAGATAAAAAGGAGAAGAAGAAAAAAGAAGAAGAAGAAAAAAAAAGGAGAAAAGGTAGAAAAAGAAGAAGAAGAGGAAGAAAAAATGAAGAAGGAGAAGAAGAAGGAGAAGAAGAAGAAGAAGAAGAAGAAAAGAAGAAGAAAAGAAGAAGGAGAAAAAAAATAAGAAGAGAGAAGAAGAAGGAGAAGAGAATTAAGAAGTAGTAGTACTAAAGTAGAGTAACAGAAGAAGAAGAAGACCACTACCACTGACCATTGAAACTTCCACTACCACTACATCTACAGGTGCCGCTCCCACTACCGCTACCACCACCTAAACTACTACCATAACCAGTGATATTTCAGACTGACGAGGATTATTAGACATATATTTTTTTTAATCACTTCCCTTTAGTAATCATTAAAACATTGAGTGTTTACATTATTCTGGCACAAGAGTGACATTAACATCATCATGGGTTTAAGATTTTATTATCTATTTGAATTGATGACATATTCCTGTTTAATCTTTTTTTAAAGGGGGAGGAACACGTAATTTGACTCTCATCAGCAAAATTAATATAGTTCTCACAGAACAGAATTATCTCGAAATCTCCAGTTTGTTAATTTCTTTGCAAATATACATAGTCCAATGATTTATCTCGCGAACAACTTTTGTGGCTTACAAAATTATAGGTAAGATCCAATTATCACAGCGGAAACAAACAAGTAAGAATTCAACCTGAAATTCAGGATTTTACGCTATATGAAGGGAATACGTAGTAATTATATATAAATGATGAAGAATAGTGTACATCTCATAACTAAAAGTATAACTCTAAAATGAAATAAAATAAAAGAGTCTGCAATCTGAAGAGCGATTCAATTCAATTCAATTCAATTCAATTCAATTTCGGTTTATTAATATCAACATATACAATGTACAATGCAGTAGTCCAGGGACCAATAATGCAATGTTTACATAAAATGTGCATAAAAACAGGAATGATCATATAAATGTACAATAAAAATGATAAAAGATAAAGTTAAAATTATTGCTCATACCTAAAGTTATATACATATATAAATAAATGATAATAGATGGATGATAATAAATGTTGAACCAGTTATTGCAAGTACAAATAATCTTTAAATTTAACAGCTATTAAAAAAAATATATACATAATATATAGAGGGAGAGAGAGAGAGAGAGAGAGAGGAAATTATTATACTGCAATTGTTAACATGAGATCCATAGACTGAAAAATTATACATGCAGGTGTGTCTGTTGTGTGACAGGTAAGGTCAAATTATGTTGAATATAATTATTACATTAAGAATATATCATTAAAGCATTTCATATAAAGTGATGTTTAGTGCCCATGAGCATACACAAATTCTCATAATTGTTGAGTTTCCACATTAAATTTTAAATTGGAGTTGAGTTACAATCATGTTATTGCAGCAGAATTATACACGGTGGTTTAAGAACAACTTCATAAGAAAAATGAAGAGCACTCTATAAAATGTGCACGATCAACATATAAAAGATACTAATGTTATTTCATAACCAAAATTATGATATTTGTATGTCCAAAATATTATAATAATAATAATGCTAATGGAAAGTGCTTATATAGCGCATAATAATTCATAGAATTCTATATATGCGCTTACATTAAAAAAATGCAATAACGTACGTTGTATCAAAACATAGTATACATGGATATATACAGAGCAATTCACCCAAAATAATAATCATTCAACCGGCTGATACTTTCCTAAAAACTTACTATGTGTGTTCCGATTGATTTTGTTATGTAGTTTTCGATAGATATTTGCTTCTGCCTTTATGGATATCAACAATCAAAACACATCGATAATTAATATAATATCAACATATTCAGTAAAAGGACAAATCATGTATCAAATTTGAGTATCTTCAAGTATTCTGATAGCAAACTTATCTCCATCTTTATCTCGTTTGTTTTATGATAATGGTACCATATACGCGTATCTTATAAACATTAGATATCAATCTTAAAATCAAATCGGTTTAATGTGTTTGGTTGTTGTGATATGGCTGATCAAGGTTCTCAAAAGAAGAATCGTGATGAATTCCTATTTCCTTTCAAGATTCAATTTGTGGACAGTGCCTTCATGTTCTATAAATAGAAGTTACGAAATGGCCTGGGTTTTAAAAAATAAAAACATTTCATATACCCTCACGTTTGTATGGACAACGCTTTGCTTTTAAAACTTTAGATATTTTTTTTTTATCAAACTCAAAGATTTGATCATAATAAGAGATTTGATCATAACTCAATAAGCAAAATAATAAAAATATTCACCAACATAATCTTTTCAAGCTTCCCCTGAAAATATATTCTAAGATATTCTAAGACTTCTATGAAATTTCGAGTCTCTAGTTGAGGGTAATGTTACAGAGATAAACGTGATAAGTGTTGGCTTAATCAATAACATGCAATAAGATCTTGTACCACCATAATCCTTTCCAAAACTTTGCAAAGTTAGAAAATACTGCATCGTGTAAAAAAAGTATTTAGAAAACAAAAATCGTGTGAGCAAACGATGGGAGGGGGATGTACAAAACAAAAACAAAATTACAGAAAACAAAACAAAAATAGATAAATAAGTAAGAATTTAAAAAGAAAAAGAAATAAAGAAGACATTATATTGTCACTTTCGAATAATAATATGAGACATATAGGGCTTATTGATATTTCCTGGTCCTGCAAACAAGAGTGGGGGGGGGGGGCGTAAACCATTTATAGGATTTGGCTGGAAACTCCATTGTGTACTATATGTGGGCAAGTAAAGCCCCCACAGTCCGATTTAGATTGCAAGGTTGAGAAAGGTCTGCGTTGTGATCGTTGTTTAGATGCCTAATATTGACTGTATTATTGTTTAAAAACGATTATTTGATTATTGTCAGAAGTAAAAAGATATATCAAGAATGATCAGTGAAGAGGCGAAGTGGTCTAGGGGATAAGTCACCAGGTATCACCAGGAGTCACATGGTACGGACCCCGAAATTGCCAATACTTTACACAGCTGAACATTCAGCCTTCATGAGGGTAATTAGGCTGATTAAATCCAAAGTTGTTTGGACGCGCATGGAGACATTGTTAACTATGTAATATGTGCTATAAGATAACTGAGTATAGTTATTATTATTAGTATTGAAAGTCTATGATGATTTATGTTTATATCATCTCCCGTAGCTGTACCAGACTGATCCTGTTAGTACCATCACAGATGGACCCATGACACCCTCTTGAGCAAAATTCGTGTTTAGACAAAACTTATACCTGTAGATAAACGACCTGATAACAAAACCATGATAAAGTTCGAATCTTACAAAATATGAAAATAAGGCCAGTGAATGAAATGACTTTGAACCTCAGAGTTGCAAGATAAAAAGCAATTTGTGTTATCACCAAGTTCCGTTCTCGGTAGTGGGTACCTCTCTTCTACCTCTTTTCGGGTTAACACCTCCTTTACTCGGCGGAAGTTTAGGGGCGATATTCGTCGATAATAGGACTATAGTTTTACTACCATTGGTTGGTGGTAATAGATAGCTGTCGTACATTCGGAAGGTGATGTGTTTGCTGTCCTATTCAAGATGATTCTCAGATTACTTTTACTCGCTGCTGTCACAGTGCAAGGTAAGTTCTTGGTACACGTTGCACCCACATATTGCTTATTCGCCTACGAACTACTTGGGATTGTGGAAGTTTTAGAAGACACATGTAGTTGGAAAGTGTTATGAATCTCTCTAATGTTGTATTATTACCTATATAGAAGAAAAATACATAATTAAACATGGCTGTTGTTAAACATAGACAAAGTATGCTAGTATAATTTATCTACACACTGGCTTTGATGGCACACTTTCTTCTCAATATGGAAAAATAGAACATAATAAAGAACACAATATAACTGTAGCGGCTTATTAAGGGGGCATCACGCCCCTTGTCCAAAAGTTATATGCATAGTTTGATGCACATTGCTTATCCACGTGCCCCAATATAAATTTGATAAACCTTTTACATGCTTGTCGAGGATTTTAGGGGTAGTCATTCCTGTAAATATATATATATATATATATATATATATATATTTGTTTCCCTTCTCCATATTTGGACAACATGTCCATGCTGAGCAAAAAGTCTGGATCAACCAGGGCATTAAATCCTAACATAAAAAGGCATGTAATGTGTCTTTCCAATTATTTGAAAAATAAATCACTGAGATGATGATTTGCACTTCAAGAATGAGATTTTGTATTCATTTTTAAAATTATTATTATTAAAATACAACCTGCCGGACATTGCTTAGTCTGGGTTGACGTTTAACACGGGAATTACTAGTTTTCTGGGTGTACAATTTTTGGTGCGTTTGAAAGACATTTTTAATTAAACTTTCCACCCCAACTACAAAAAATGAAAAATATCTTCCATATTTGGTCAATAAGAGACCTAACTCCCATTGGCAAGATTGCTATCGTAAAATCATTGGGATTGTCTCAACTAATTTATTTACTTTCTATCCTTCCAAAACCACCTGAAGCCTTTTTAAAACAGCTCGAGTCTTTACTTTTTTAAATTTATTTGGAATGGAAAACCAGACAAAATAAACCGTACAAACAATAATTGGAGACTATGTAGACGGAGGTCTGAGAATGTTACATTTACCCTCAATTATTACAGGCTTAAAGATTGCCTGGGTAAAACGTCTGCTTGACGATAGTAATGTTGGGCAATGGAAATGTTTTTATGAAGTTTGTTTGGCTCCATTTGGAGGAAATCTTTTCTGGTATAGTAATATTAATAAAAACGATTCTAGTATATTGTCGATAAAAAAACATTTTTATTCGGCAAGTTGCCCAGTCATGGGCCTCTTTAACACTCGATACGCAAATCAGTCCTTCCCATATAAGACGACAAAACATATGGAACAACACTATGATTCGTGGAAACAAAAAAGTATTATTCATAAATTCATGGTATGACAAAGGTATAATTAAGTTATCGGATCTTCTTGACGAAAATGGTAATATTTTTACCTTCTTTCAATTTAGAAACAAATATAAGTTTGAATACAATTTTGTAGAATTTTATTCTGTTAAAGCGGCTAATTGGAAAAATAATATTCCTAAATGTTCAGAGGCAGACCTGACAGCTCAAGCGGAAATGATTACAAATATAAAGAGGTTAGATGTTTTTATTTACAAGAAGTATCTGCAAAACAACAGTTACATTATTTGGAATTCTGGGAAATTTAAACCTAACCCTAAAAAAGTTTAAGTTCAAGTTCAAGTTTTATTTCCACATTTGATTGAAAAAACACAAGTATAGTTTAAATGCATATATACAATAACAAACGTTAAAATGAAACATAACCATAAACCTGACCCTAAACTTAAACATTCACTTTTTTGTTGCGGTCATTTGCACACGAACCTTGATAAAGCATCTAAGGTCCCATTTCAAAGTAGGTTAGGGAAGAGGGTACTCATCGGTATGCGAGCGCTTACATATTAGTATTTTGTTGTAAGGTGAGTTACTTGCCTTCATATTTTGACATTTCCAGTAATTCATGACAGGGTCGTAGGCTTGGAGTAGGCTATTCATTACAAATAATCGAATAAGACACATATGTTTACAAAATCGCCGATTACCTTAAAATACCGCGTGTATGTGCGTGTGTGTGCGTGAATATATGTGTCTTTGTATGTTGGAAAAGATTATACATAATAAGCAATACATAACTAGAAAGCAGGTTATATAAAGAAGGTACATACGCATATATTCAACGCATTTTGTTAATTAACTGTTGAAAGGTAAGTATAGTTTATAATCATGAGGCTAGCAAACTCTACGACCGCTCCTCCTCCTCCTACCCACACCCACCTTCTTCGCAGCTAATAATCGCATTCTATATTTTCCTGAACAAAAGAAATATAAAAGAATTTTTACAACATTTTATTCGCTGATTTTTTCTTCTTCAAGTTTTGGTGGAATTTAGAATTTTGCCCACTATTGACAAAAAGAATAGCGGTGGAAGCTAGATCCTAAATGTCCCTTTCCTCTCATTCTGAGTTTGACCGGATTCGGTGTCCCGGGGGGGGGGGGGGGCGTTTCATTGGTTTTCACCAACTAATATCATGTTCACCGACAATTCTTTAGTCACCGACTATTTTCCAGGCCTGTGATTTGTCAAATTTAGTCAGCGCTAACTAGATTGTCGGTCGGAACATGATTTTAGTCGGTGAAAACCATTAATTGTTTCATGAAACGCCCCCCTGGTGTACTTGACATTCATAAGTAAATTCTGTTTTATTGGGAAAAGGGTCAAAAGTAAATGCCTTTGGAAGAACCGCGTTTATACATGTATTATTAGACGAATTGCATTATGGGTTATCACAGTCATAGCGTGGTTGATGGATGTAATTACTCCCTATATATACGCCGTCCAGTTACTTTGTGATGATAAATTAGGCAAATATTTGAATTATGTCAATAACTATAGCAATTTGCTCATCAACTGAGATTGCCAAAATCATTATTAGATATTGCTATTAAACCATATACATGTATATGTGTTTAAGGAAAAACACAGTCTCCTAAAGTTGGAATGTGTTTGGAGTAAAAGTAAACCAGAAGATAGTAAAGTGAACCGGTAACATTGTTGAAGGTTGATGAAAAAACTGCGTAATTTGTGTATGAAATGTTACTTGTTATATTCCTTCTACTGTACTAACCCTCTAACATGCAAACAATCCTGAAAACATTCTCAAACCACAAAGATATTTATGGTTTCTTTGAAGGCGTCACTATCCGACACCCGCTAACAGTAAATTCTTTGAATTTTCCCAAACGTTTTTTCATGAAATTATGACAGGTTTTTTTGATAATCTGTCAACACTTCAATGTTTAGAACGGTATGTAGAGCCAATTCATTGCTTTGTGACAATTAAATTAAACTAAATTAAATTATAATAATATAGTATGAAGAATTCAGGAATCTATCAGATCAGTTTTTCCCAATTTTTTCATTAATAATGGTCCATTTTCACTCAAACTTTGAGATTATCTTTAATTGTAAACATCTAGCATTGAAGTCACTATCTTAGCACCATTTTATCTCATCTGAACAATGTTATCTAGTCCCTTTAATATTCTTCAAAGATTACGGAGAAAAATATGAATGAACTAATAATCATCTTTGTTTATTTCAACTAATGATATCAATGAACCGGTTATTATTTGACATATATCAACTGACCTCTGAGCTAAGCTCCGACAGCGATTGCCCCACTTAATTTTAGGGTATATAGGGATAAGTTTGCTATTCGCAATAATCATGTTACCTTAAAGCCTATCTGGACTAGTTGGCCAGGAAAGATCATACCTCCCTGCGTGGTCACTGGCAGTTGGTCATTTCATCAAATCAGCTCTCAATTAACATAAGAAAAAGGGGACAATGGGGATCAACGAGTACCGCTTGAGCATTGTTGGCATAAGTAGCTACAAGTAGTGCAGTCCTGCTTACGGGAAAGGGTAAAAATACTGGGGCCAGGGTTGAGGTTCAACTTGTGGATTTATTTAGAATTAGGAAATGAACCAAAAGAGGGGGGGGGGGGGGGGTAAGAGGACTTTTTTTTTGGTCTCGAAATTTGAAAATTTGACATTTTGCTCCGATGGGGGGGGGGGGTAAGGTCGCTTTTCTTAGGTCAGCCATGGGAATATTTTTTTTTTTAAATCTTTTTTTTAGGGGGGTTTATACACATAAAAATACCAAAGGGGGGGGGGTTAACCCCCAAACACCCCCCCCCCTGCGTACGCGCCTGACTACTACTACTACTACTACTACTATTACTACTCATACTCCTACTACTACTACTACTACTACGACTACTTCTAATAATAATAATAAAGTATTTGTTTGTTTCCTCTCTCACTCTCTCTCCCTCTCTCCCCCACTCACAAATTCTCTCTCTCCCCCACCCCATCCTCCCCTGTCTCTCCCACTCTCCTCGCCAGCTGTTCTAGGCCAAACGTGTGAACCTGGATGGATGCTATATGAGCTGGAGGGCATGTGTTCTCTACCTGAATACAATCGAATGATCAGAACCAATGCAAGAGACTACTGTATTAGTTTGAATGCAGATCTGGTCATGATCAAGAACGAGCCCAAAAATGTAAGTATCATTTTGAGACAGAATGCTGGGTTAAAATACATCATAGTGAAATAATTGAGGATTCTTTAGGAAAATAAATTTACGTAGCCTATAAGATAACAATGTGTAAGATAATTATTTAAGACTCCAAACTTCTTAACTGTAGGTATATGCCTTTAAAGCGACTAGGCGTTGTGACGTGCGCCTGTAATCCAGCTAAAAGTGGAAGTTACAAAATGATTCAGCCGAGAACACAGGTTCGAAACCGAGTCACGTCTTTCGGATGGTGACGTTTAAAGGTCGGTCCCCAGACGTAAATAATCATATCTGATTGTTACACGTCTGTAAAAACCCAATACGCACACTTGTCTAACCATCAAAACAAATACAGTACGTCCCAGAAAAAACGAAACCAAGAATTATCGATGTTTTATTATAACTTAATCACAATTATAATTATAAATGACACATATCGGAAAAGCTTAGATCCTTCTCTTTCATTTGACGCCTCAATCAGCAAAAATGAGCTATGGATAACAAAGTTCTATTGGTTTAAAGTAACGCTTGCACTTCCATAATTTGATTAAACAAATTCGTTACACTGGCTGCCTGCTGTAGCAACAAACAGAGTTGATAAAAGACTTAACTCCGTTTCGTTGACGATCAGCCATGCATGAAGTCTTTCGTCTTTTTTGTGCATGACTGATCGTCAACGAAACGGAATTAAGTCTTTTGTCAACTCTTTTTGTTGCTCCAGCAGGCAGCCAGTGAAAACGAATTTGTTTAATCAAATTATGGAAGTGCAAGCTACTAGTTATATCCATTCCGAGTAGATTCAAAATTCACCGTAGACTCTTGATAAATATTTATGGTTTGATTGACAACAGAGAATCGAGCAAAAAAATCTCTCACAATTTATTGCCGCATTCTTATAGTCAATTGTGTGGGAGGCTTCGTTTGCGAGAAAATGTATCTTATTTATTTAAATTTATTGTTAATCTGGTAATGGTCATATCATGTGAACACTGCGGGAAACAAATTGCGGTAAATGTGTAGATGTATACATACGTGGGGGTAGGGTTAAAGGTAGGCAAATACAAGGTATGGACAGGGTCCCGACATTTTCTATGAAAGCCTAGTTTCGTTTTGATAATTACTCAGCTCTTACAACATTTTTTTAATAATTATTTTCAGATGCCATACGATAGTTGTATTGTATTATGTTATAATCTGGCAGCACAGTTTATGATATCTTGCTTTTATATGATGTCTATTCATAAACGTATTGCTAGATTATCTTGCTTATATATGCTTCCTATTCATCCAAGCATTGCTAAGTTATTTTGCTTTTATAAATGAATAACATGAGTCTGGAAATATTTGACCGTTTCCAGAACTCAAGATTATGTTTAATTAATTATTTTGTTTATTTTTAGGTTTGGTTGACATCGCAAATTGCCAACGATTCGGTATTTTGGATTGGTTTATCGGACAGGGGAGCCCTTAGATTCAAATGGGTTGATGGCACAGCAGCAGAATACTTGTAAGTAAGATCCTTCCCGAAACTTCGTTCAATCTACTTTACAGAAAATTAGAAGAAATAATAAGAACAATATCCGGAACATGCCATGTATTCAGGTAAAATACGGCTCAATCTAATGCAAAGTAGTAGGTACGTTATTATCGAATTTATTCGGAAAGATATTTTCCTACTTTTTGGAAATTTGTTTTGTTTTTTGTATTCTTCAATATTATAAGCTGATGTGATGATATATGTAGGCCTATATAACGAAATATCCTTTGATAAAGCAAATAATGCAATCTTAAAGGTTTAATATGCAGTTTCTAATGTTGAAATGAATTATATATTTTGATCGATTGTAAATCTGAAGGAGATAATATCAAATTTACTTCATCTAAGAAGCGCTAACTTAGCAACAGAGTACTACTTTCTATTTTGAACAAATACTGATTCTTCTACTGGCTATTTACATTTTATGATATTCGTTATCAATTAGTAAAACAAAGAAAAATTGCATTCATCATTTAATTTTTTTCATTATGATATCCCCACAACGAAAAATACATCGTTACATAAATATATATGCGAGGACATATCATGACAGTAATGTAACAAGATAAGATAATACGATCATGAAAAAGTACTAAAAATGAAGCTTCGGTGTTACATAAAACATTGGCTTCTTGAGGTCGTTCTTAATGAACCCGTCACACTGCCTAACCGACTCTAAAACCTTTTCCAAGCTGACCGGTACTTGGCCATTAGAGGTAATGTATTTGTTTGTCGGGTCTGTTTTTGGTATACTGGGGTTTCAAACCTCAGTCACACCGCTTATCCGACTTTAAAATCGACTGCGAACGATCTGTAGTCGGTCTGATATCGTTCCCGTCGATGTTACTGAGGTATATCATCCAGATTCATGTGAGGTTGGTCAACCTGGTTCTGGATGGGCACAATATCTTCAAGGTGGCTTTGTTGACCAACCACAATACAAACCAATATACGTCATGTCGAGTTCAACTAAAAACCAAACTCGGTGGCCCGTATTTTAGGAAATATTTAAACCTGACGTTGGTTTTTAGGCTTATTTTTTTGTGTTTGTTGGTTTAAGAAAGGAATTAAGTCGGTGGTCTATTAAAAATTAGATTTTTTTTTTAACGTGATTTTTTAGAAAAAGGGTCGACTACATAATGTAACGACGGCTGTGATAACCGATAATGCTTCTCTTTTATACTTAATTGCCTGGTTTATTCATCTCGTCTGTCTTTAGTAACTGGGCGCCCGGTGAACCAAACGAGAAAGATGAATTACATGAGGACTGTGTTGAGATGTATTCCAACGGTTTGTGGAATGATGAGCAATGTCTTGGAATGGCTAACCCGATCTGTGAAAGAGCACTAGGTTAGTCATCAATTTTCTATTTAAGATATCTACCTGAATTGCTTAATACTTTTTACTTAAATGTTATGTAAAATAACTCAATAATTAAAACGTTCAGATAAAAATCGATTCAAATTTGAATTAATCCGTTTTTCAATCTAAAATAAATTTGTATTATGAATACAAAAGTTGTGTAGTAAGCAGGTTTATTGACAACTTTTTACTTTAAGTATTGTATTGTTAGATATAGTTATTATTTTAAATATTCTCGATGAAAATATTCGTGTAGCTGTACCTTTTTTCATTTTTAAAATTAACTATCCTCTTAAACGCAAGTAAAGTAAAGTCTTGTGTCTAAATGATACAAAGCAACATTAAACGGTGAATAGGCCTTATCTGCGACGTCCGGGGAGTCCCAAAGCGTCATCGATGTTATAATGATAATAATAATAATAATACACAATATATATTAGGCGCTGAATACGGGTGTCTCTAAGCGCACCATAGTCTGACTAAAAAATTATTTAGCAAAACTTATAATAAACACACAACTTATACATCTGTTCTTTATTCAATAAATTATGCATACAGTATATAATAATAAAAATAAGAGTAAGATCAACATACATAAGGTCAAATATAGGATCAAACATAAGTTCGAACAAACAAGAAATAAGACGGTGTGTACCTCCTTTGACCGACTCACAACTGCAGAATATCATTCATGAATTAAAAAGGTGCGTTTTCAGCAAGGACTTAAATTGGTCAAGAGAATGAATATTATGAAAATGTGCTGGTAATTTATTCCAAAGGATAGGGGCATTTACTGAGAAAGCTCATTTACTGCGAGATAAACGACGGTTCAGGGGAATCATGCCGTGAGCTCTGGCGTTGTTTTAATATGACTTCTCCATATTTGTTTGGTTCATATATATAATCTTCAAGCAGTGATGTATCTAGCTTAGTGTGAACTGGGCCTACGCACACATTCAAAGGCCTCGCGAAAAATATATGCACATATGAGTAACTGGATACGGCAAAAAAGAGTTGCTTGCTAACGAAGCAACAATTAAAACAAATATTGAAATGTCAAGAATTAAGATTGGACCCCTAGAGAACTTTTTTTTTTAATGATAATGATTATAATGAGTTAAGCATAATGTCTGGATTTTTCACATATTCATATCACGCAAATCATATCATTTCTTATAAACAAAAATAACCATATAATTTCAATGTCACACTTTTTATTACTGTAATCCTTCAATCACTATCTAAATCTGTTTTTCCATTTACGTATAGGTGCGACTGGACCCCCACCAACAAGTAAGTCATTGTTATTTTCTCTTCGTGAATGTGTCATTATGTAAGATAACACAAATTTTAAAGGTTTTTTTTTACCTACAGCCGCCAGCATTCAGAAAGTTCTGGACAACGTATTTCCTGTACTTGCACAATAACATTGGTGGTATAATTTCATATATTTTGACTCATTTGTTTGTTTGGGTAGGGTGTCCTGTCCATAGAACCATATTATGATTGTTGATAGGCTGAGCTTCCAATGGAAACTGTTTTGTATGTACTATGATTTGAGTTTATTAAATCAGGAGTTAATAAGAAAAGAGAAAAAATGGCAGAAACTAAATCTGTAATCAGGCATTTAATATTTAATAAACACTACACACCAACGTAATACTAATGGTTTGATTTAAGTAGTGCCTGAACGTCTTACACATCTAAAATTATAATTCATGCTAATTTGTGGAAATAAAGAGTACAGCTAAGTAATATTGGTTTTTTTTACGGGTTTTTCACGAGACTTAAACTTCTCATAAACTACTGGTAGAAGGGAGCCACAAGCTTCAGTACATGTGTTACAAATCGAGAATCTTCCTCTTTTGGGGATGATGAGAATCATGGATTAAAAGGCACAGAAAATCCTTTTTATTTGTAATGATTATAATAATAATAATAATAATGATGATGATGATGATAATAATAATAATAATAATAATAATAATAATAATAATGATAAAAATAATGATAATAATAATAATAATAATAATGATAATAATAAAACTAATACTACTACTACTACTACTACTACTACTACTTCTACTCATAATAATACAAATAACAAAAATGATAATAAAATAATAATAATAATAATAAAAATAATAATAATATGTCATGCTTACCCAGAGAAGCCTCATCAATATTAATTCTGTTCTCCCTGACGACCCTGCATTCAATCATATTATAACTCCGTCTCTCAGAGAGCAAAAGTTTTGAATATTTATTCCCTTTAACGAAATCTTGGATCCGCCCCTAAGGTAAAACAAATATGAGGCCCACGAGATCGAATATTTTAGTCTCATCAATCCTTGGTCTCATGGGCTTTGGGTCTTCAACCACACTGCCAAAACGACTCCAAACAGAACAATTATCTTGAATCTTTTCTTTTTATTATGTTTCACCTAATCATCCGGTACGTGTCCATTTATTTAGCACTGAATTACGAGCCACCGTGTCCAGAGGGATGGTACAAGTACGATGAACAGTGTATCTTGGTCGTGACAAACCGAGATGTGTTCAACAGCGCCAGAGACTACTGCCGATATCTTAACTCAGATTTGGTCGTCGTCAAGACACAGGGATTGAATGTGAGTGCTTTGATTTTTGTTTAAGGGTGAGGGGGGGGGGGGGGACTATGGCGCGAGAGGTAGTAATACTATTCGTTTTTCGTAGAGAAAATGATTAGTTTAATCCTCTGTCGTCCTTTGTCTTGTTGCTCTTAATCCATTAATCCGTCTGTTTAGAGTCAGAAGGGTGTTATTAAAGGCACATACTCTGTGAAACATTTGACACATATCTTTCTGTTTGTTGACGAATGTGAAACATAATTTAATTTTTCTGCTTCCTTACAAATGGTTAGCGGAGAAGAGGAGAGAGAGGAAGGGGGAGAACCTTTTCAAAGGAAATGTGAACAAAGAAGATGGAAGACTATTTAATGCCATTTCGTGCATTCTATCTATCAGGGTATGACCGGAATTCGATTAAATGTTGAAAATGCCTTGATTCGGGATTTTTGACGTTTCTCTAAGCATAAGCAAATTTTCATTCCCAATATATTTTTGTTTGTTTCCTGAAGGATTTTATAGCAAATCTGATTTCCGGGTTTGATGATGATGGTTTCTGGCTAGGATTGACTGATAAAAAAGAAATGTACGAGTTCGTCTGGGTAGATGGCACAGCACTGGGACCAAATGATTACGAGTAAGTTTTAGTATATTGCATGTCCATATAATAGGCCTGTCTGACAGCTGCTAGCAAATATAATATTTTTTACTGTTACTTCATGAAATGCGTCCTTCAAGTTTGAAAGTTTAGATAAAGAAAGAAATAAGAACTCACCATGACATCGTTTATAGATATCCGATGATAAGTCTACGTGTTACGTGTTAGCATAATATGACGCAAAAGTGATGATGATATATATATATAAACATTCATAGAGATTGATCAATAAAGTTCTACTGAGAAGATAATAAATCCCATTGTCACAATCGTTTATATGAAATGAGGTTTAAAAATTATTCCAACCTTTCAAATTTATTTAATATTTCCTTGACATACGTGTGGAGTTAACTTATATCGTGTACCTTAAAAGTCGAGTATATAACATCTTTATCAAACTTCAGACATATTATAATCGTTATCTAAATCAACGTTGGTTATGGATTTAGTTCGAATAACATCTTTATGAAACGCGAATTATAAAAAAGAAAAGATTCCTTGATACTGCCAAGTTGTAATGCCAAATTATTGGCATTACGCGAGTGCTGATGTTAGTGAAATGCTTGTTTAAAACGTATCGATTGACTATTATTTATGCTCTGATACTCGGGTTTTAGAGACCCCTTTTATATAACAAAGACAACAAGTTATAATTTATTCCTTTTTCCAATCAGCAACTGGATGCCGAACGAACCAAACGAAAGTGACGGTCTTCATGAAGACTGCGTGGAAATGTTAGCTAATACTGGAAAGTGGAATGATGAACAATGCGTTGCTCCTCAGAAGTACATATGCGCCAGACCAACCGGTACGTCTAACCTTACAAGTGGAGCGCCTGTATCAGTTCAACTACATCTAGACACACTGACTACTATGACACCAGACCGACAAGAGACTTCAGCTACACCTAGACACACTGACTACACTGACACCAGACCGCAAGAGACTTCAGCTACACCCAGACACACTGACTACACTGACACTAGACCGCAAGAGACTTCAGCTACACCCAGACACACTGACTACTCCGACACCAGACCGACAAGAGACTTCAGTTACATGTACACCTAGACACACTGACTACTCTGAAACCAGACCGACAGGAGACTTCAGCTACACCCAGACACACTCACTACTCTGACACCAGACCGACAAGAGACTTCAACATCACCTAGACACACTGACTACTCTGACACCAGACAGACAAGATTTCAGCTACACCTAGACACACTGACTTCTCTGACACCAGACCGACAAGAGACTTTAACAACACCTAGACACACTGACTACCCTGACACCAGACCGACAAGAGATTTCAACTTCACCTAGACACACTGACTACTCTGACACCAGACCGACAAGAGACTTCAGCTACACCCAGACACACTGGCTATACTCTGTCATCAGACCAACAAGAGACTTCAGCTACACCCAGGCACACTGATAACTCTGACACCAGACCGACAGGGGGCCGAGCAAAAACTTTTATTGACATGAATAGACGTTTTTATTCGGTCTTGGGTCGGTTTGGGGGTGTGACTGAGGTATCACACCTGTCACACCGACCACATCGAGTTACGGACCGATACGAGACCGAACGTAACACACAATCACATCAATGGCCATGAATCAGTCGGTTTAGTATTAGTTTGGTGTCGGTTTTTTGCAGTGTGACTGAGCTGTATAAAGAGAATGAAATCATTTTAATTGAAGTTGTTACTTATTTATTTATAGATTGATTGAATTGCACATTTTCCCTGATCGTTTTGGGGCCTAGTAGTATTCTGTTTGGTGTTTTTTCGTTACAGCTGGAATAAGGTAGGCAACGTTTATAATCAGTTTTGAGATGCATATAAATTAAAAATTATGATACAATCGGATGATCCCTGTATTCAAGTCTCTTTGAATCATATACACATAAAATGTATTTTAATGTGTTTAAGATTTTAATAATGGTTAACACTCTACTTTTTAGAGTATATATAGTGGAACCATAGGCAATGCGAGGTGATAAAACAGAAATCAAAACAAATCTAACATTATAGTATTAATGACTGCTTTGAGAGAAATAGTTGTTTTTATACGCTCAAGGGAAGGTTACAATTGTGCTATTGCCCGAGGCGTTTTCTCGAATAATAAAGCAGTCATTAATACTTTTATATGCCGAAAAAAAAGAGTCAACTTATGACACCACCTTGGCCTTTCTCTAGTTTATCTGCACGGGTGTTTTTATAAGTGTATCTTTGAGAGTAGACTAGATCTAGATTCTAGTATAAGCAAGATATTTTTACAATTTTGGGGGTAGGCCGGCACTGTGGGGAATATGGAGAAAAACCTGCGCTTTCATATGACACCTCACTCATTGAGTATCACCTTCAGGATCACGAGCAATATTAGTTTGGATCTCTGGTAATTAAAACATCGACCAATTTAGCATGAGTGCGCAATGGCCATTGCATAGGGATGTGTGCAATCTATACGGGAAGGATTTTAGCACTAGGCCTACTACTAGAATCTAGGCCTACTAGATCTATTTTGGAAAAAAATTATGGAGAATTTCACGTACCCTTTTTGGTGTTCTTGCTGTCAGCAAGGCTTGCATTTGATCATCATCAAGAAGTTGAAATCTTGGGAGAGTTTCTTCAACCATTTTTGCCTTGTTTGGAATTCAGTACGATCGAGATTGCCGTATTAAAAATACCGGCCGATTCTTCGCAAACGTACGGTATCCTCGATCGCTCAAACCAGTTTTTAACATGTGAACCTATGGGTATTTTACCAAGACTGAACTAGTTTCCCGGTAACTGGAATTTTACCGGGAATTTTACAGGAATAGGTAAAACCATGACTGTAATTTCGACCAATCAGATGGCTGGATTTCTTAAGTGAGGTATATACAATGATATATCACACATATTTCTTTATATTCCAGTCTTTACATCAACTTCTCCACGTCCTCCAACTCCAGGTAAGTTTAATTGAAAAATAGTTAAGTAGATTGATGGAGCATTATAAATGCAGATGTGTTCATTATTATCATAATTTCTATAATTATCATTATTATTATTGTTATTTTTCTTCTTCTTCATCCTTATCATCGTCATCATAATTAAGGTTATCATCATCATTATTATTATTATTATTATCATTATCAGTTTCATTAATATTATTATCATTATCACTATTATTATTATAATCACCAGTATTACTACATGTATCAACTTTATGAATTATTCTTTGGTGTTAATTTACATCCATGCAGAATCACTATTTGACCTATTGTTGTGATATAGAATAATTATGTATTGTTGCATCCAATTTAATCTGTGCGTTCCTGACTCTTATATTTCAAAGACACCTTTATTAGATTTCGGACTTATCCTACTATTATAACCGTTTTGATAGTATTTTAGCGGCTTGCATTCCATGTGGTTTATACGGTGATTTCTTGTTCATAGCTTTTTAAAATGTGCATATATAGAAAAGATGAATGAAGTTAACTGATGATCGCATAATTATCGCTGTTTTCATAGACAGATGGTTAAATGCGTGCTCCTCTAAATAAGTGATCAGTTTCTTCTGATAAACAGTATATAAAGTAGTAGAAAGGATTAATTTCTTCTTGTTTTAATTTGTTTTCGTTTCACAGCGAGAAGCACTCATCCTCCAGCCCTATCAAGTAAGTCATTAGTTGATATGACTCCAATGAGGAATCCACCATAGAAAGTGTTTCTTATTATTTCTTTTTATTTCAGAAGTCAAATAAGACCTGAATAACATCCATAATGGAATTTAAAGTTTCAAATACGGCGGATAGGCCATTTCAGCTGTCACGGTAGATAACTGACTTTTTTTTCATGGAGTCTTTTACGTAAACTAAACATATTTGTTAATAGATAAAGAGATGAATGTGAAAATTCACTGCAGTTAAATAGATACCTCGGACAATGCCATTTCCCTCATGTTTGTTTTACGCTTCTAAATCTTTGTTTACGTTTGCCTAAAACTTATTACCCATCTAATATATCTAAGAACGTAAGCTTTGATAGCTTCTTTGATGTACATTCATTTCTATGTAATTACGATTTTTATATATTCTTTTTTGTTATACGGGCTATTCTTTATTTCGTGTATTACGATGTATACGTCTTTAACAAAAGGCGTGATATTGATATATTACACTAGAATACATAAACAGACTTTTATTATCTTAAAACGGAACAACCTATATTTTTACCTGTTAGATAGAAAATGAAATTTGATGCAAGATGAATAATATGTTTATTAAATGAACGTTGTTGTAAGACGTGTTTGTTGTTCTCCTTTGTTTCCCCTGCAGCGGAGTGTGGTGATGGCTGGATGAAGTATGAAGATACCTGCGTGCTTGTCGTTGGGACTAGATTGACATTCGATTTGGCTCAGGAGTACTGCCAGGAGCGACATGCAAACCTTATCAAACTAGAGAGTCAAGATATGAATGTAAGTCTTCATGCGGACATCTGGCTTTCAATCGGGCTTTCGGGTCGGGTCGGGTTGTCGGATTACACGGACTTTCGTGAAAGGTCGGGTAAATTTAATAAAAAACAATCACATTTTCACATCAAAGTGGTGATCTCTAGCATGTTACGAATTCTTGTGATTATAGATCTCGTAAAAATGTCGGATCGAGACGCGAGTTTTCGTAGATTTCTGTAGGTTTTTCAGGAGTGTCAGTATAGTAGACCAAACACTTTGGCAAGAGGGGTATATTTTACTAACGTTACACCCGACCTTCTGGAATTATGGCATGACTGTTTACGAAAGTTTGTGTAACTCGAAGATGCTCAGACCCGGTGAAACGAAGTAATCCCAGATATCTGCATCTAGGTGCTGTAATCATCTAAAACCTAGCAACATTAAAAGAAATTTACACAATAATGGTCATTTTGTAGGTAACAATCAAATCTTTCATAACATTTCAAACTTATTCGTTCATAATTATGATGTCACTGTGCGTGATGTAATAAAAGAATATTTATATCTTCTATCTAGAACTGGTTAGTTGATCAGACTTCTGTCTACAGTGAAGTGTACTGGATTGGGCTCTACGATCGCATAGACGACAACACATTTATATGGATAGACGGGACCACACCATCATTTACGTAAGAATTCATCAACAACAACGTAAAGTTTTAGGAGATAAATGTTATCAATATTTTATCCATATTGGCCCTATAAATTGCCAGGATATATTAACTATTACTAGTAGGCCTATCATCTGTAATTGACACTAGAAACTTGCCTCCCCTTTTGCTTAAACATTTTTAAAACTAAATAAAGCCCAACTCAAGCAAAGTTACTTCTTATTATCTTATATAACTGAATACATCACGGCTATCCATATATGAGACTAAGCTTCAGAAATCCGTTTTCGACTCTGAAGACATTTTGAATAGTATGTGTGTGTTTGTTTCTGCTGGAAGAGGGCTTGGGGTTCCGATGTAGGATTAATGTGTTGTAATCAAGTGAAGAGTATGAAATCCATCCCCAGTATAGTGTCATGAATATGGATGAGGTTTGACGAACCCTATGACCAGTTGCATACCCAGTCCTTAGTGTTGGGAGGGGCATAAGCTGTTACCCATATACTGTCGTTAAGGAAAAAACTTTTTTGAGGATTATAATATGCGTCGCCTAAAATAAATATAATTTAATTTGAGAATAATTAGTATGTATTGAGATTGTGTCTATCTTGTATGCGTTTGACGTAAACTGATTCCGTAACCTTCTTCTTCTCTACAAAAAGTGCATGCATTTCTTTCTCTTCGTCAGACATCTACCAGGAGGGGAAATTGGTCTTCCCCTTAAAGATAGGTTGACGAATTCTCAGAACAGTTTGTTTTCTAAATATCAAACAAGATAACTGTTAATTTGTTATACTTTTAGAAATTGGGCACCTAACGAACCCAACAACAACGATGGAATCGGAGAAGATTGTGTTGAAATGCGTGTAGGTGGGGATTGGAATGATGAGCAATGTAGGGCAGCCAACGCTTTCGTTTGCTCCAAAGGATACGGTAAAACAAGTTCCTACACCGTCTTTTTTAGTATAACAGTGTGCTCCATTTATTTTGAAATTCATTTCAAAGCAGTATAAACATCAAACCGTGTACAATTGAAAATTCGACTCTCTCAGTACTATTCAGTAGTACTATATTCAGAATAATTCAATGATTCTTTACCATTCGGGGCGAAACTAATGTGTTTGTAACGATTACAATACCGTCATGTACAATTTATGTTAATGGAGGATTGTTTTGCTTGTTTTAAAGAAAGAAAAAAAATCATCTTTTCGCTGGTAAAACCACTCTGACAATTTTATTCAACATTTGAAAGTCCGGAGTAAAAACAATTACAAAATGACCGAAAAAAGCATTTCATCATCAAACTTTTAGACCCCCTTTTCAGTGTTACTCTCCATGCACCCATTCCACACCTCATCCCGGCATTGTTCTCGTTTGTGGAAGTCCCTTTTTTCCTCTCTTCGTGAGATTCACAGTCTAGAACCCTTTACATTATGCCTCAAAACTATTTCAGCGAAATAAAACATACTGATTTGTCTGGAGAAGCCTAAGCCTTACCATGTATTTTGTATCAAAACATAATCACCTTATAAATGCTGGTAGTCATCATTATCATCATTATCATCATTACTACCACCATCATCATCACCATCACCGTCATCATCATTAGTTTTCCTACCACTCACACTCATTGTCTCAGATTCACGTTCTTTACAGAGGAAATCCCCCTATGTGACATCAAAGCAGGCTGGGAAGCATTCGGAGATAAGTGCTACCTGTGGGTATCCGACACCAAGAATATAGCCGATGCTACATCGTACTGTACGATGATGGAGGGATACGTCATATCTATCAACAGTGCCGATGAACAAACCTTTGCTACCTCCATGCAGCTACGCTATGCAAACATACAGTACTGGATTGGACTCAGTGACCAAGTATATTTACAACAAATTTTGATGAATAAATATATCATAATTTGTATATATTTCAAGGCAATAGTTTTATGACACATAATCTTAAGAGGTAATTATCTGTGATATTTCCGGAGAACATGGTTTTGTATAATTTTCTCATCTGGTTATATATATTTGGCAGCTAGATCAAATTATGCTAGTTCATATAACCTTTCGCATCTGTCGCAGAACTAATTAATAATGAAAAATCCTCTACTAACTCTTACTTGATTAATGTTTTCACCTACTTCAAAGAAATTATGTCACTTAACTGTCTTACATTGTTTTATTATCTATTAACATTACAGGATAACAGAGGTACTTTCACGTGGCAAGATGGAACAGATACTCAAAGCTACAGTCATTGGAATACAGATGAAAATGAACCAGATTCTAAGTAAGTCATTATAAAAGCCCACTGCATGATCTTCTTGCGATCCGAGTCAAAGAAATTGCAATTATTATTATATACCGAAAGCTAACAAATCATATCCCACTAGATTTAAATTCAAAATAATATTAAGAAATACTAACAACAAGAGTTTTAGTGCATTTGGGCCTTCTAGTTAGAGTAAACGCGGAATCGGCTTCAGATAGCTAGTAGACAATACTGGTATGACGTCACTTCTCTCAATAAGAGGGTTGAGGATTCGAATTTCACCTCGGCAGTAACGCCCTTTGGCAAGACATTAATCCACATGTATCACTCCACGCAGGTGTAAATGGCTACCTAGCAATGCTAGGGTAAGGGTAGTTGGCTGCAGGAAGAGCGGTATTAGTACTGATTATAATGATAACTCTTATTGTGATTCATTATTATCATTATTATTTTTTATTTTAATGTTATCGTTATCATTATTATTATCATTATTATAATTAGTATTATCATTATTATTATCAAATTATCATCATTAAAATTATCATTAAAAATGGCCTGAAAGGTAATACGAAAGGTGCAGGCATTATTCTGTCAGCTTAAAAAAAGGCCGAATCGGTTACTAGTCGGTGGACAGACTGGTATGACGTCACTTCGACTCAAAGCAGATCGGACAATTTTAAGAACTGAAAGCATAGACTCAGGCGCGGATCCAGGATTTCTTAGGGGAGGGGGCCCAACTTTTTTTTTTTTTGCTCCCGAAAATTTGAAAATCGCGCCGGCCGAAAAGTCGGTCAGGGGGGGGGGGGGGGGGGGGGGGGGGGGGGGAAGGGGGGGGGAAGGGGGGGGGGGGTAGTGAGCACATTTTTTTTTTTTTTGATCCTCAAAAAAATTTCAATTTGCACCCCCCCCCCCTCCTTGAGCGCCAGGGGGGGGGGCCAATCCCAAAAAAGGTAAAAATCACGTGATTTTACATGATTTTTTTCTCAAGGGGGGGGGGGGGGCGGCGGCCCCCCCCCCCCTGGATCCGCCACTGCATAGACTTACTGGCCCGAATTCACAAAAGAGGTTTGTCGACAAACCTCCTTTGTGAATTTGGGCCACTAGGTCCATGCTGAAAGGCTTAAAAATGATGAACTTCACGCTGTATGATTCCCCGTTTATTTAAAACTACAAATGTGTTTTGCATGAGTTATTTTTTGCTTAGTGATATCTAACGCTTTGTCAAAAAAAAAATATGAAGACCGATCATGACATCTCAAAGTCTATCATTATAACGATGACGGTATATCTATTGAAGTTACACATTTGCATACTACATAAACCAAAAACATAATTCGTTGAATGCAGGTTGAATGTCTTCTAAATTTTTTGCTTCATTAAATGTAAAAAGCGATGTTATTCATCCTGGTGATCAGAAAGTGTTTATTAAAACTTAAACCTGAGTGACCAAGAGTGGACCGAGAGAAGAAAAATAAAAGCTTAGGGAAAACATTTGAAAAAGAACTGAAAATAAATAGAGAGCACTGTAATAGTTTTTATTCTAGCATGCGTGTACTTTATCTCTTTTCTTCTAGCGTGTACCCCGCATGTGGTATGATACAGGGGATGGTACAGGGGCCCAATCCAGATCTGTGGAGCGTGGATGAGTGTAGCGTTAAGAAACGATTTATCTGCGAAAAACCACAAGGTAAGACAGACAATTTTCTGTTTCCAATATAATATTGAATACCAAGATGCTGCCATATACACAGGTGGATTCAGGATGCTTGATGAGATGAAGATTTCCCACTTTTTGGAAGGTTTTTTCGAAAGAATGCAAAATATGGAGATCATTATCCAAAGTCGAACCACAATGCACTTTCGAAATTGAAATGACATACACCACCAGACTTTCTCTTCATTTTCAAAGGATTAACGTAAAAACAAAATAACCAAACATTAAAATATACACATGAACAACATACTTAAAGCAAATACAGATATCAATGTTTAGGGTAATACATTTTACACTATAAAATAATAACGTAATACCCGTTAATATATTGTGAGAAGTGGATGGATTATCAACATAATTCATCATGTGTATGAATGAAGATGAAGGAAGATGAGTGTTCTTAAATATTTTGAATAGAAAATAATTAAAGCAAGAATTGTAACATCCCGAAAAAACTGAAAAAAAATAAACGACAGCAAACATTAATTGTGTAATTACATTTCCTGCATTTGCCTTATTTGGAACATATTTTCATCTCAGGTACTTGTGCGGATGGGTGGACACTTCATGGGGGAGAATGCTACCAGTTTAACGTGCTCAGGAGAACATGGACTGATGCTAGCTACTATTGTAGTTCTCAGGGAGGATGGCTGGGTACCATTTTTGAGTGAGTACAAACCTGTCAAATACTGTTACTGCACCTCAATACTCCTCTTCATCTGTTCTCCCTCTGTGCTTGTCTCTCCGTTTACATGACTTATCTTATTGTCCCTAACTCTACCCTACCACATTATGTACTCTCTTTGTTAATGTCTTTCGTTCCTATTATCATTCAGTTTCTTCTCTCCATCTCTCCCTCTCTGTATTTTAACTATCTAATATCTGATTTCCGTTGGTTCATCCATTCACCCATCTAGGCTGTATCATATTCTGTTCTGGTTGTCTTCTTTGTCATGCACATGTATTATTAATTGAAATTATTTACAATTTGTTAAAGGCTTATGTATACTTGCCGTTTTATGTTTGATTTTATGTATAGAAATAAATAGACCCCAATTTTTATGAAAAATTTATGTTTATTCATTCTCATGACCATCAATTATTATTTGGATGAACGCAGCAAAAATGTTCATCTAGCCTAGTGGGGGAAAGGGGGTGATTACGCGTGTGGGTTTATGATTTACAGATGTGTAATAAAGTAAAATCTACTCATTAATGTTTGGGAACCAAAAGACGTGTCCAAGTTCGAACCAGGGGTAACCAGAGTGGTTGTGTAGGCAAAGCAGAAAGGTGACCGTAACACTATACTAATTTACATTTCTTTTAAAGAGCATATCTGCCAGGAAGCGTCTTGAACTGTATGCTCTGTTTATCATCAGGTGAATAACTTCTTACCTCCTTATGTTCCTTTTATTGTAGTGGTGCAGAAAATACTTTCATTGCCGCAAACATGGGTCGTCTCCAAGATGAAAATATTGAAAGCATGTGGATTGGATATTCAGGTAGGTGCTTATCTTTCCGTGACCGTATAATGTGTTAAGATTAAGATTCTTGTTCGGATGAATTTTGTTAATGTTACACTTTGCTAAAATAGTTATCTCTCTGCTTTTAAGCACCTTCTGCGTCAAATGTTTATTAATCTATTTGATGGAAAATATTTTCATCTTCGAATAAATTTCTTGATTGATATCGTCCTGAAAACAGAATTAATTTGGTTACCGTAATCTCTCTACTTGTCCCTCTAAACAAACACAATGAGATCGATAATGGAGCAGACCCCTGAAATCACTCGGAGAATTGTGAGCTATAGATGACTGAAAACTGAAAGGATACCTAATGACAAGTGTAACCTGAATAGGTTTTGATATGTATTATTGTAAATACTTGAGAATTTGTGTTTTGTCATTAACATTTTTTTGGTAAGTATATGAAGCACCCCGTGTTCTTGGTGGATATGTTGCACACTATCATTGTCTGCAATATTGTTATATTAATAGTATCATTATCATCATTATTTAATTGCATTACATTAATACTATTATTATTATTATTATTAGTAGTAGTAGTAGTATTAGTATTATTATTATAATTATTGTTATTGTCCAGAAATGTAAACCTTTTATCTACTCTAGATTATATCAATGATGGCGAATGGGCGTGGGTGCATGAGACCAGTTCTACCTATGACAATTGGCCACAACAGCCGAATAATACTTATGATCAGGCAGACTGTGCCTATCTTGATACAGGTATATATAAACAATTAATATGCAATCCTAAACGTGTACCAATCACCTATACATAGTTGTTAAAAGCTAGAAAGTATAAAGTATAGTATAGTCTACTCACAAGTGGCTTTCATTTTGATTTAATTTGCAATATTTATTCAAAGAAATAATATTCGAAGCTCTCATATTTACTATAGCGTGGCGACATGGAGCCCCTAAAATTCGGAGCAAAAATATGTTTCGGTGCTTGGTACGTGTAAGGGATTCGAGACGCCAATTAATAGTCAAACTAAGAGCTTCAAATATTTCATCTACAAAGATATATTGCAGTTTAAAAATGAACTTTACAGTGTCATTAATTTTGTTAATTCTTCGACATTTAGTTCATTGATGATCATCCCCTTGTATAGTATAGAGGTCATAGATCTTTAAGGTTTATCAAGGGCGAAGAAGAAGACAAGTAGGTGTATGGGTGAGTGTGTGTGTGTTCCTGAGCGTGTGCGTGTGTATGTTTATGGCAGCTCCAAATTACCGTTTGAGTCAATATATTTATGGAAATTGAAACATTAAATTAAGGGGTATGAATTAAAAGCGATCCGTTAAAGACGATCACATTCACGTCACTAAAATTCTTCATAATTATGTCTAAAAAATAAAAGCTGGTTTTATTACAGCCATTTTGTATTATAAACGCCGATTTGTTTTTTTTTTTGTTTTTTTTTAGCTGACACGACAGGAGCATGGAACCAAATGCTATGCACTCTATTGGCTGGATTTTTCTGCAAGATCAAGGCTGGTAAGAATATTACCTGTTATTCATTGATTAGTCATTCTCATTGATATCAAATCTTCTCTAAGAATTTTTTTTCTTCAAGAATTGACAGTACTGTAGATTCCCTTTTAATTTTTCCTCGAGGTGAATCGGCTGTCATTTGATAATAAATTGTCTGGAGTCACTTTGGTGCTCACGGGATATGGGCGCACCATAATTTGCGACAAATATTAAAAAAAGAAACATATCACAACAACAACAAAGTAGTGAAGTAGGGCGAGGGCAATTAATTTTTTATTTTTTTTTGGACGTGAAATCTAATAATCTGGTATTTAAAATGAATCTTTCATTATTACATAAAGGGTTCTAAAATCTGATGGATGATGTAAGGCGATATTAATAATACACTCTGTTGCTAAATATTGTTATATTATGTTTTGTTTCAGGATCAACCGTGACACCAGTGACAGCCCCAGAGAGTAAGTATAATAATTACATAGTTTAAATCTTCTAAGAAATGTATTGATCAATCTCTATGACACTTTAGATTGATCTATAAAGATGTAAGGAGATAATTTATTTAACACGAATATAATATTATTACAATTATTTCATGAAAAGAGGTGATACAAAATATTTCGACTTCATGAGCAACAGTTTAAAAACGAAGTTGTATCTTTAAAGACCACGATGAACGATACTGGTGACACTTTAATGTTTTAATCTTCAGAGGTTGGATCATGTGAGCTTGGTTGGGGTCTGTACGACGAATGGTGTTACTACTCCCCTGCTGTTGAGAAGACCTTTACGGAAGCAGAAGCAGAATGTGCTGCTTTGTTTTCGGGTTCACATCTGGCCAGTATCCATTCCATCGGAGAACAATCCTTCATCACAGGTAAGAAATCATTGTTATCTGGACATAAATGTTACATATCATGACCGAGTAGATTTTTTTAGAAAAGAAAAGAAAATTAAAGATTAAAGTAAATTGAGTTATCTAATTTTATCTTATACTATATTATTATAGAATTATAGAAACCATACACGTTTTAGATTGATGACACAGATCGATCGATAATTATCCGTTTACAGAAAGACTGTATTACATCAACGCCTGGACATGGATTGGTCTAACAGATGCAGATGAAGAAGATACCTGGAAGTGGACTGATGGAACTGACGTAAGTTTGCATTGTTTAATGTTGTTTACCCTTCGTCTATCGCTCCCTATCATTGAGAAAAGATAAAAAGTTTAAAATGGCAACTATAAAGAGAGCGTCTTATCTTTAAAACCAAAAGATGTCATAAAAGTATTAGGTACTCGTCGAAATAATTAGTTTGAAATATACCAGTGATTTTTTTCTTTTGTCCACAGAATGATAAATTACGTCATATTTTCATTGCAATATTTCATTATAAATAGCGACAAGGTATATTGGTCAATTTTCAACAAATTGTATTGTTTTTTTCTGAAAATGTTGTAAAAGACAAACACGGTAAAACAAAATGCATATAAAACAATGTTATTGTCATTTCAAATTTACAATTTAAATTAAATAAAGGTATTTTGACTTTTCTTCGTCTTCTCATCTCTCCAACATTACCACCAACTCTCTCTGTCTTGTTTTACTCTTCGTTTCCGCTACGATGTATCCCTTTCCCGCTATAATATCTTTCCCGCCACTCACCCTTCCCGCCGTACACTCCTTCTATGGCTATCATATAGTTTGATTACATAAACTGGACCCCTGGTGAGCCCACCAATAGTTATGGCAACGAAGACTGTGTCCACTTAGACGACTACTTTTATAAGATTGGAACGTGGAATGATGTCAAATGCAACAATCTTTACAGATTTATTTGCAAAATGCCAAAGTGTAAGTAGAAGCCGAGTGACCCTCAGCTGCAAAAGGCATTGTCACGCCATAATGTTATGCACATTGAATTGAATTGAATTGATCTTTATTTCATTCTTCATCAAAAACATCATAACAAACATATAAAATACAAAACAGCCGTACAAGTTAAAGAGAAACATTTACAATACAATACAACAACACAAATATATATGAATGTGGAGACAGATAGGAAAGCCAAGGGCTTTATTGGTGCTGCCACTAAAACAGTAATAGAGTATAATATAGTATTATATTGTTGTTTGAAAAGGTGATTTAAAAAAAATCCTAAATAGAGGGGAGGGGGGGGGGGGGGGACAAAAACAAAACAAAAACCAGACCGTGTACAGAATCAATCTTTATATTATTTTGTTGGATTAAAAATGATTTATATCACTTTTTAAAAACGTTAATTGAAGGACTAGATTTTATATCTTGAGGTATATTATTCCACGATTGGGGCCCTTTAAAAAATATAGATTTCTTTGTTACATTTAGTCTTATTTTATCTAAATGAAAATTAGAAGAACCTCGAGTATTAAATAAATGCAATGTAGAATTAAGAACAAATTTGCTGGAAACACTAATTGGTATGAAATTATTAAAACATAAGTACATAAATATTGCAAAACTATAATTACAAAGATCTAGGACATTCAAAAGTTTTAATTTTAGAAATAAAGGTTTAGAATGAGCAAAATAATCGGCATGTAAGACTAAACGAATAGCTCTTTTTTGTAAGCATAAAAATCTTTTCATTGCATGACCAGGCAAGGTAACAACAATTAAAATAGAAGATATAATGGCATTATAAATCATAATCAAAATATTTGAAGGAAAATGTTTGATTTTATTTAAAATATCTATACCTTTAGAAATATTCGTGCAGATAACATCAATGTGCTCCTTCCAAGATAATTTACTGTAAATTGTTACACCTAAAAAAATTCATAGAGCTACAACGATTAATTACGTTATCATTTAAGGAAACAACCAACGTGTCACAATGGATAAACATATTAGAAAATATCATATAGTGAGTTTTTCTAGTATTTACAATTATTTTTTAGAGATCAACCATGAATTTAGTTTCAATAATTCATTATTAAAATCAAGAATCAAATTTTCAATATTGTTATCGGATAAAAAGACACTGGTATCATCGGCACATTAACAGTGAATCTCTCGTAAAAAGCGGGAGATTAAGAATGGTCATGAAGGGTTGCCATTCATGCAACATGGCTTTCAAACGTGAACATGTGAGAAAACAACAAGAATAATAGCGGATTCTAAACATATCCCAAAACCGACAGCTCAAGAACAGTCAGTAATGTTGTCCCATGTTTGTATCTGAGTGATTCCAAAACTAATTCGTGAGAGACGTGGTAGGGGGTGAGGAGGCGGAGAATATAACTTAGAGAAAGGGAATTGGGGAAAATTACCATTGAAATAACTCCAGCGATGCATTAATCCTTTATGAAAACCCAAATTGCGCCTGGTTACAGGACAACCTCTTAGAATTTATCTCCATGCCATGTTCTCCGCCTTCTCGTAAAATTTAGTACAATTACTGGAATAGGGCCGCTGCGCTGGTGAACCAAACGATGTCAACAACGAAGATTGTGTGCATCTTAGATATTTTGACGACCATCAGATAGGCTTGTGGAACGACGTAGGGTGTCACGAAACTAACAGATATATCTGCAAAATGCCGAAGTTTAAGTTATCATCCGAGGACAAAGAAAGAAAGACCCAAATATCGAATTTGATAGTACCTTTTCATCACTCTGATGTTTCAGATAAAGATAACCTTTACAGAAAATTAAGGAAAGTGATATATTCAGTTGATATCCAATATACACTAAAAATATTGCTTGTTGTTTTGGGGCGAAAGTGTCAATCAGACGTTCTTGTTCTTTATTTTGTTTGAAAATAAAAATTTATCTTAATCTGAAAGTGAAAATGAATGCGTTCGTTTAACTCCCCACAGATAACACTGCTCCTGTCACCCAGGCTCCGGCTATAACACGTAAGTTGTGAAGAAAAACATATAAATAGTAGTAGCACTAGTAGTAAAGCGGTAGCATCAACCATAGTATAGTAGTAATAGTAGTATTAAAGGTAGTTGTAGTAGATTTAGTAGCAGCAGTAGTAAAAGTAGTAGTAGTAGTAGTAGTAGTAGTAGTAGTAGTAGTAGAAGTAGTAGTAGCATTAACCGTAGTATAGATGCTTGTTTGTTTTTCATTATTATTATCATTATAATTATTATTGATATCATTATTAGTACTTTTAGTTGTATTTTTATCATCATCATTATTAATGTTATCATTATTGTTATCAATATATTTTTTCCTTCTTCTCCAGTTCCTCCTAGTGGTCGTTGTGGTAGTGGTTGGGTATACGATTCTGGTAGTAATAACTGCTTCAAATATTCGACCTCTGAACTGACCTGGCCCATGGCAAATGACCAATGCCACTATGAGGGTGGCTATCTGACTAGTATTACTAACCAAGCTGAATCGGAATTCCATCGCAGTAAGTATAAAGAAGAGTGGAAATATGGTGAGAAATAGGTTTTGAACTTTCTCATTCTGTTGACGTAAGTTTGGAAGGTTGCCATAGAAGAAAATCACTTGAAAGGGACTTGTCTTCAAATGCAATCATATTTAAAATGTAAAATACATCGATTTCTGTGCGCAGTGCTTAGGATATCTGACAAGACCGATTCAATTTTTTTCAAAGGTTTCATTTAAAATTTTCCCTTGAATTGGTCTCTCCAAAGTCTTTACCATAGTTGATAGTATACATTTACAGATATCACATCTAGTCTGAAAGGACTATATACAATTATGAGGAGACCTGCGAGAAAAATATGTTGAAGAAACTGATTGATAGATTTGATTATCTACCAAGGAGCTGATTAGGAGTGTCGTGGTCGAGTGGTTTAAGTCGCTTGACTGGAGATGCGGAAGTTGAGGGTTCGAATTCCGACACAGCACTAATATCCTTTGGCAAGATATTAACCTGCACTTGCTACTCTCCACCCAGGTGTTAAATGGGTACTCGGTAGGATGCGACCATCATTGTTGGTCATACAGTTTTTGAGCGTCAAGTAACGCCTGGCTGGAATGCTCCCCAGGGAGTGGAGATTGTGCACACAGTGTGTGCGTGCAAGCACTGAATCCAATGACCGGGGTAATAGTATATTGTAAAGCGCTTAGAGACATTTGGATTATAAAAGCTAAATATTATTATTATTATTAATATTATTGTCAAATGACCCAAGTTCCTTCATTTACGAAGTCTATTTTGTAATGGAGTGATTAAATTACATTTATATATATTACAGAATCTCATCTAGATCTCAAATTACAGCAGGAATGGAGTAACTTATTGGAGTATCTTCTCTCATTTTATATTTTTTATTTTAATCAGTTTGCGTGTTCAGGTCTAGTGAACTAATCACCATACTATGGATGACAAGGTGATTAATGTCCCTAGGGAAGACATTAATCGTCACGTGCCTCTTTTAACGTAAAGGGTATACCTAGTTTGGCAGCTTGGCCCGATCCAGGGTAGAACTGTGTCGACCTTGTGAAATCTGCCATGAGAAATCTTTTGGCTAAATATTTTCACATCATAATTTCAGCTATTAACATTTTCGTTATTATATTGTAACCGACAGTGTCTGTACTCTACTTCAAATTGAATTACAACACATGGTCATTTTGGATCGGTCTTCATGATACTAATATGGAGGATGGTTATGTTTGGAGTGATAGCGCCCCCGTCTCTTATCTCAACTGGGACTCAGGTATTATCATTATTATTACTATTATTATCATATCATTGTAGAGGTATCGTGATATAGATCCAGGGTTCAATCCAGGGGTTAAGGGTTCGAATCCCGCCCCGGCACTAATGTCCATTAGTAAGACATTGATCCACATGAGCCACTCTCCATCCAGGTGTAATGGGTACCTGGCAAATGATGAGGTAATGATAGTTTCAGGGCCTTCAGAAAGAACAACGTTAATGTTGATGACGTTTCACTGGTTGAAAAATCCCAAATTTATTCTCTCATCGTTAATTAATTATACTATTTGTACTGCGTCCTGTCTGTAAAAGAGACTTGATAGTCCTGGAGCCATTTTGGATTTATCAAATACCTGTGTGACTGTCTGTGAGGCGAAACGCTTAATAATTACAACGACTCGGGTTTTTACAGGAGTGTCAGTTTATTTTAGAGTCATAACCATTAAGGGGAATGCACTCTGTCTTTGATGAACGAATCTTTTATATTTACTCCTTCCACTGCTTTATTCCGTTCTTCTTCCTTCACTCCATGAAAACTGTACATGATAAAGCATAACAGGAATGCATAATAAGTATGTTTTCATGAATATAAGTTTCACAATATTAAAGTAGCTATAGCATTCTACTAAATCAAAGGCATTGTCTGAATTCAGTGTCTAACTCCTTTCCATGTTTGCTTGTAAAGCTTATAATTATAAGTCAGACACTTGACAAACCTCTTTGATTTCATATAGAATGTCATAGCTAACATACAATTAAACTTATATCACCTTTATCATATCTAATTCAGATTTAACACGGTTTCAACTAAAAATGTGCCAATATTTATTGAGCTTGAATGACTTATCATAGTCAAGGAATACAATAACAAAGTCATGACCTTGACCTGTCATTCACATAAATATGCTCACATTCCTCATCCATTTTCATCATAGAATGTCTTCTTCTGCTTCAAACGTTTAACTTTACTATTTCTTTCAACTTTAAGCAAACCCAAACATCAATTATAGATGTAATGACATATTAAATGTTCAATAGATATCTCTGGTAAGGTAACTGTAATAATGTGGGTACACAGTTTACACATGTTATACATTGCCATACAAATTACTGTGCTACTGTGTAAGTTTCATACAATGTAAACATCTTAAAAACTACCTTTTTTACATTCATTTTCATAATGTTCAAATATGTGGTTTAACTAACCTCTGTGCCTCCATAATACTGTAGAAACAGCTCTCAGGAACAAAGGATGCTCCCAAAAACCACAGATTTTCCTCACAAAACAGAAATCATGTTGCAAACATGATCATTTCAAATCAGCCAACAACAGGTAGCGCCAAACCAGTTACTGACCTTTAAATTAGAAAAATTTAAGAAGTGTCATAGTTATCTTTGACCAAACGCTCTCTGTAGTTATATTATTGCAATAGCAAGCTAAATCAATAAATACTAAATAAAATGACTTTAACTGACAAATACAAAATTACAACTTTCACAACCTGTGTGTATACATGTATAGGTTGTCGTCGTTATAATTCTCATTAAATGCTTCCAATATTGATCTGCATCAAAAGTTATAATTCTGAGTAAAGTTGTTACATATTAGCAGGCCCACATACTGAGTTCAAACGAATCAACGATCAATCGGGTTACTGAATAAAGTGAATTTTAGTGATTTCATTCATACAAACTTTCAAATGTCGTGGTTTGAGCCACAGCACAAAAAGGTTGCATTGCTTCTAACCAACTGGGTATTAAAGGTACTCTATGTTCCCTTTGCAGACCAAAACAATGAAAAGTTTAAATTTCAACGGCATTTGAAAGATAATACTAATTTAGAACTTCCCTAAAAAAGAGGGGGCTTGAAAATGTCTTAAAGTGGGAAAATAACGACTGTTTATAGTTGTCAATCAACTTAAGAGCTATAGAGCCAGTAAGTAATAGTCTGATATGATACATAACTTATTGCAGTTGGATGCTTAGTACATTCATATGCAATGATAACCACGATTTATAAAGAGTAGAGTTGGAGAGCATGATGTAAGCATGATAAAGGGCAATGTTGTAATTGATTCTATGAATGGGATGATAATACACTGTAAAACTCTTCATCAGTTACTTGTAACTGGAAAGGCGGAATATGACAACATTATTAATATTTTATATTTTATTTCATGGGAACCAAACGATGCCTATAACGGTGAAATTACGTTGAGCTTCTATGTCGTAATGGATCATTATAATAATTTTCATTCTTACTATTTAATTGTGATTTTCAAGGGAGCCCAACGATGTTTATACCGATGAAAATTACGTTAAGATCCTATGCCATAATGGATCATTATTGTAATTATCATTATTACTGTTTCATTATTGTTTTCAGGGGAGCCCAACGATGCTTATACCGGTGAAGATTACGTCGAGATCATATGTGCTAATGGCAAATGGAATTCCCTGCATGGCGATGTATCAATAGGTTACTCCTGCAAGAGAAACAGTACGTGCTTTTTTGAAAACATATCTAATAAATCATCTTCGTTGGGTATCTCACTGTATATGTTTTTCTTACTTTTCAGTCTACAAGTGTGTTGCTCGGTTTAGGGTCAGACATTTTGAGGTTACCAATGGTAACTTCGTCCGCAAAACTTGCTATTTAAATAGTAAAACTATAATGTAGCATTTCAAAACACGAATAGCTGGTTACGATAGCTTTATATTGCTTATTATTCATAAGTTATCAGTTTGAAATTAACATTAAGTAACTGATTTAAAATTTAAATATCAAATTAAGGTTGCCGATTAAATTAAATAATCACTGTCGTTCCAATTATCTTCCTATTTATTTTGATATTTCAAGAACATCGTATTCACTGACTAGGCCCCCCCCCCCCCTCCTCCCGCCATGCACAGGCCAATAAGTAATGTATGGCATAATAGACATTGTGACGTCATTTTACTTATTACATCCCATTCAGGTTTCATTACGGATCAGTTCAAAGTGTTCCCCAACAGCCGCTTGGACACGGTCTCGATTTCCGTCTCCAACGTATGGCCAGAGGAGTGTGCTGCTAGTTGCTACAATGCTGGAGAAAACTGCAGGTCTTTTAATTACTACCGCAAGACACGCGAATGTTCGCTGCTATCTGTCGATCAGTACTCAGGCTCCGCAGATCTGGTGCCAGAGAATGAAGATCCTTACGATTACTATGAACGAGGTAGGCCTGTCGAGTATTCATATCGAAAAGACTTCCTGGTTTATATGAAATAATTCAGTAACACTGTGCTTAATAATATGAGTGAATGCCCTTCTGGCTACTGGAAGTCTTAAGGCTCCCTCAGATATGATAATAATAATAATAATAATATTTATTTTACATAGCGCTTAATACAAAGTCTCTAAGCGGTTAACCGCCGCAGTAGAAAAGAAAATTGCCACGGACTAATTTTATGGCAACTGCGCGGAACAAAAGGTCCTGCGCATATTAACTGAGCGCTGTGTATTATAAGATTATGAATAAGATACAGAAATTTGATGTGTATCAAACTTTAAAATATACTTTAAAAAATGCCGTCATTTTGCGGCGTCATATCTGAACAAGACTATTGATGCTTTAGGAAAAGCCTGTCATGTATATACGATATCATAAACTTGATATTAATTTAATTATTTCATACTATGAGTCTTTTAAGATACTGAGCATGTAAGATTCCGGCTCCAAATTGTTTTCAAAAGAAAAATACTATGTTTACACGCAGGTATTTCTTTTATGACGAATTTGTTAAAATATCAAAATCTAATCTACTGAAGTGATTGACGGAAAACTTATCGCACCAAAATCCAAATGAGCATGCTCAGTTGTGATTTACGGACTGTAAATCCGGTAAGAGAAATCTCATTCTATTGCACAAAAAATGAACTCACCCCTCCCCCCCCCCCCCCCCCCCCACACGGGCCCCAAAATTGCTCGATGGGTCTCATCAGAAGGCATTTTGCTTCATGAAGTTCCATTTTAAATATAATTTTTAGTAGACTGATTGGTAAAGAGAATTACATCATGCATTATATTTTTACACAGAATTTTTCATCCATCATTCTAAGCATTTCCTTATCAATTCTTTAGACTTCACAGGGCCAACAATCCAAGTGCCAACAACCATCGGTCCCTCGTATGGCTGTGGAACGGGTGAGACTGGCTACCGCAGCTACTGCTATACATTGGTTACTTCAGAGTCAACCTTTGATGGCATGCAGAGTATCTGTGAACTCCGCAGCGCTAACCTGGTCTCCATCGCTGACGCTAGCGAAATGAACTTTGTCATCAGCTTGATGCAGACTGGTAAGAAGAAAAAAAAACGTTAAGAACCCACTGCACTATTCGTATAATAGTAGGGAGAACACATCTGTTGTCCTGCACACCCCCATTGAGTTTAACCGACAGGAGAGACTCCGAAAGTTATAGTGATTCAGTTCGCTTTTCGCCTCCCAGGCGCAGGTGACGACAAATACTTAATAATAATGGTTTTACAACTCCTGTGGATGTACATTTTACCTGTATAATCATCTTGATTAATACGATTGGAAGATCACCCCTTCCTCTAGAGAACAGAAATGCATTCACAACAACACTCTTCTGATCTGTTTTTCATAACAGGCAATACCGCGACCACTACGATAGGCTCAGCTTGGTTAGGTCTGTCTGACAAGGCAAATGAGGCGACGTACGCTTGGAATGATGGTAGTGAGGTCACCTATACAAGCTGGGCAGCAGGACAGCCTCAGAATAATGGCAGCGACGAAGACTGTGTCACCCATAATATCAACGTAAGATCTAAACCCTTATGGCTAGCTCTCAATGCCATACAATTGTATTCTAAAAAATATACATTTATCAATCCCCAAAGATCTATTTTTTGAAAGTTTTACGAGATAGAGCGATGTTTTCTGATCGATACAGTTTTAACCAATCAAAAGCAAGACGCACACAATCTACAAACGTACCGAAATTCATATATTCTTTTAAAATGTTTGATGTTTTGATCGCAGTTCTCGAGTGATGGATGGCTGATTTTAGATTTGTCAAATCTCTCTTCACAACGTTGACCCACATGGTCCTGTCTTGTTAAGAGTTGCGACTTTAATACCTGGGTTGATCTTAAGTCCTCCAATCAACCGCAAACTTGTAAACTCCTGTACATACTTGAAAATGAATGTTGCTGTTGATTTGATGAGTCCTTTGAAAAGATTTGTCTCAATATTGTTTTCAATCCATTGCAAGAAATAGTTGAACTGAATCAACGTTTAAAGACATATGGTCGCTTGCTAGAATTATTCACCTTTGTCCAACATTCCTAAGCCTATTCATATCATAAAGACATTGTCTCCTAATAACGGCATATCGTTTTTTTTTTATTGAGGGGTCCCCTCTAAACAAATTGTTTGGACCATTTAAACTAATATTTCCACTGGTAAATTTTAAAATGCATCCTGGCTTTTTTTTTATATAGTGTTTACTTGAACACAAATCGGTTTGTATCTCAGTTGATTTGGTATAATTGATAATTTATATATAATACTTGCCCAGTAGGTAACAATGGTTACCTAATAAAAATAAAGGTTTGCTAATGTTTGGATCCGTCCCTTTCTATTTCTTCTTCTCTTATCTACAACCTTGTCAGTTGATTGTAATTCTTTGTTTACGTTCTCTCCTTGTTTTAGGCGGCACCTACGGTCACCTGCTTGTGTAACTATTGTGTATGCGAATTTTTAAATAAAAATACAGTTAGATTAATAGGGTGAGCCTCATGAAATTGTTGTGACTACATGTTATTTGAACCAAGAACATCTATAATTTTACCAATCAAACATAACTTTATTTCTAGCTGGATGGATGGCTTGATGAGTCTTGCACAGGAACCCAACATTACGGCGTCTGCAAAACACCTAAAAAAAACACTAATGTTGTAGCACCAGTAACTGACGGCTGCCCAACAGTAAGTACAATCATAGAACATTATTAAATACTTGAATACATACTTCTATGTAATACAGGCGCGTACAGGGGGGGGGGGGGGGGTTGGGGGTTAAACCCCCCCCCCCCTTTGGTATTTTTTTATGTGTAAACCCCCCTAAATTTCCTTAACCCTCCCCCCTTTTGGATTTTTTTTTTTTTTTTTTTAATTAAAAAAAAAAAAAATTCCCATGGCTGACCTCAAAAAGATGACCTTACCCCCCCCCCAACGGAGCAAAATGTCAAATTTTCAAATTTCGATACCAAAAAAAAAAAAAAAAAAAAAGTGTCCTCTTATTGAAGTGGCTAGATTTCGTGAGGGCTAGGCAAATTTCTTACAAAGATGACCCCTTCTAACTTCAAGTTCTCAAGACGGTATTGTCCAGCGCTTCATCGTAAGATGAATAAGCTGAACCCATGATCAAACGAAGGGCACGTTTTGCACTCTCTCAATTTGACTAGTTTGGAAAAAGGTAAGACCTGAGTGCCAAACGGGGGTAGCATACTCGACAAGGGGGCGAATGAAACCTGTATAAATGGTCAACAAATCACAGACTGGGATCCGAAACGGAAGTAGGGCGCTTAACATATACATTCTCTTGTTTGCTTTACGCACCATTTCTTGAACATGTTCTCCCCATTTCAAATCTGAATGTACCGTGACCCCAAGTATTTTCACTGATTTAACCTGGTTTAGAGAGTGATCTGCAAGTGTTACGCTTAAGGGAAGTAGGTCAGTCTTACCAAAGTACACCCTCATAGTGCGACATTTCTTCACACTGAGACGCATGTTATTTTCACCACACCACTGCACCAGATTATCGAGTGTAGGTTGTACCTCACTGATCGCGCTCCGTGTGATAGATTCAGCGATTGTCATTTCATCCACGTATTTCCAGTGGGCCAGGCCGGATGATGTAAGAGCGTCATTGATCAAAATGAGAAAAAGAACTGGGCCCAGCTTACACTGACGCTCATAAAGTCGAATGTATACTATTATCTAGATCTATTATTTTTAAATAATTTTTAAAATAATTTCACAAATTGGGGTAAAACTAAAATATTCCACCTTTATGAGCGACAGTGTAGTTCCTTGGGGGACTCCAGCTTTGATAGGAGTCCATTCTGACAGACAACCACGATATCTAACACACTGGGTGCGGTCTCTGAGGAAGTCAACAATCCATGGCACAACACTGGAGGAGGGACACATTTCACAGAGTTTGGCTATAATTACTGAATGATCTACCCTATCGAAAGCTTGTGTAAAGTCGGTAACTATTACCGTTGTAACAGATCCTAACCTATCTGCATTCTTCGTTAGGAAATTTATGATATCAATCAGGCAATGGCTGGTGGACATGCCTGAAAGCAGCCTGATCTACTACCAAACTGTTTAGAGTCAAGATTGGGGTTCACATCTTCGAGAAGGCTCTTTACAATGAAATGTTCAGCAATTTTGGCGAAGTGATCAGTCAATGCTATGGGACGTAGGTTCTCGATAGATGCCGGTTGCTCTTTTGGTATTCGAGCTACAATAGCTTTCTTCCACTGCTTTGGTACCACATGCTCTGCGAATGAGCTGTTGAGAACCTGACATAATGGCGTACTGAGTTCAATGGCAAAACAACTTCACAACTTTTGCAGGGATTTCGTCAGGATATTCATCCAGGTAGTGTTATTTAAAATTTGTCTGTGAAAATTAAGTATGGATAATGCTTACCATGTGTTTTTTTTAAGGAGTGGTTGAAGTACATGTCGTCGTGTTACCAGCTGGTAACTGACCAGAAAAACTTGGACTGATGCAAAAACAGACTGTGTGAATAAAAATGGTAGACTTGCCATCATCAATAACAAGTAAGTCCTTCTTCAACTCATTCTGTCTATAAACAGCTAATTCATTTAGCGTATTTGAATACTTTT